CGTCGTCGTCGGTCGGTCGGGTCGGGGGGGGGGGGGGGCAAGGGTATATGTCGTCTCTTCTGGGTCCTTTTCACCGCGCAGCTCATGAACGCGAGTAACATCCACTTTATCGTCGAGAAGTCGACGGACATGCATACATGATTCGCAACTATAAGGGCAAAACACAAAAAGGACAAGCAACATAGATTGTCAACGCATGACAAGTTCTTCATAGGATACTGTGGACTAGCCGATGTGACGTCCTAGCATCTCCTCTAGCTCCGACAAAGAGGCATATCTCTTCTTGTTCGGGTTGTCCGCAGCGTGCAGCTCATACACGGGTTCAACGTCCTCAGTCGCAGTGAGGCACGCGGTTACCGTGTAGTAGATATTGTCACCACCATCGACCTGGGCCCCGACGACGGATCTGAGTCGTCCAAGAGCCGTCTCCGCAGGTGGCTGCTGAATGCGCAACCCCCCTTGAGGACTAAATTCCGGGCCAACGATCGTTCTGATCCTGCAACGAAAAGTCAGCAAGATTCGGGAGAAACCAGAGGTACTGACGCCTCAGTGCTAGCCTGCCCTTGAAGCCTCGAGATAAAGATATCGCTTTTGAAAGCCGGGAGTTCGTAAGACAGGAAAAACTGGAGGGCGCGCTGCGCCGCGAATAGGATGTCGAAGTGGCTAAGGAGGCAATCTCAGCATGCATGGATTGGGACTAACACGGAAAGAGGCTCACTGATCAGCGCTAACCACGACCGTGGGGCTTCGATCGAATATTTCATAGACCATGTCATAAAATTTGGACCTGTCCTCCTTCGAAGGTCCGACTGGCAGCGAAGAAGGGTATTCCCTGTTCCAGGGATCCGAACGCCACAAAGCCGTGACGGTGTCGTACGACCGCTTCGTGACTGCATCGCCATGGGCGAGCCGATGAGCGTGTACTGCATGCTCGGAATGGATAAGGTGTCTGTAGAAGTCGAAGGTGATATCAAATATATTCTTGTCAGAGAGTCGGCCAGTGGCCGTTTTATACCACGGTATGTTGTTCACGCGAAGCATTGTCGAAGGAAACGCGGTATGGGACCGAGGCGCGAGGGTCCAAGTCAAACGCCGTTCGAGGTTGGCGCCGTGGTAGGTAGGTAGGTAGGTAGGTAGATTGCCGACGAGGTCCCGGTAGCGGAACAGCCGCTGCACGTACGCCACTCGTGCAGTCGACAGCGTGCCGACGTGGATTGGTGGGAATTTGTGTGTGGAGCGCACCAGATCAACCCGGGGCCGCAAGCCCTCGTATCCACGACCTTTCTAGAGCTTCCCATACGCACGACCATTCACGAGATAGACGATACCGACCGACGGCCTTGACAGCGAAAAGGAGCTGGACCCAATTGCGGAAGCTGAAGAGTACATAACGCGAACTCCGTCCCATGCATTCAGCCTATGTCACCCTAATGTTGGTAAGGTCAAGATATTCCGAATGACCTCGCATCCAGTTAAGGATCTGGCCAGCTTCAGACGATCAAACTCAACCATTCATTGTTTTGATCCTCTGCGACGCCATTCAGGTGCACTTGCTCTCTGACCATGACCGACACTCACTAGGCCTGAATCCACAAGCCCGTCAAAGATCGAGCGACTGAAAGGCCTCGGATCCGACCTCTGAGGCCATGTCCATCTCACGTACACTCCCCTTCATCCACAGACGGCTGCGATTATATGTGGTGGATCCGTGGTCAAAATGCAGGAAATCATGAGAATAAACTTCCTGGAGCTTTGTTCTGTTTTCGTTGGCCCTGTTTCACCATGACCCCGAATTATCTAGGAACAACGTCAATATGTGGCGTACGATCCTCCGTTCACTTTCCGCAGCACTGTCTCGGAACGCTGTACAACGTGAACGAGATCGCCGCAAGACCCAGACCACATCCATGCCGGATGACTAGTACGCCCGCAGCGATATGATATATGGCACAGAACAGTTGCTGAATGATGCTCGTACAATCATTTTACGGACACAGACGTTGCGCCATACCCATATTTTGGCAACTTCCATCGGCCTGACTTTGGACAGCTCGCATGTCTTTCCCGGACTGTTCATGGACACGAGAAAGCCTCCACAGCTCCAGTAGGTTCCGAACATTGCCGACCGCGGGACGCCCTGGACTGCGTCCCCATCGAGCATGACCCTGCAGTTTGCCGGTCGTTATGCTTTATCGCACGGCGAGCGCTGTCCTAGCGTCTGGCGCCGGATACAGGGCAATCGACCCTCCGTAAGCCACCTACCGCAGGGTGAGCCAGCATCATCGACAGCATAACTATGTTCAATCGTATATAAAATCGTATAGGACGGCCATGATTCTGCAGATCGTAGCTCTCCTTCGCATTCGTTCTGTGAGCTCACTGGGATACTCGCCCAGTACGTACTCTCGACTTATGAGCCGCCCTATCACTGACACGTTGATTATAGTTGTCTATCTACTATCTTACGCGCATATACATCCGCTATCGCCTTCATTACCCCGTTTTTCATCGCCAAGCATGCGTACTGCAGCCTTCTTCGCCTTTGTCGGAGCATTCGCCTACGTCTCTGGGATCCCTATCCTTACGTGCGTAGAGCAAATCTTGATCCACAACACGTGCTGAGGCCTTGTACCAGTACATCGACCGGAGCCGAGGTTATTGCTCGTGCCAGTCTTGCCGAGTTTGCGGAGGTTCCTAACTACGGCTTCATCCGCCGCGTCGCAGATGGTAGCTCGGAGGACGATTTCAAGGAGGACGTTTGTAAAATTGGGTGCAAAGTGACTGGCACTCCGTCGTGAAGGCTGTGGTCGCCACGGAACGGCCCCGGAAGGGTCGACTAAGGTCGTAGGTGGAGCATCGGGTTATGGAAACAATGGACTGGGAGGTATTCCTTAATTCGTGCTCGCTTGCCCGGACAATCATCCTCGCTGCTCAGTTTTAATACTATTCAAATTTGAATTACACTGACGATGCACCTGGCTCTTGCGCGCTCTCAAATGGATGCGTTCCACTAGACTCTACTTTTAATACCTCTCGGCACCTCTCGGTTTGAACCTTCGCAGGTTCCGAGCTGACCAAGGCGCGGTCGGGTTAGTTCGAACGAGATAGCCATGTTCCTTAGCAAAGACCACGCGGCGTAGAGCCCAGGCACGCGAGACAGAACATACGTTCGGCTACACATCAAGTTCGCCTAGACATGAAATCGATGAGCGGTCCGATTCATCGTGTTCCCTATGCGGCATGAGAACAAATCTCCTCCTTCTGCAGGTCATCTAGGGTACGCAGCTCGTGCATGTAACGTCCTCTCGCGGCGACATGCATGGATATGCAATCAGAGTATAATCCGTCCCATCAGGTTCTCCAATTCCGGTAGAGGGACGTATCTCTTATCCTGCGGGCTATCCACGGCATGTAGCTCGTACACGGGATCAATGTCCTCAGTCGCAGTGAAGCAGGCATGGATTTTGTACTCGATGCCGTCAATCGAGACCGATTTCCCTACAACGGAGCGGAGACGACCCAGAGGCCCTTCCCCATCTGCGCCCCAGATATGCCTGTATCTGAAAACTAAGGAATGAATTCCATGGTGCGACAGGGCAAGATCATAGTCGGGAGATACTGACAGCTCATCTGCACCCCATGTTTTGATCTCTAGGGAGACTTCTGGACCATTGACATGCGGAATTTTGCACTCCACGAACCACTCGATGGCGCGCTGCGCTGCCAGTTCGGCATTCAGGTGACTGTCCTACAAATGTGAGAAGGCTGCTTCAAATGAGTTTAGGGGCGATGAAGGCTCACTCTTCAATACAAGTGGGTTTCCGATCCAGGAGGTCGTAGACCACCCGGAAAAACTCGATCCTCGATGGATGGGGAGTGGCCGGATAGGGTGGTACTTCGGCGACGGGCAGCTGAGTGGGATAGATGTTGGGCTCCTGCTCCCAGGCACGGACGACCTTATTGTACGCAGGCAGGAACGTATTCGCGGCGTAGTTTTCCCGTGAGGAAAGCGCGGCCTGGTTGAAGCGTTCATTGAAGCTGGAAACAATGTGGCGCAAGGTGTCGTCTGGAATATCGCCGACGGGATAATGATACCACGGTTTGTCGCCTATAGTTGGTGCAGTAGTACTAATTCGTTCGGTCATCGTCGAATGAGGCTCAGAGCGGTATGCGTATACAGCGGTGTTGGGCATAAACGAGCATACAATGTCGGATGTGGATAGGGGCTTCAAGTTGGTTATGGGAGGATTTCCTTTTTGGGCAAGGCCTTTGAGTCCACCGCGGACGCGGAAGATGTGGTCTCTTCTTGGTCTCTTCCACATTAACGGTAGCACTTCGTCAAGCACCAGCATGCGATCACAAATGGCAATTGGGCGATTGAGGTAGGTAGGCAGGCATTTGAATCCGAAGAATCCGCAAATGCCAACTTCGAGTTCCTGATCAGCTGATATTTAGTAGGGACATGCTATTTGCGCGGTTTGGAGAGAACTAGAACACGCCGCGTTATGCTCCAGGCGAATGTCCGCCCGGCCGCGATAATGTAGGATAATGTTGGCGAGAAGGCGTGGGATTCGCAGTGTTTATTTGTGGAAAGCGTGACCGGTAGGTACGCCTCCGACATCACCTCTTTGGCCAGGCACCAACTACAGATGCTCTTAGCAATTGTACACGTACGGTGAACATACACATCGGTGATTCGTCACCACCGAGTGGCTTGCAGGTTCCTTGACCTGATCATCGGCTTCACGCTACTCCCGTCAAGCAGCGGGTCGTGCCTTGACTATCAGGAGGGTTGCGCAACATCCAAAACACATACACACTGGGAGAACGCTTCATGAATATAAATACGCAAAGATAAACCTGAAATTGCACATCCACCCGGAGCTGAATCAACGGAACAACATGTCGGGCCAAACGCTTGCATTTTTTGAGGACGCATCCGCAGGGAAGCGGGTTGTTCAGGACGAGATCCAAGACTACATTCGTACGACATGGGTGGGTCCCTTGACAAGCATCGTCTTCAAAAGTTGACACCATGAAACCCGATAGCACCAGATACCATGGTGATTCTTTCCTGGTGCTGAGGATGACGGTAGGAAGTAACGCCGACGTCAACTAGGGACAAGCTCATTCTGCCGCCAACATTGGTCATTGCCGCTCTCTGCAGGCTCAAGCTGATAACCCGAGTCACCGAACTCAAGGCGAGTCCATCACCTCCACGTCGTAAACAAATCTCTGAGACGGCTGGGGGGCAATAGCTTGCACCCGACGAGAACGGACGGTTCCAGCACATCAAAGATCGCGACTTCCGAGCAACCGTCGTTCAAGTCGTTAATGCCGCTTCTCTTGCCTTCTCCCAAGTTTATACGGACATAGACGTGAGTCGTACCCGATCCCTGTACTCCCAACAAGGAGTCACATTCTGCATCAGGCTCTGACCAAGCAAAGCCTTCAATGGAGATGTGAGTATTTTTTTGTATCTAGGCTGCTTGGGAAGTGCTGAACGTGGGTATGGATTCCAGTTTCTGTGTCTGACGTCATTGACCTCGCGATGGAGAAAGACATGGAAGGCATGTCAGCTGAGCAGCGGTCTCGGACGATCGCTAGGAACATACTATGCACCCACCCCTAATGCAACATCGCCCCCTAATGCAACATCGACACAAATCCCATTCCCGTTCCTTCCCTGCTCAGCCGTTCGTCTGGAAAAAAATTCTATGTACTCTCATACATCTATACATACTGTATGTAAGAGCTGAGGTGGGAGCGAGGCCTGGTTCGGGCTACAGAAAACATTAGAACTGCTCGAGTGAGTTGATGCAACATGTCGCGAGTACTCCACGGCCTCGCTTCGCTGGATCGGTAGCGCAAATTTTATGGAAATATTTGGTAGTGCTTATGACCTTATATACTATCCGCCACGCTATCCCGATTTGCAATTGGTATAGTAGTGCTGCTGTAGGAGGAGGTTCAACACAAAGGACGGTGTTGGCGTGACGGGTGAGTTCAAACTCCGCCTGCGTTGATTGGCTTGAGCCGCTTGAGCCCTGCGTTGCGTTCCAGCCTGTCCTATTCCGGCACCTCGGCAAGACGTGACCGCGTGTGATGATCTCGCAACTTTGGCTGGTGCTCACTTCGTCTCGCCGGCATCTCTCTGGCAGAGTTGAGGCTAAACCAAAATATTTGAGACGCTGCATGACATATCTATAGCATCTTGGCTATCTACTGGCAAACTTTTAGACGATTTCAAAGCGATTTGAGGGAGATATAACCCTAATGCAACACGCGTTGCATTAGGGGTGGATGCATAGTAGGACATATGATGCAGAGAGTCGATCAATGCGTGGCGATGTGCAAGGCTTCAGTCGACCGCGCAGCGGACCGGATCACGCAATTACACGACCTCGTCGACGAGGTTTGCCACGCGCTCGACAACATGACTGACAAGCGTCAGAAGGAGATCGAGGTGTTACGGGCTGTTGTCAAGGACAAGCAGCGCGCCGCCGACGAGATGAAGGCGGCGCAAGAGAAATATTTCGTAGAGACAAAGGAGTCTACGGAACAGGTGACCGTTTTGTGACTGCACATTATTTCTAGCATGGATTGACCGAGAGTACAGGTTCAGGCGCGTCTCTCGAAGGCGATAGCTCAGTTGCCAACGGGTGAGAGGTGCTGGTTATCAGATGTATCTCATTGGCTGACACCCTCTCTTCAGGCGAACAACTAGCCGATGTCAACGACCAGCTGAACAAGCTCGACCGCGAAGAGAACCTCGTGAGGCACATTCCATGCGCTACTTCCTCGTTGTTTATGTTCGAATAGGTTCTCCTATTAGGAACATTATATCAAGCCCTTCACGATCTCACCGATCTCAGCGCTGGTTTCCGAAGCTTCGCCCTTGTCATCGCTTTGGGAGCGAACGTCTTTCAAAGCTCTTCCCGGTTTGCTACGCCGACTGAGGCCAATGGCGCTCCAGCATTACTTAGTGACTTCGAACAGGAGGTGAATCCGCAACATACAACATATTTTAACTCCCACGTATTGACATTGTGATCAATATGCAGGTTGCCCTCAAACATGCAGTACGTTCCGCCGAGCTTCAAAGCCTGATATGCCGCGTCGCTCTCGTATGTCATGTCTTCATCTTGCCCGCGTTCTGCGTCCGTGCTGAAATTGGGCGATGGACGTGCCATAGAACTACTCAAAGGTATACCGCGCTCATGTTGCCGACGGTATGAAGATATTGTCCACGATCGACCTCCTACCTGGAGTGGCCGATATCCACGATTCACTCGTTGCAGATGCAGAGAAACTCAGCGCGTGGTGCGAGCAGGCACAGGTGGGCCGTCGTGTCGTCCCCTTGTTCATTACGACCTTGTCTCACCGGGCTTCTGTCATAGCGCGGCACGGTTACTACACTTCAGGCGGTATGTGCACCATTAGTATCTAGCGGAGTATCTAGCGGTAACTTGGTTGTAACGGAAACATCCTCAACTTCCAGGAATTGGACGTAATCAACGCTGAGACGGTGGGCGACCAAACCGACCAGTTGAACCAAGCGCTCGCGAAGATCGATGCCATTCGAGGTGCCAGGGCCCCGGAAATTCGCACTGCGGTAGAGCATGCATCGGATACTAGGACGAAGAATCAGACCGCTATGAGCGTCATCTGATGAAAACATATCACATATGCAAATGACCTGCATGACTCGCCGTTTCGTAGCAGGCCTGTATTGTGTCGTCGCTATTATGATCTGGCAAATGCGACGGCATCACGACTATCCAGCTTGTATGTGCTGTGGGCCTCGGAGGCTGCAGGTATGCGATATCATTAGTACGTGGTGCTTCATGGTTTCTCGCCGTACTCGAATGGGTACGGTCGCTGTATTATTATATATGCGAGTTCACTCCCATTTATTATACGTGCATTTGGGCATCGCGAGCTACATATAGTACGATACCACAGAAGTTCATACCTTTCTTATCTTCTAGAAGAAATGTATATACTCATTGAGCTAAGGTCAATGTCAGCCAACCAGGGGCGTATACTAAGGTTACAATTGGTTTAGGTGGCTGCGGAGTCGTGTCCGTGCTTCGCGGCCGCGTTGCATAGCAGCGCTCACGACGGAATGCGGGAACAAAGAATGCCGACGTGTCCGAGGGTGGGATGTGTCGGACAGCGGAACGTCCGGCGGGGTCGGAGTCGGCGGCGGCGAGTAGATAGCGCGCAGCACATCCATCGAAAGGTCGGCTTGTCCATCGTGCGTGGATATTTCGCAATTCGGGATGCCAAGCTCGGGATCCGGATAAGGCATCTTGTGTGGGAGGTCGTCAGAAGAGCGAGTGGATGGCGCCGAGTCCGACGTCTTGCGCGGCTGTGTTTCCGCATCGGGGCGTAAGGCGCCTGTCGGAGAGGCAGACATGGGCTGTTTACTGTCATCATGCACGGTAACGACTCGCGAGAGCTCAATCTCGATAGTAGTAGGAGGCTTGGGGTGCGTGTGGACGCTGCGAGAAGTGCGAGTGGAGGAGCTTGGCGACCAGCTGAATGCTAGGCCGCGGATCGCGTGATTGAAGGATGGGCTGAATCATTGTCAGCGGAACGTGTGCGTAAGCTGATATGGAGTGACTCACTCAACGAAAAGGGTGACGAGAGCGAAGCTAAGAGGCATTAATCCATATAGAATGCCGGATACGATCCAGAGGTTATATGTTGTATCTGCTGATACCCTTTAGGCACCAAGCGCGGCCTCGGCAGCTGTGAGCGCTTACCAGACAGAATTCCCCCCGCTGACGTGATCGTGAAGTTGCCAGCGGCCGAGACACAATTTGTGAAAATGAGGATGAGCGGGTACACGATCACGCGCCATGCGACGGCGCGGACAATATGCTGCCCGCCCGTCGATGTGGAGTGCGCGGCGACGATCCGGTGTTCCATAGTGCGCGCGTAGCGAAAGAGATGCGCGATGACGACGAGCGTCGAGATCGAAGCAACGGCCATCGTGAACAGCTGCCAGGCGTAAAACGCGCCGATCTGCCACGCGTTGCGCTGACTTGCATCGGTGATTTTTGTCCAGCAGATGAGGGACTCAGGATCCCAGCCCCAAACATCCTTGACGGCTAGTGAGATCATGGGATCAACTCAAGATCGTGGCGAAGGTGCGCGGGGGACATACCTCCGGGAATAGATATGATGGTTGCCGCGAGGAAGGAGCCACCCATATACCATTGCGCCCAGCCTTCGGTACGAACGCCGTGGACTAGCGCAAGTTGAAGGTTGACCGGGATCAACATCACACAGAAGTCAATATAGTTGCTCGCCCATAGCGTAAGGACGATGCAGGCGTTGCACCAGTGCGTAGGGCCCGTGATCAACATCTCGCCGCTTTGTCCGACGTGAGCGTCGCGCGAGGAACAACTGTGACTGGATCCTCACATGTATGTCGCGCTGTAGATGATGCTGGCAGCCTGGACCGACATGAGGACTTGCAGGCTCTGCCTCTTCAAGGATCCGCGCGTGTGGGGGTTGCGATATACTTTGACGCTCAATCCCAACACGAGTAGAGCAGCAACGATCGCCGCAATCGCAGGCGCCACAGCTGTCCATACCGTCACCGCTTGCCGTTCCGACGTCCAAGTGAAGTCCCGCTTGACCATGTTGAACCGATGTGCGCAAGTGGGAAGCGATCGTCGGGGAAGGTTCTGACACCCCGCATCCCCCCGGCTTTATACCACTCGGGATGTCATAGATAACCAGAGCTGTGAGACGCCGGACGAAGGACGGCCTCTCGCAGTCGGGGAGGCTGTTAGTTAAGGTGCTAGCTTGTCGGGGCTACAGATAGCTTTGGCCCAATGGAACGTCAGGTCTCGTGCCAACCTTCGCTCTCCCGCACGAACCGTTCCATAGCCCGGCTTTTGAGGCCCTCCGAGGGTTGCGGACTAGGTTTGTGTGTGACTATCCGCACGGATATCACCGTCTGATAGAAGCGAGCCTTGCTTATCTTTGGAAGTTTATGCCGCCCGAGGGGAGCGGAGTTAGGACAGAACCTGTGCATATACCCATCCAGCGACTGGTTGGTACCAAGAGTAGGCAGAGACGGTCCGGGCATCCACTTAAGCCAGGTGTGGCTGTGGTACGTGCCAAGTCGTCGACAGCATGACTTGATGTGCATGTGGCTGGGTGGATGACATGTACAACGGGCTTTGGGGGAAACTGTCGTCTACACGATCCGCTTGGGCTTCTGGCGAGCAAAGGTATCAAAGTATTTGGCGGGCGGTGGTGTGCGGGAATATCTGCGAGAAAGGGAAGGAACTGGGAAAGAATCTTGGTCCTTGATGTCCACGTGATGTCCTACGGCTTCGTCGGCGATCTCCTCGACGAACGCCCGACCTGACGAGATTCGACGGCTCCGAAGTACTGTCGCTATTGTTTCAAGGCTTGTCTGCGGTAGCAATGATGCCTGAGATGCTACAGACACGTACAGAGCGCGGCATCTTATTCTCATTCAATTGTCTTCCGCACGTCTGGGAATCCGCGTCACGGCGATGGTCACCGTGAGTGGAGTCACGCATCCTATCCCCTCTCTTCATCGCGCAATCTGTACGTAGGTGTTTATGCATCGGAAATATATCCTGTGGCACAATTCTCGTCCTGACTCGCGGTATCAACGACCAGGATCCACCGCGTCCGACGATACGAACAACGGTGCTCATCACGTAATAGCGTGACTGTTACATTTTCGCGCACCGCGAAGCATCCCTGTCGCGCAGTCACGGTGTTCACAAAAAGACTGAAGACAAAAAGGCCTCCATCTGCGATGTGCATAAAGCAACGAGGAGTGGCGCTTCGAGCCCCTCAACAGTCTTCCGCTCATTTGTGCCTCGACACAACAGGGCCTCGTCCTCCCGGTTGTCGTCCTTTTCGTTTCGTTTTCCCCTTACCTCTCTCAAATCCGAACCTATTCACCGTTGTAACGATGGTGAGTGCCGAACTTATAATCGTGCTCAACCTGTATTCTGACTTCTGCGTGTACAGTCGTACAGCGATAGCTACTCGGACGCGACCTCCGTCCCGCCCAGCCCGACCACGTCCAGCAGCAATCAATCGAGCAGCTCAACGGTGTACAGCTCCATTGACCGCACCCTTCTCGAGCACAAATTCGACCTTGAGACGCTTGACCTCGACGATGAGCTGCTCTCCGCACCCCTCGAATCCTTTGCGGCGCTCTGCTGGGAAGAGGCCGTACGCGGCGACGACTGGAAGCAGCGCCGCCGCCTTGGCTGCGTCGCGCGGAAGCGCATGCCGCGCCGTCCGTCCGTCTTGCACTTCATCGAGAATTGGAGGGCGTCGCTGGACGTCGATCTCGACGAAGCGCCTCCCGCCTATGCAACGCTCCACGAAGTGTACCCTGCGGACGAGCGAGTGGATTTGCAAGACGAATTCGTGAGTTCAACATAGTTCTTTGCGCGATAATATACCTAATGATTGGATAACGTATAGCCGCCGTATGAACCGCCCACGGGAATGGGCGAAAAACACGCCGGTCGACCTCAGATGACCTGCGTACGCCAGTCCGATGGTCAATACATCTTCTTTGACCCTGCGTTCGAGACCAACGCATCGGGGGCAGATGGCGCGCAGTCCAGCCCGCAACGACCCCAGGACAAACCACCGCTGCTGTCACTCAGGCTGGAAAAGCCTGCGAGGCTCGTTCAGAGGGCCCTCTCCTCCAACAAGACAATGGAGAGGACGTAGCGCGAATCTCGCTCGCCACCATTCATATCACAACTTTGTCGTGGTTGGGCGACTCGCTTTGTAGGCTAGGTCCTGCAAAGCAATACTTATATCATATTTTCAATTGTATAATGTACATGTATCCGATAATGTTTGCATACAATGTATCCGGGTCGCTTGTGTTGACTTCCTAAATCGTAACACGATCAAGAAGAGGCCGCTTGGACTTTCCTCCACATTTCTCCGAATGCCGCCACCACCGTGTCGGGCAAGGCCCCCTTCTCGATATCGTTGATACTGGTCTCGATCTGCGACTCCCGGCTAGCGCCGAGAAGTATCCCGTCGTCAGGGCGTAAATCCGAGTGGTGGGCGAGCCATCGTATGGATGACTCAGGCAGCGACAAGGCTTGGGAATCAAGCACCTCTTGAAGCTCAGCAATCGCTGCGTGGATCACAGGCTTGTCGTACAGGCTCCTAAAGAATGCTCCCAAAGCATTGCCGCTTTGTAGGCGTGAGTCTGAAAGATCTCCGCCGGTCGTGAGCTTCCCGGTCAAGATGCCTCCAGCAAGTGGACTGCAGGAGAGTATACAATGTCAGCGCAGTCGTTGTAGGTTTGGGGGGGATAAGACAAGAACCTGAAAGCGTTGAATTGTATACCGTGCTCATTAAGCACGGCGAACAGCTTATCCTCCGCGCCTCGACAGAGCGCGTTGTATTGCCCTTGGTAGACAGCGGGCTTAACGAACTTGTTCTCCACGCAGATTCGGCAGAGTTCGTTCACCGATTCCGGAGTGAAGTTCGAGATTCCCCACTGCAATGGTGCTCATGTTAATGCTTGGGTCGTTGATCCCAGGAGACGTAGATACTGACTGCGCTGAACTTGCCCTTCCGGAAGTGCGCGTCAAAAGCAGCAGCCGTTTCACTCAGAGGCGTAGCATCGTCCGGACGATGACAGTACAGAACGTTGACCTGATGACAATCACAGCGTATGAGAAACACGGAGTATGTATCCGGAAACCATGATTAACACCTTGTCCACCCCGAGTCGTCCAAGGCTCTCCTCGATAGACTTCGCAATAGCTTCGGCGCTCAATGACCCCCTACCATCTCCGGCCACGTTGACCTTGGTGTCGATGACGAAGCCAAGTTGAGCAGCATGCGCCTCTCCAATCAACTTTTCGGAAGCCCCCGGATTCGTAGGGGGATATCTAGCAGCGGTGTCGATTCGGATGATTCCCTTCTCCTTGAGCTTGGACAGGACCGAAGACACTTCTTCGACCGTTGTGAATCGCTCTCCGATGTTGGCGCCGCCAAAGATCAAGTTCACGCCACGAGATGTCATCGCGATTCTCAATGCCAAGACCGTTTTCAGCAGTACGGATGTTGTTCGTGCGGGCTCAATCGTGCTCAGGATGACTGTGTTCAGGATGCGAGTACGTAATGCAGGATCGAAAGGCTGCTCGCCGCAAACGCGCGTCCCCTGAGTCAACAGAACTCGATGGTCACCGTCGGCGAGCTGTGGGTCGGACTGACTCTCAACGACATATGCATGCATAAGCTCCCTTGTGCTACCACCCGACTCGGACGCTCGTTCTTTGCAATCTTTCTCGTTTCAAAGATGCGCTGACAAACGCAAGATACGAATGTCTCAGCGAGAGGACGCAGGCCCAGGAGAACGCGTAGGCGGAGGATGGCAGCTATAAAGAATCGAGTGTTCTGGATGCCCACCTCAATATACAGAAGCCAAACCCCAAGCTTAAACATGTCCTCAGCCAACGAATCCACCAACGCTACGACCGTTGCCCTGTTCGGTGCGACAGGTGTCACCGGCTTATTGACACTTCGCGCCCTCTTGTCGCGCGGATACCGCGTACGCGCCTTTACTCGGTCGCCCAGCAAAATCCCCGCAGACCTTTCGGAATCCGACCTCTTAACGATCATCGTTGGCGAGCTGACGGATGTGGAGAAGCTGCGGGAAACGTTGCTCGGCTCCAATGCTGTAGTCAACATGCTTGGACGTAAGTCACCCTGATATCTCAAAGAACCAGCTTTTCAGTCTGATGTACGATTCATGCAGCCTACGCGGGTAAACACCCTGCGGGTCTACCGATCACCAAAGGGATGGAGACAGTGGTGAGACTCATGGACGAGTTAAGCATCAAACGGTGAGAGATTCACGTCAATCGATATCGATGCTCAGCACGCTCATCCTCCCGCTACAAGATACGTGGCGCTCTCCACCTGTGCCCTGCCGCATCCTTCAGACCATCTGAATGCTGTGACACTGCTGGCCAGCAACATCGCAATCCGGATAGTCGACCGCGAAGCATGGGCCGAGTTCGTCGCCATGGGCCATCTCGTCTTCGCGCAACCGCATCTGGAGTGGACGTTGCTTCGTGTCGGCGCCTTGGTGGGCTCGACCATGAGCGACAAGCCGAAGAAGGGAAACGCCGGATTTCCGGGCGACGGCACCACCCGTATGTGGATCAGGCGCGAGCAGCTCGCGTGGAGGGCGGTGGAGGCGCTCGAGAAGGGCGCTTGGATTCGGGAGATGCCTTACATCAGTGCATGATCACCAGCGCCATCTACTCTATAGGCATTGCCGAGCTCCTCGAATAATACCGCCAGCGTCATTTACTCTATAGTTTTTTGAACAATGAATAATGAAGCAGTGTACAGCAGCGATGGAGGGTTTGCAATACACGATCCCCGGACGCGTGCGCGTGAGCAACTACCGGTCCGAATCCACATGCAAGGGTGTCGTTATGCGTTCTATGACCTTCTTGTGCTTGCCCTGGCATTACTCCGAACAGTCATATTATAATTACGTAGCACCATTCTGTGCGATATTTACGAAGTCGCGGTACATTCCTATGCGCTATCAAGTATGACAACTCGGATACACAGACCACAAGACTTAGCACGCACAAGACAGGTGACATGGATGGAAAGCGGGAATGGAGAATCTATTTGGAGAAGTATCGCGGCTATATAGCAAGAGCGGTGGCATATCGTAGTGCATGCAGGTTCATAATGATGGCCATTGGAGACGATTTTCGACCGAGTGGAAGGGCATATGCGATGATACGATCCCAGTATCTTAGAGGCCAAACGTTGCGGTTCCGAGGTGTCCTCATGACGGCGAGCTCGAGGTTGGGCGCTGGACTATGAACGATCGCCAATACAAATCCAATTCCGTCGGGCGCGCACTTTCCGGCGCCAAATTGCTCCCCGGTACGTCGGACAGGCTTGACGTCACAGGAGTAGCAGAGCATGAAAAGGCCTCGACGTCTGGTGATTCAGGAACACAGGGTTCGCCAGCAGGCCCAACCGTGCCTGCGCCCTGGACGAAGAATAAGATGTAGTTTATTATCATCTAAATTTGATCTGTATGTAAACCGAACGCACCGTGGTCGTAGCTGCCATCAAGGTGGCGGTCCGCCGCCGGTGACGCGTTCGCGTGAATGATAACCGAGCAAACAAAAAGGGCTGTTCGTCTAGTTCGCCGTAAGCCGAGAGGGTATGCTCCTCTTCTTCCGCTTTGGACCGTTCACGTTGTAACTGTGGAGACAGCTATGAGCTACGAAGCGATGGCGCGACAGATGTCTGACTTACGGTCTTGTGAAGCATGAGCATGTTGTGTATCTCGTGATGGGGTTCCTTCGGTACCGCTTGGTTGTGTAAGTATAGACGTTGACAAGGTTCCCGAGGGCTAAGGTTGATGTTGCAGAGAACCATGCTTATGAAGACTGCTTTGGAGCCACTGCTCAAACCGGGTCATGTGAGAACAATGAGGTCTATGAAGCTACAGAACTTTGTTTCCATCGGTGGCCGCACTCCTCATAGTACTGTGTCTGCTTAAAGCGGTCAATCACGACGACGGCAACCGGAGGTGTCACTGCGGACCGAGGGAGTGTAAGCTGAACTAGGTCATACGCGTCCATTTGCTGGTACAAATGAGGGCCGACGCCATGCATCCGCGCCCCCGGATCTTGTATGGTTCAGGCATGGATCAATCCAATATAGACCTGTGATCAATTGCGCTCGTCAATGAAAAGATTATGTTCAATATGCATGAAGCCGAACCAATCCCGATGCCACTGATATTGACTCCAATCAGTTTGCGACTCCCGGTCACGGAACGCCGTCCCCACTGAACTTGGTGAGCAAGGAACTGGTGTCGGGTACCACCGAGCACAGTGGCTGTGCCCGATTTCGACGCTTGAGCCTCGCGGCGATAGGCTTCGATAATAGCGTATTCGCGGGCCACATCAATGTGAGACCTCATGGGAGTAGAAACAGACGGATTTGTATTCTTGGGAGAACGCCCCGCCGAACACTGTGAACACAATATTCTGGGATGGAGAAGCCATGCGGAAGCCGGGACGGAGTTACTTATAAGTACCTGGTCCCTGCGCCTGCAGGTGAGCCCCGCCCATCGTCATGACCAGCCCCACGGAACAAAGCCCTGTGCGCGACACCCAAATAACCAGTCTGGCGCCCCCTTCGCTCTCGATAGCATACGAAAGGGATGATACCTTCTACTTCGAAACCATAACTTTCCTGGTGAGCGCGAGTTCCATCGATGATAGTGGGGGCGCTCATACGGAGTGGGGAGGCCAGGTAGAGGGCTGCCTGTTCAAAGTACCCCGAGAACACTTCGCCAAGGGATCCTCCGTTTTTGAAGGAATGTTCGCTCTGCCTGTCGTAGGCCCCTCAAGTATCGACGGAGAGAGCGATGATCGACCACTACCCTTGCCAGGCGTCTCGAAACATGATTTCAGGCAACTGCTTCGAGTGATGTTTCCGAGGTTAGCCCGTTTCTTGCGAGCTTATGAGTCCTTGGCTCACCAAGCGTGTACACTTCAGACAACCTGCTAGCTGCGACGTCCTGGAGCAAGACCAGTGGGTATCTGTATTGAGGCTCGCAACCATGTGGGACTTCGAGGCCATTCGCAACGAGGCAATTGACCGCGTTGCGTTGTTGACCCAAGATCCGGTCGAGAAGATCGTCCTCGCAAGAGAGTACCACGTCGACCAGTGGCTCGTGCCAGCCATCAACGAGCTTACTCGCCGGACAGATCCACTTGTTCTTGGAGAGGCTATGAAGCTAGGGTGGGATTACACCTTGAAAATTGGGCAGTTAAGAGAGGGCTTCAAGACACATGTCACGCAAAATGGAGGCAGATGCTATGCTTGCGGTCGACATTCGGGTTGTGTCGAACAGTCGAGGATAGCGTACGACTTCAGTGGTCAAATACGATTCCTGTTCGGTCTGTACAATTACTAGCAAATTGAGTCGATTCGCTATGACGTACATTCAGATCATGCGATAACGATAATGGATATTCGAACCAGCTCTGTGTATGGCCTCGAGCATGGATTGCAAGGCTGCAGAAGCCATCTGTGGGGTGAAGGGCTGGTAAATGAAAACTGCATGGAGGTGTCCTTCGCGCACCACATAAAGCAGCCACGACTGCTGCCATCCATGTACACCTGCTCCGGTTCGACCCTCAAGAACGACGTCCCCCCAATCCCCATAGGATATGAATCGCGAAGGCGTTTCTGGAACCACGGACAGGCGGCCGCATCGTCATAGCACCTTCTATTTCCGAAGCGTCGTGTTTTTGGTCAGTAATGTCAGAACCAAGATCGGAGTTCCGCTTTTGAAAGCATCAACAGGTGGAGGATGTTTTGTTCTGCTTGCCCAGGCATCAGTTCGAGCAGAATTCGGAGGTCTTCCGGCACATGTTTGAGTGCCCTATCCCGCCGGTGGACTCGGGACAAGCTGCGGAAGGTACTGTGGACGAGAATCCCATCCGACTGGAAGGCATCGAGCTTGAAGATTTTGAACAGCTCCTTAAAATCATGTTTCACTCGTAATGATTCCCAGAATCCGACGGTTGAACATTTCGCTCACAATCGGTTGCCAGACCCTCCGCGTCCGGACCACCTCAGCTGTCTTGCGACGAATGGGTGTCCGTGCTCAAACTGTCCACGATGTGGCAATTCGCCGAAATACGAGCGCGCGCTGTCCGTGAGCTATCGGCGATTGCGATCGACGCCGTACGAAAAGTCGTTCTGGCAAAAAAATTCAGCGTCGACCAGTGGCTCCTTCCTGCCCTGAACGAGATCGCGAGGAGGGCGAAGCCTATTGATGTTGAGGACATTGAGAAGCTAGGGCTTGAGTACGCCCTGAAGCTCGCGGAAGTGCGGGAAAGTTTCACAGAATCGCCGAAAGCGGTTGATGACGGTCAGCACTCGAGCTCGGCATTCGGTAGCGCATTCGGAGGTCCATACGGAGCGTTCGGAAGCCGTACCATCGTCGACCGACAACAGAGCTGCAACAGCTGTGCACGTAGCTGCTATTGGTGCGCCGGTCATGAGACCACGTCAAGGAGCGATCACGACTTCACAGGGGAAATCCGCCGAGTCTTCAATCTAGCGTAGTCATATATTGGATAGGAGCCTGGGTTTAACTGCTATGCTGGTTGAAGAGCGTGTAGAGACCCGAGTATGCGTGTGAACGATTGTCTTCACTGCGCATCGAGAGTCTGACTGGGGAGACTAGGCGTACAAGAGGGTGGCAACGGTAGAAAAACGCAGTGTCAGCCTTCTGCGCGGATCGACGCCTCCACTGCATATCTCTTGAGCTGCAGCCCAAAAGCCAGGATATATTTCCGCAACGGACCTCTTTCCATGTCGCGTCTGTCTAATTCCTCGGTCTTCAGCCGTTCCGCTTCACGTCGTTTCCGACCCAACAAGACTTCTCTCCACCCAATCTCATCCTTATCGGAAGTACTCGTAGATTCTAATGCATCGACCTCGTTCGCGCGAAGCAATCGTTGCAGTCGACTGATTTCTGCGTCTGACACGTCTTCGCCAGAGCGCAGCCTTTGCGCGATCGTCTCGAGGACGGAGATTTGGGCCCGGAGCTGAGAACGCGTCGCTTCCGCCGACTTTCGGGTGTTCAACAGGTGTATACTGATGGACGTTATCGCCACTGAGTAGAGTATATGCTGAACATAACGGAGGGACATCGACGCCGGTGCTCAACACGACCTTCGCCGTCGGCTGGCGAGTGACCCGCACTGCGTGACGCGCCGAGTCACAAATCACCGCTCATGATCAAGCCCTCACGGTGCTGACTCTTGGCCTCGAAAGTAATATACGCCCCGCAGCGTCATTTGCCTGGAGCAAACATGGCACCTACACAGACATCACAGCCAAACCGTGAAGAGCGACGAAGAATCGCGGAATCTACCCTCGAGGCGCTTGAACGAGGCTCATACACGCTTGACGGCGTATCATACTCCCTTGCGGCTGCGAAAGCTCTAGCAGTTGAGGATACGCGATACTATGCCCCGGATAGTTTTCTGGATTCATGGAAGACCATGCTCCCTGACGAACCTCGATCTAGTCCCCCTACGTTCTCTGTCATAGAGATCTCGACTCTCGAAGGCGCGCGACTGCTACGTGAGCAAACCCCGGCCGAGGAGCGCATAGGCATTCTGAACTTCGCTTCCGCCAAGAAGCCTGGAGGTGGTTTCCTGAGTGGGGCGCAAGCGCAAGAGGAGTCCATTGCGCGCTCCTCTACCTTGTACCCGTCTCTCATGTCGTCCAACGGCCAACAATTCTACAAGAATCATAAGAAGCCCGGGGGTCAGAAAGGCGGATACTACTCGCACGCCATGATCTACACTCCCGGTGTCGTCCTCTTTCGAGCGGATGACGGAAAGTGGCTGGAACCTTTGGAGGTGGAGTCTGTCACGAGCGCGGCTGTGAATGCCGGCGTGGCTCGCAATACGCTCTTTGGTCGCGTTGGAGGACAATCGGAGGAAGCTCGTATCGCGGAGGCTATGAAGGAGAGGATGGCAAGAATTCTCTTCCTGTTCGAGCAACAGGGTGTACGGAATGTGGTCTTGGGCAGTTTCGGAACGGGGGTCTTCAAGAACGACGTTCGGACGGTTGCGCGTCTCTGGCGGGAGCTGCTGAAGGAGGACGGCAACCGCTTTGGACGGAGTTTCGAACGAGTCATGTTCGCCATCATCGGGAAGCAAACCTACGATGATTTCAGGCATGAATTCGAGAAACCCTAGGAGAGATGGGACGGTTCAGCTAGCAGCGACACAGACGTGCGTATACCTTCAATTAAAAATTAGCCTCCTGCACGCTGAAGGGTTCTTGAACAGCGGCAAGATATGCATGAGGATATTGCTACCAATGCCCGATGCAGCGCAATCTGTGAGCCTCTAGTAATCCCTGGCATACCGGCATCGGCCGTTGGATGCTATCAAGGGCTGCGAGGCCAGCGCGCGGCTTGGATACTCCTGGAGAAATTCGCAACGACTGTTCGGGGAGCTACGGACAATCTGACGAAGTGGTAATAGTTGCCACCTTCGGCCTACCAAATCACCCTGAATGTATCAGTGCGCGAAGGTGAAGTACGTCAATAAGACAACATAGTTGTGCAATGACAATCTACGGCCATACAAGAGCCCGAGTGTACTACATGTTATAGCCTGCCTGTAGATCAAGTCTAATATATACATGCATAAGTGTCATCAATGATTTAGCCTTGGTTTCTTGTAGCTTATTTCGTTCGCGTCCGGAAAGAATACTCGTTTGATAATTTGGGCACATTCGCTGCTGGTGAAGCCTAGCAGGTACGACTCCCGCACTTGAGCCAATTTGATGACGCATTCCAAGCCAAGTTTCACTCCTTCCTCCAAGGTCAGGCATTTGGGTCTTTCAACGAGCGCCTTCAATGCGGGCGGGAGCCATCTCTCGTCCTTGATGTCGTACTGAAAACCCACTGTGACCTTCTCCACTGGATCCATAGGAAGTACCAACAGCGCCTCAATGGCTCTCACTCTAATCCCGGCGAACTCCCACATCGTGGCGAGTTCAAGAACGACGAGCCATTCCTGGATGGTCAAGTTTCCGCCGCTGGAAGGGAAACTAGAGCAGACGGAGATCAGAGCGTAAATAACATTGTGAACAAAGAGAAAAAGGTACCTCGGTTGAATCACCCTCAGCAGCTGTTCAAAGTCCCTCTTTTTGATCCCTTGTAACCGGATCGGATTGTCATCAGTGTTGCCTTCTTCTTTGCCGTTTCTCGGGCGCGGAAGGCTGAACATGGTCTTGAATACCCCCGAATCCTGCTCGAAGGTGCGCCGAGGGATGCGATATAGCTCATCTTCGACCTACGTCCGAATTAGCGTAGCAGCGCGGCACAGACATCTTCTCGTTCACTTGGAAAATCACGCTGCGGAGGTAAAATCGGGTGTTTCTCTTCGGCAGAGGCCGTTGACTTGAGGGCGCCGGATAGAAGAACGTGAAAGGATATGGTAACTTGAAGGTTGACATTTCCGAATGCTCAATCGCGTTCGCTCTTCGAAGAATGAGTGAAGAGAGCAAAAATGCCAGCTTTCATACTGTGAATCGTTGCCAGGATGTTGCATGTTCTTTGTTGCACCGGACACGCGCAATACATGCCTTGTGAAGATGCATCTGAGCCTTATCTTATCTCATCGTTGGCTCTCAGCCAATCATAACTCATCTATGGGAGGCATGCATCGACTTTCGTACACCGCGGCGAAATCCTGGAATGCTCACCTGAAAGGCCACCACGTCGACGTGGTTGGAGCGCATGACTTCGGGATGCGGAGTAGCGAAGGCGGCGAGCGAACATCGGTCGGCAAAGTGGACACAACCCTGGGCTAGGGGAGTGATATCATCCTCTGTGCACAAGTATGCAGCTCACGAGGACGATCGACTAGAGGCATCCTGCGTGGCCCCTCTCCAGGATGGCGAAGCGCTTCCCACGAATGCGCGATAACGAGCGCAAGGCGCAAACATGCACAGGCATACCTATCAGAACGTATCATGAAAACGCCATGGCATTCAGCAACCTAATGGCGAAGGCGAGCGACGCGTACAACACGTTCAAGGAGCCATCCTTCTTCCGGGCCAGCTACGCGAAAGCAACCCGATCGCCTCCTTCGTGCCCATCCTTCGCATCTCTTCGGTCCTAACAAAATCCAACTTTGAACTCGAGCTTGACCCTGGAATTGAGGCCGGGCTGGCGGTAGCAGCTGCCTGCCAGATGCGCGGGTTACTGTCCATCTGGATTGCGAACGCGCCGGGCATATTGTCCACTACGACCACGACGTCATCTTTCGTTGACCAGTGCCTGAGCTCGCACTTGCTTGCAGGGATGAGATAACCGTCGTCCGGCCCGTTTCCCGCCGTCTGGAGGAAGACCAGCTGACCGGACCCTCTATTAGCGGGGGTCGGCGCACGGGGCGTCCGAGTCTTGAGGTATGGATTGTTGTTGATTGTGCTTTTCACAGGTGTCGGTTGGGAGGCGCCCGACGTGGGTACGTCAAATATGGTGAGGCGGCGGATTAGGGTACGTTTGCCCGCGTAGAGGATGGTGAAGAGCATGAGACCGAAGGCGGTTTGGAACGTTATCGCAGCGCCGCGCTGGAAGGCTGGTCGGAGCTCCCAACCATCGGGGAGCCAAGGTGTCTGCTTCAAAGACGACAGCACGCCCGCGTCGCCCTTTTCGTCGCCCTTTTCTTCCTTCGTGCTTTTTGGGGACTGGGAGGCGTTCTTCGCTGGTTGCGTCCAGCCAAACCACGTCACCGATCCCATGACACCGCTGTATTTCATGCGGTGGAGTTTCTACAGCATAATCATCCTCTGTCTCTCGCATGCAAAACAGGGCATAATACGCACACAACGAGGCCGTCTAACGTGGCCACGAGGAAGAAATGTCGCAAATACCACGGCGGGTTAACCTCCACTGCGAACCGCGGCCGCACATTCCGCAGACCTTTTGGGAGGCGGTTGATTTTGTAAGGTGTCTCGGCCGCGAGGCGATAGTAGAGCCTGAATAAACCGTTCAATGGGTTCATCGACATTTCTCGGAACGTGGTGCGAGGAGAGACGCGCTAACCCTAACCTTGTGAAGCATCCTCATCAGGACAGCCCCCTAACTCGGTACGCGTATACGGAACTTCAGAAGCTTGCTTGAGCGCTATTACCGACATCCAATCACGTTTCATTCAGAGCATTCACTACATCTTGGATTTCTTCATAAGAGAGACGCAACTCGGGATTGACTTTTTGCACGGAGGCGCGTAGAACACCTCGTCGACGGCGGCTCTGTAATCGAAGCCCATACGAGGGCTGGCGCTGCTCCCCAGAGCCTGCTCGCGCACACGGCCAACTTGATCAAGCAATCCACTCTACCTTCTCCCCTTCTTCTGCACTCTGGGCTTGATGCAAGCGTTAAGCGCGAGTCATTCATGGTCAAAACGACTCGATGTGTGCACAGCAACACTGTCGCAGAAGCTGGTAGGTTTTGGTGCGAGCTATACTCGGCGTATCCCCCTCCGAATATGGGGAAACCCTGGCCTCGCGGCGAGCCCCGTGCTTGTGAGCGAGACCTATCGCACCATGAGGCGACGAGGCGCTGAGGCCTGAGGTCCTCGTCGATGATATCGATCAGCTGTGTCCGGATCCCCCTCACACGAGGCAAGGGTCGACGACATGCTTCGACGTACAACTGAATCGACCTGCAGGCGAGAACGCCACAGCATGCCGCATCCCACAAACGGCCAGAGTAACCTAATTGCCTTCTTTGATATTCGGCTTAGCCCCAACCTCTTCGCGACTATTGGTCTGACCACGAGTGCGCATGCGGGGCAGGGACGTGGGATCTATAGGTATTTGGCGCCGGAAGCCTTCTACATGCGTCCACCATCTGAATTGCGAGTTCATTGGCCATCTTATCCACCCACATCAGCCGCTGCTGCGTACCGTGATGTCTAGCTTCTGGTAGAAGGCCCAGATGTGCATCCTTTGAATAAAGGCCGGTACGTCGTTTGGGATAAGTTTCGTTCATCGGTACAGGAATCGCACTGATTGGGTGGCATCAGTCGCATTGAGCAGCTCGTTCGTACAGCCGTTCGGTATGCAATCTTGACAAGCAGGCGACAGTAGATCGTGAAGTCTGCATCATCCTCAATGACATCCATCCATCGTTGACCTGACCCTAACCCCAGTATACGACACCCCTGAGCTCCTGCCTTTCCTGGACATTCGCCGCAGAGCACTGGCAGTGGAAGACGCCCACAAGCTCCGTCGTTGCGAGAGTCACGGCACCCCGGAGAAATCATCAACGTTATACCAACATCTTGATATATGCGACTTTGGATGGTTCAGCAAGGATGTACAATGGCATCGTGAGATGTCAGGCGCTCGTTCGAGCTAGAGAAACCGCGAAGTGACCAACAAAAGCTTCCGTCAGCGGCAGAAAATCCAGACCGTCGGCTAACGCGAACACGCGCCGCGCACGAGAAATTCGTACGTACTGTCGTCGCCGCCGTCGCCGCAAAACATGCGTCCTACACGTGTATCAGCACCCCATCTCATTGTCCGCGCCCCCGCTTTTCTACCGCCCGCACGCCCTCGAGCGCCAGCTCATCCCCTCATCATCTCCTCACCTCTTCCCTCACCCATCTAATCTCTCCCTTCCGCACGACGAACGCCCGTAGTTCATAAAAGGCGTATCTTATCTCCCTTCATCCCTGGTTGATTGGTGGAATCTCTGAACCTGTTGTACTACGACTCTTTTGGACGAAAAACAACGACACGAAGATGTCTTACCACCAACGCCCTGCCTCTCCGAACGGGAGCATCGTCATCATCCCCGAGCAGCGCATCCGGCGCTCGCGGGACTACTACCTCGACGGCGCCGACCTCGTAGTTCTGGTAAACACACCAATTTTTCGTGACCTCGAACGTGCTGACATCCCATGCAGGTCCAGCAGATCCTCTTCCGGGTCCACTCGTACTTCTTCGAGCGTGAATCGATCTACTTCAAGCACCGGCTCTCGTGCCCGACCTCGCCCGGTCAAGACCGCGAAGGCTCTTCCGACACGAACCCCGTCATCCTCGACGATGTCTCTTCCGAAGACTTCGGGCGCTTCGTCTCCGTTTTCTACAACCCGTACGTGCCCCTTCCAAACAGCATATACTCAACCGAACTCACCGAACTCTTGTCATCAGGAAATACACGCTCTACGACCACATGACCGTGCCCGAATGGACCTCCGTCCTCCGCCTCGCCCACTACTGGCAGTTCCGCGAAGTCAAAGCGCTCTCCGTGCGCGAGCTCCAGACGCACACCATCGCGCCCGTCGAGAAAATCTCGATTTACCAGACGTACAACGTGGACATCCAGCTCCTCCTACCGGCCTTCATCGCGCTCGCCGTCCGCCCGGAACCGCTCGCCGTCGACGAGGGCCGACAGCTCGGCTGGGAGACCGCGATGTCGCTCGCCAAGGCGCGCGAGCTCGTCCGCGCCCTGCCCTCCACCAAGCCCAAGTCCGGCAACAACGCCAACAAGGAAGGCGCGAAGGAGTACGAGACGAACGAGGCCGAAGTGCAGAAGATCGTCGAGCGCGAGGTGATGACGACCGTCACGCCGCCCAAACCGGCGCTCCATATCAACGGCTCGTTCGCCGGCGCGTCCAAGCAGAACACGCCGCTCACCGCGCACGTCCGCTCGACTTCGAATCCCTTCTCGCAGAGCTTTCAGCCGTCCAGCGCCCCCTCCACCGAGACCAACGGAGAGGCGAACGGCGACGCCGCCTCCAAGGCCGCCGACTCCGGAAAGGACGTCAACGTCAACGGAAAGGGCGGTGCCGCAAACGGGACGGGAAGCATCTCCGGACGCCCCAATACTGGTGAATCGGTGATGACCCCTCTCTTGCCTCCGTTCTCCTATTGACTGACCGTGTTTGCCTTTCCTACCTTTTTGTTCGCCCGTGCGTGGTATAGGTGCCAACGCCAACGGAAACCGTCGGCAGGGCAGCCAGTCCAACTTCCAGAGCTTCGCCTCCGCCGGCTCCAAGTGAGCCCGCGGTCGCGGAAGGGGAGGAGGCGCGGGCGCCGCAGGAGGTGGAGGAGGTGAAGGACGTGGATGTGAAGGAGGTGCCGGCACCGAAAGTAACGGAGAAAACGAAAACCATGTCGAAGGCAGCGCGATTGCGGGAGGAAAAGGAGAGGAAGGAGCGAGAGGCGGAGGAGGCGGCGCGACGTGCCAAGGAGGAGGAGGAACGTCGCGAGGAGCAGATGAGAGCTGCGGCGGAGGCGAAGAGGAAGGAGGAAGAGGCCCGGGCCTCGGAGAAGAGGAAGGCAGAGGAGGAGGAGAGGAGGCGCGAGGAGGAGAACGCCAGAGCCAGGCGGGTGGAGGAGGAGGCCAGGCGGGTGGAGGAAGCGGCGAAGAAGCGCGAGCAAGAGGCCAAGCAGCGTGAAGAAGAGGCACAGCAGTGGGCGCAGGCAGCCAAGGAGAAGAGCGCCCAAAGCTCGCCTTCGAAGGAGCTCAAGTCACCGTTCCCGTCCGCTCCTTCCACACCCTCTAAATCAGGCACCTGGACCGGCCCGCCAGGTCCTGTCATCACGCCCGTTTCGACCTGGCGTCCGCTTTCTGAGCGCAAGAAATCGCAAGCGGCGAGCGTCAACGTCGCGGACGTGTTCAGCGACGCCACGGACCCTACCCCTGCGCCGTCCGCAGCGCGGCCCATACCGTTCCCCGGGTCTTCTGCGACGCGCGAGCCCCCGCCGCGCATCATGACACCTCCGCTCTCTGCGCCGTCAACCAAGCCCGTCATCCCCGCCAGTCTCGCCACACCCCTGGCCAAGATTGGGGACTGGTTGGGCGGCCGGCGGCCGGGCACGTCGTCACCGCCCAAGCCCGCCTCGCCGGCGTTGCACGGATCACCGAAGAAGGACACGTCGACACCGTCTGCCGTCGTGGCCACCAGCGCGAAGGACGAGTGGAGCGCATGGGAGCGGCCGGAGGAGAGGAGCCAGTTCGGAGACCGGTGGAGCATGAATGCGGAGAAGGTCGTTGGGGAGAGCGTAGGGTACCTGACTCCCCTCCCACCGTCGTCGACGAAGGACAAGCAGCCGTCACAGGTGATCGTAGAGACGAAAGTGGAGGAGGATAAGGCGGGCAAGCAAACCCTGGTCAAGGAGGGTGACGCTGCCAAGGTTGGTGTACTTCTACGATAGATTGGCAATAAACTGATAGCGTCCGTCGCATACTCTAGAAGTGTGCCTCAGCCGATGCCGTCAACGATGCTCTGGGACCAAAGAACGACGCAAAGCCCATTCCCGGCAAGGAGGGCAAGACCTCGAAGCCTCCAGCGGAGCCGGTCGTTGCCAAGGACAAGAAAGCGACACCTGCCGCAGAGCCCGCGATCGCATCCGAGAAAAAGGACGAGATGCCCGTCGAGCAAGCAGTGGCCGCGAAGGATGACAAGAGCGCGAAGCCCTCCGCGGATGGTGGAAAGGTCGGTCAGAATGCCGGTGCGAACGTCAAAGAGAGCACCGCTTCCAAGGTGGGTTGAGTGGTTGTCGTCGATGTGAATTGCAGTTGACAAATGTTGACCAGGGCCCGGAGACTACGTCCAAAAAGAGCAAGAAGAACAAGAAGGGGAAGGGTGGTGCTGCTGAGGAGAAGGCGAAGGAAGTCGTCGCGCCTGATCCTGCCCCTGCCCCCTCTCCTGCCCCTGCTTCTACTCTCGCTGCTGTACCTCCTACCGACGCCACAGATGTCTCAGCTACCAATGCTATATCCGACACTCTTGACTCTATTGCTATCCCCGCGAAAGCTGAGGCCAACACAGCTAAGCAGCCTGAGTCGAAGCCCGATGTTCAGGCTAAGACGAAGGGCAAAATGAAGGGCAGCAAGGACGAGCCGCTTCCGCCTGTATCCGACTCCAACAAAACCCCCTCTGTTCCCGTCTCCACGCCAGCCAAAGACGCAGACGTAGAAGCACCCGAGTCCGAGACCGTCGGACCACTCACCAAGGCTGCCAAGAAGAGGGCCAGGAGAAAGCAAAAGGGTACGGCCCCGGACGACGAAGCCCCTGCGACCGAGTTGGCCACCGCGATTTTGGTCAAAGGAACGGTCACCGAAGGTTCTGCTCCTGAGACGGTTCCTGAGCTGTCAACTACGGAGATCGAGCCGGAGAGTCACGCGCAGGATATCGTTCCTGAGACTGTACCGAAGAGCCCTGTACCCGAGACCCCTGCAGAAGAAACCACCCCCGAGATCCTTGCAACGGAGGCCCATGCCGCGGAGAGCGCACCGGAAATTCCCGCCAGCACCATTGAGACGGCCGCCCACGAAGCTGCGTCCGACCAACCTGTGTCGGACACTGCGCCAGAAATTCCCGTCAACGGCGAGCCGCCTGCGACGAAGGCTAAGGCCAATGATCGGGATTCATCGACAGGAGTTGCTCTTATGGGTGATACGAAGGCAGCAGAGGATAGGAAAGCGGCGGGTGATACCAAGGTGGCATGTGATCCCAAACCGGTAGATGATCCCGAGACGGTGGACGATCCCAAGGTGTCAAGTACTTCGCAAGAGGTTCCTCTCCAGAATGACACGAAGACTGAGCCTCTTGCGACAACGACGGCGGAAGGATCACCATGGAAGAGCGCCCCACCTGTAATAGAGGGTATGGGCGGCGTAGAGAACAGCGACGGCTCTCAAGCGAGTCCGTCGAGGGATCAAGCTGCCCAGGCGATTTCCGCCACCGAGCACCCTTCCGATCCCGCGACGAAGGAGATGCAGGAAGCGCCCACGCCCGCCATGGAGGAAATCACGAAGGCTGTACCGCAGACAATTCCAGCGTCGCAAGAAGAGGTACCTCACGCATCTGCCGTCACACCACCAGCGGAAGCAGGCAAGACTATGGAGTACAAGACGAAAGATTCGCCGGTGGCACATGCACCCGGTCAGGCGGTGACATCTCCCGTGATTACAGCAAAGCCGACATCATCGGATTCGCAGAGGAAACTCAAACCGTCTGCAAGTTCCGTTGCTACTAGCGGAGAGACGAAATCCGGGGGAAACACGTCGAACAAGTCTTCGTCTAGCGGGTCGAACCCTCCATTGCCCACCAGAGAGGTAGATGAGACATTGACAGATGCAACTCAAATGTTGCAGGTACATCGCGAAGTTCAAATTCTCGAGAATTAGTTGATAATCTCGTTCTTTTGCAGGAGGCCCGTGCGGCGCCTGTGACCGCTTCCCTCCCACCAGTCAAGCCTGGTACTCCAGCCAAACGATTGTCGTTGACTGAAAGGCTTGCTGCTGTTGGCAACAAAGGCAAAGCGGATTCATCGACGGATAAGACAAAATCCGAAGAACAGACCAAGAAGGCCAATTTACCGAGCAACCCTATCCCTCATAGTACGACTGACCAGAATATGGGTGACACCGCGGTTGCGAAAATGCTTCCTTTCGCTGCGGCTGGGCCTACAGACCTTACTTCTACTTCTGCTACGGGCACAGACGCCATTTCTCCGACAACGGTGGATCACTTTTCCCAGGCCAAATCGGAGCCCGCCTCGCAGTCGACACTCGCTCTGGAGAGCGCATTGGTTGACGTCGCCTCCGCTCCATTGCCCTCGCCTCCAAGCGGCGGCGTCTCTGCCCCTGCGGAGGAGCATATCGCTGAAGTCGACCCATGGGGCGATGCTACATCGCTCGATGTTCCTCCCGATCCAGAAGTCGAGGCGATTGCCGATCAGTTCGCAGGTCTCAAAGTCGGCTATGGACAAGTAGAGCCCGTAATTTCCCCGGCTAACAAAAATAGCGCAGCCAAGGATGCATCCATCGCTACTACTGCGCTCGAGACCGTCGCATTGAACCCTTCGAACCATTCGACCGGATTGCCTCCACTCACGTCGTCGTCCAGTGTTGCAACGTCAGCATCAGCAGCGCCGCCAGATACCTCTGGGGCTCAAAAGTCGAGCGCTGTCGATGCTACAAGCGCGACATCTGTTGGCGATGCATCTGCAGAGGAACGGACGAATCTGAACCCCGCATCTCCTCCTAGTGCTGTACAAAACCTGGCTAGCGAAGCTATTGACCGTTCCCTCGCGGTTGAAAATCTGCAAGCTAGTGGTGGTGAAGCCACATCGTCCGCTCCTGCTCCGAATGAACTCGCTCAGGTCACGGACAGGGCACCTGAGCCACAGACTTCCTCGAAGGACGCCTCAGTCACTGACACGAAAAGTACCCCGGGTTCCGGTCCCGCCGAGGGTGCGGATCCACTCGCTTCAGCAGCGCAATCAGCCGAGGCGAAACCCCAACCTGACCAGCCTCGTGAAAAGCCCAACCTCGCCAAGCTCACCGTATCTTCCGCATCCGATAGCCGACCTAGTACACCCGACTCTGTTCAATCCCCCGTCCCGTCCGAATCCGGCGCGGTCCTGACGCCCGCGCAGAAAAGGGCGGCCAAGAAGGCCAGGCAGGCGGAGAAGAAAGCAGAAGAGCGGTTGAAGCAGCAAGAAGAGCGGTTGAAGCAGCAAGAAGCGCTGGAGGCCAGAAGGCGCGAGGAAGAGGAGGAGCGGAGGAAGGCGGAGGAGGCGGAACGCACGGAGGAGACAAAACGTGCGGAGGAGGCACGACGTGCGGAAGAGGCGAAGCGTGCCGAGGAGGCGGTGTCGAGGCGGGCGACGGAGCCGAGGCGGGCAATCGCGCAGGACGCGGAACGCAAAGCAAAGGTTTTGACTAATGCACAAAGTGCTGCGAGAGCGCCAGCTGGTCCCTGGGCGAAGGGCCCTCCTGGACAGAATGCCTGGGGCTCCAAATCAGCATCGAAGCCAGCGCAGGTACTGCCCAACCCGGTGACGACGCCGAAGGAGGCTCAACCTTCCGGTCCGCGCAGTTGGCTAAGTTCTTTCGCCAAACAGGTCGAAGGGAAACTTGAAGGGTTAATCAACGGGGAAGAGACTGACACAAGTTCGACATATGAAGACGCACGCAGTGATATGACCGAACGATAACAACGTAATTCTGACGCATTTATATGATATGTGATTGAACGAGTTGAATGTGTCATACTTGCTTGACATCAAGCCGCTGTGTTTGATGGTCTGGACGACAGATGTCGATGTAGTTCTTGTATGAGTCCATGGAGGTGCTAGCAGCGATAGTGACACTAGCTGTCAACCCTGGCCAGCCTTTAGTCTGTGCACATATATGGAGCTCCTCAAGATCAAAAGACCTTTTCGAGCACGGAATCTTATCAACGGCATGACTGAATGACCATGTTGACAATTGTTGACAATTTGCGACTTTATTCGCAGGTTCAAGATACCATGCGCGATGTGCAGACCTTGCGATGGTGGTAGCGGATCCTCGCAGCTCTGCGCGGGATCGAGATCGCGCCCCGCATGCGCTGCCGCGAAGACGCACACCCTGACGCACACCCTTGGCCATCCACGTCCTCTCCACATCATCATCAAGGGCAGAGATACGCCTCTGATGCTTGCTTGAAAAGGACATGAGTACCAATGCGTGAACACCGAAGCCAGTCCGGTAACAAATCGTTATAGTCTGGCGCAGTACAAAGGGATCAAATACGGAGATAATTTACGAAAGCAACACACCACCATAGGTAACATAAATAAGTCGCATCTAGGAGTTGTGTTCACTACAAGAGTCTTTGAGTTGGGCTAGGGATTGGCGGCATTCTTACAAAACCAAGTTATCTCGGAGCGCGCATGCGGGCGTTCGCGGCGGTCGCGGATGAATCGACGAAGGTGAAAGACGACGTCGATGGCTGGATCGACGTGTTCGAAGTCGAAGGCATCAGCTGCCCGAACGGCGGAGTCGGGGCATTCGTCGAGGGCATGTTGGGCACGTTGTTGTAACCGTGGAATTGGTCCAGCCTGAAGACCCTCTGCCCGGCCGGAAGGCCCGGACGCTCTTCGGGCAAGGGCTGAAAGTGGTTGCGGTAGTGTCGCCGCATGTTACTGTTCACTGAGAACAGCCTTCCGCAGTTCGGATACGGGCACTCGAATGCTATTGTAGTCACTCATGAGCATGAGCGTTCGCATGAGAGAGCGGAGCACTCACGTCGATTTCCGGTATGTATATTGTAATGGGTAGCAAGGCTGCTTGGGCGGCTGAACTGGCGTCCGCATACGTCGCATTCGTGGACAGTTCCACGCGGGTGACGCTGTCCTCGAGATCCTTCGCTGTCCCCGTCAGATTCGTTTTCGGTGAAAGAGGATTGCTCGTTGGGGGAGGTAGAGGGTAAGGCTTGAGAGGGTAAGGCTCGATCGGCGTATCCCTGATTCACAGACGTACCCCTCCGCTGATTGTTGTCTGACGGCACAGAGTATGGCCCTCGTTCTTGCGCAGGAACAGGCCACGCGTTTAACCGTCCATCTCGTCTGGAAGTCCGAGGGTCATTTGCTTGAGGGTAGTGTTCGGGGTGAGTCGCCGACGGACGAGCATGCATGAGCATGGCGGAGGGGTTCGCCGAAGCGGCATTATTGCTTTGCACAGGAGGCGCCCGAGACTGCAAGGACTCGCGTCCTGATGGAACTCGTCCGCTCCTTGGCTGCTGGGCTTGCTCGAAAAGACGCTCTGACAAAACAAGTGTGGTTAGGTTCAGAAAAAATGGCCGTGCGATTTGGCTGACCTGGGAGCATTTCTTCGATGCTCGGTAATCTTGGGAGTCCAGACATGGCGTCAACTAGGCACCGCGTGCAACCTTTGGAAGTGCTAGTGGGATCTTGCTTTGCAGGCTGAGTCCGCGCATTGAAGCAATATATACCCCGAGCTAGAGGAGGACATGATCCGATGGATGCGTTAAGCAGGGCCGAAACATCATGACACAAACTTCTACAATTAGACGCTCACCGCTCGCTCGCACCTGCCTGGATTTCGTATGATACTTTCTGAATGAACGCATCCGGGAGGATCGGCGATGCTAAGAGTCGCCGTTGATCTTAGTTGAGCCAGAATAAAGGGGTGCTGTCCCTCGTACCCGTATGTTACGTTGAATCAAGATCCGGAACCTTTGAAACTAAGTTGATGCAGAAAGCTGAGGCACTGCCAATGTCGTAGACGTTGACGGATGGCTGTCCGTACTCCTGAGGATGAAAAAGCGGGAAGACGAAATGCACCACGCACGAGAACCACAAGAGAAGAGACACAGCCATTGTGTGCCTTGAGGTACTACTAGCGTCGAATCAGATGTTGACCCAAAGAACACCAACCTGCGACGAACCCGCAGCCGAACTGGAATGGAAATTGCTGCGACAGACTGGCCGGATTAGAAGTCAAGATTATCATCCGGAGTCAGCATGATCTGGAGCAAAATCTCACGCTGGATCTTGATCTCCTTCATCTCCTTGACAGCGAGTGGTGCCTTTTCGTGTAGGCTTGCAACTGCATGTGCAAGAAACGCGCTGCGAACCAGAAGGTGACGAGATGTTTGGGGAGTACGGGCGCCCGAGTTCATTTGTAGCATCCCCTGATCCGGTACGTTTCATACCCGAATCTGCGCCGTGTCATTCACAGTCGCAGTACTGCGTTGGAATCTCTGCGATGCACTAATGGGTTCGTATCCATAATCTGTATCCTGTTCGGCCGGCGGTTTATGAAGAGTTTTCTCAAGCAGTTCAGGGTGCAGTTTATGTTGCTAGATCACTGTGTGACGATATGAACGAGCCAAGACGAGTTGGATATGATGAGTACTTGCCGCAGTTCGGAGTTGAAGGATGAAGTTCAGTTAGTGATGAAAAGGACGCGGTCACACGGAAAGCGGTGCTGGCCACCCTACTTCGAAATTCGCACGCATAATCTCTCTATCTTGCACGCATGTTCTTCATCATCGGATTGGGACTCTGCGACGAGAAGGACATCACAGTCCGGGGCTTGGAAGTGAGTGTTATAGAATTAACACGATATCCCACTGATAGTAGTCCAGGCGGTTCGAGGAGCTGCTCGCGTCTACCTCGAAGCGTACACGAGCATATTATTAGTCCAGAAGGAGCGCTTGGTTAGTCTCTTCCTCACCTCCGTTCAACACGAGGTAAGAAATAGGTTCCGGAGCTAGGAAGCACTCTATGGGAAAGATGTGATCCTGGCGGATCGTGACATGGTGGAAACCAACAGTGACGCTATCCTCGAGGACGCCGACAAGGAGGACGTCTGCTTTTTAGTGGTCGGGGACCCTTTCGGGTCAGCATCGCGCACTGGACGGCGAGTGCCTTGGTCCGCTGATAGTGATCTGCAGAGCCACCACGCACACGGATATCATTCTCCGAGCGCGCGCGCGCAAGATCCCAGTCCGCGTGATCCATAACGCCTCGATCATGAACGCGGTGGGCGCCTGCGGTCTGCAGCTGTATAATTTTGGACAGACGGTCTCACTGGTTTTCTTCACGGATACCTGGAAGCCGAATAGCTTCTATGATCGCATCGCCGAGAACGCTGAACTCGGGATGCACACTCTCATTTTGCTGGACATTAAAGTTAAGGAACAGAGCGAAGAAAATTTGGCCAGGCACGTTGTACTTCTTCATGGAACGAATGCACCTACTAACTGTACATTCCCGTAGGGGGAGGAAAATCTACGAGCCACCGCGCTACATGTCGATCACAACCGCGGTCTCGCAGCTACTGGAAGTCGAGGAAACTCGTGGAAAAGGTATTCTAGCAGGCGAAAAAACGCTCGCAATCGCGATGTCTCGCGTGGGCGGCCAGGAGGAGCAGCGCATTGTATGCGGAACGCTCGCAGAATTACTGGCTCAGCCAGAGGAAAAATTTGGGTCGCCTCTGCATAGCTTGGTCATCGTAGGGAAGAGAGTGCACCATCTGGAGATCGAGTACGCCAAAGAGTTCGCGGTGAATACCGAATCTTGGCTGGATGTTGCGCAGCGGGTGTATGGGTGCAGAATGGATTAGCCATTCTTTGGACGACGTATCAGGAAGCCTCAAGCCCGCATGCACATATTCAGCTTTCCTTCTCTGGCTCCGGTCAGTGCGACCCAACTCCTGAGACGTCGCCGCAAAGTCTGTATGGAGTTCCTTCGCAGCGTCATTGCATTCTCATATCCTGGTACGCTTATTCGTCACGACCACCGAACGAAGCTGCCTATGGATCGCAGTCGCACAATCAAGACATCGAGCGATGGGGGGCCATACGAACTCTTCCCAGAAACAAAAATAGCGCTCCGAGTCGCCGGGCAAACATCTTCCTAAGACTACTTATATCCGATCATCTAGCTTGGCGACGGTTAGAGAACAGTTGGGGCGGGTGCTGACCTATGATGACTCTGTACGAAGTATGCCACCGTAAACTGCTAGGGACGCATGCCAAGGGCACAAGATGTTTATCCGACTAGTGTGTGATGTGTCCGAAATCCGCAAACATGGGCGGTGTCGGTTACGGTACGGCCGTGGGTGCCCACTCGTTCGCGGAGATAATCCTGAAAGGCAACAGATGTCCATCAGCGCCATTGTGTATTCAATCGCTTCGTTGAGCACCCTCAGTCACTGTGCACGCATCGAACTGTTGGGAACCATGCGAGGCGAGCACGGAACGCACATATGTATTCTTGTCTGCACCGCCACCGAACGATCCCTTGCGGGACGCGTCGCATCATGCATGGGTTCCACCTTACATCCAGTCATCGCAACTCTAACATAGCTTACTGCCTGGTATGTAGTGAGCCAAGGACGACACAGCCAGGGGCTCACAGTGGCACAGTTACATGGAGGCAGAGTCAAGGTTGAGTCTGAGAACACGAATCATGATCGGGAGTCACGATCATAGATATAGCGACTCACAATTGCAAGACTCATGGTTTCGATACCACGGCTCCGTCTCCGGAAGCAAAGGCTCAAGTAGCCCGACACCTAAAGATCGCAGGCAGAAGAACACACACTCCGCCAAAAAAAGCCACCGACATGTCCGAATCAGGGAACGCCTTCACGCCCGACCCCAACTTCTTCATCGAGACCGACCGGCTCTACATCTCACACTGGCTCCCCGACGTCCCTGCGCATTGCCAATTTCTGTGCACGCTGTGGAGTTCTCCCGGGTTCGTCCAGAGCTGCGGGAAAACGGGTATCGACACGCCCGAGAAGGCCAAGAACATCATCGAGCAGCGCTTCGGCGCCCACCACGCACGCAACGGCTACGGCATGTACCTCGTCTCGCTCAAGCCGAAGCCCGGTGCGACCCGCGAGGAATCCGTCCCCATCGGGAGTGGTTCTCTCCTGAGCGGCGTTCCGCCCAATGCGTACGAATTTCCCGACGTGGGGTACGCGATTATCGACGAGGAGAACGGCAAGGGGTACGCAACTGAGGTAACGAGGGCGTTGATCTCGTACGCGACGAAGGAGTTGGGGCTGAAGGGCGTGTTCGGGTTTTGCGCCGCGGATAACAAGCACAGCCAGGCGGTCTTGAATAAAGTGCTGCAGTATAGAGGAGAGAGAAATCTGCGGGTGTTTGGAGGTGCACGAAGCGCGGTATATGCGCTGCCCGAGATGGACCAGGATCTCAAGGTTTACGGCGTCGACGATTGATATTTATCGGTGTCTCCATGCTATTGTATTTTCGCTTTGTACCGGTGGACAAGAGGAGGATGAACAACAGCTAATCACTACTAGAGATGTGTAAGAACGCAGCATGTGAGCGCGATGGGTGGATGTGGTGGTCGGGTCGAAAGAGCGACGCCGGCAAACTGCGGCAGACGCGCTCCCCTCGCGTGGGTGTCCATTTGGTGCAACGCTCGATAGCCCTTGATTACGCTCTTCGTGTCTTCCGCGCTCGCTGACCCAAAGGAAATCGATTCTTGACGCCGTGCCGCGCAGAGAGAAAGGGATCCCATCAATGTGATTTCTGCGAGCAAGAATAATCTCTGCACGATTAAACCTGAAGCTGACGCAAGGAACACGTCCGTCGCACGAGAACGACCGAGCTGCCCTGTCTCAAGATTCAGCGTCATTACGTGCTGCATACTGCTGCCATGACGGTAATCTTGGCGGGAGCTCAATCGACGCTATTCACCGCGAAGATCGGCGTCAGCGCAGCCCCGAGTCGCCGCCTTTCAAGGACATGAGCAAAGTCGCACACACAACCCGTCGTGCTGGTGGACGGCATAATACGGTGTCCTCCGAAGGAGTGAGTCCTTCCGTCTGTGAGACCTGGAAGCTATTCATGTCAAGAATGGTCATCCAGTATAATCGGGGTCGCTTTCTCCTAGCTTCATATCGTAAAGTCGTCGGATCACGAGGCAGTTACGCTCTGGATGTGCCAAGACGCCGTCATTACACCATTGAACTACAGGTCAGATGAGGGTCGTTGACAGCAGCAGGAATTGCGCTTGGAGCGGAACGCTCGACAACTTACGCTTTCTGTCCTGCTTCCGTCCATTCCCGGGCCTTCCGATGATATCGCTCCGTTCCTATCACGGACGCCTCGCCCGTGCGGCGTTCGTGCTAGCTATATAAGACCACAGATGGTGCACACAAATACTACAACAGCCTCGACACCGCTTGATATCTGCTAGTTGTTCACCATGTCAACCTCGCACCAGATCACTGTTACGGGTGTCTTGCCCACTCCCGGTCAGATGCAAGCTCGCAAGGCCGTTAGAAAGAACATCAAGGATCTGATCAAGGACGAAAAACAGTTCTCGCTGTACATTCAGGCTTTGAGTACGCATTCCGCTGAGCCTGCCTAGCCACTTTTTCATATACGTTGCTTTAGTCCTCATGATGGGAAGGGACCAATCCGAATCGCTATCGTGGTTCGGTGTCGGTGGTATTCACGGCCTCCCTCACACTCCTTGGGACAATGCCGGCGACAAACCCCAGTGGGGATACTGTGCGCATGCCACTGCGAACTTCCCCACTTGGCATCGGCCATATGTTACGTTGTTTGAGGTACGATCATGGATGTGCTGTGCCGAGGCGCATTCCTGATGACCGAGTTCTGTATACAGCAAGCTTTGCAGGGCTACGCCGTGCAAGTCGCTAACAAGTATACCAGCGACAAGGATGCATGGCTTGAGGCGGCCAGGGACCTCAGAGCGCCTTACTGGGACTGGGCCCAGGACGCTATTCCCCCGGCCGAGGTAATTCGTCTTCAAAAGATCCAAGTCACGACCGCGCAGGGCAAAGCCGAAGTGGAGAATCCTCTGTACTCCTATCGATTTCACCCCATTGACCCCAGCTTTGACTCCTTCACCGACGTGCCGACAACTGTCCGGAACTCTCAGGACGATGATCCGACTAAAACGAACGTCCCTGCCCTGATTGAGTGAGTGGCATTCCCGCAGGGGGAGATGCTTGAATGCTGACCTTTCGACATACAAAGGTCCTTACAAGGCCTGAACAACTGGCTTGGCGATGGAATACGAGCAGAAACCTACAAAACCCTCGTTCTCCTCAAGAATTGGAAGGTTTTCAGTAACAAAGGTTACCAGCCGAAACGAGGTGCCAGTACGTTGAGAAAGCACTGCGTCCTGTCGTCATCCTCAACCTCCGTCCAGTTCAACTTGCTAACAGCCTCGAATCGATTCATGATATCATCCATGTTACTGTGGGCGGCAATGGCCAGATGGCCGATCCCAGCTATGCAGGTAAGTGATGATGGGTGCCGGCGGTTCAAGCATAACTGATGAACCACTGACACAGCATTCGATCCTATCTTCTGGCTCCATCATTCTAATGTAGGACTCGGTGCCTTGATTTTTCGCTGAACTCACGAATCATCCCTAGGTGGACCGTCTTCTTGCGTTATGGCAGGCGTTGAACCCAACCGCCGGTGTTTTTGCAAAGGATGGTCCGGAAGGCGAGATCGCTAACGATGGTTAGTTAGGCCAGCGCCGTGGTCACAAAATCAACTTTCTGATTATTCTTGCGTAGATTTGACCCCCTTCTGGAACGGCCCCACGACCTTCTACAAGTCAACTGAAGCCGACGTCAGCACCTGGACCGACTTGAACTATACATATCCCGAATTTGTCGGCTTGGAAGGCCAGTCCCAGGATCAGATCACCACAGCCATCCGAAACAAGGTGAACCAGCTGTACGGAGCCCGGCCCATACAGGCGAACTCGCCGGTGGCGATCCCGTCATCTGTGGATCTTGCCTCCCAAGCTCCGGTTGCAGCGTCACCCGTCTCGTTCCTGTCCCTCATGCCTCCTGCCCAAGCCGGTGCGCAGGCACCAGCTGCAGCGCCGACCCACTTCGTAGAGTGGTACGTTCGCATCCGATCCAAGCGATTCGAGATCGGAAAGAGCTATACAATCCTCATCTTCCTCGGCGAGCCGCCTGAGAACCCTGCGCAATGGCGCACCTCACCGAACCTTGCTGGTATCCACGCCGAGTTCGTTAACTCGCACCCGCAGGGCTGTCCGAACTGCAACGACCAGAGGGATATGATCACTGAGGGTTTCGTCAGCATCACGGAGTCGCTCAAGCATCGCGGATTTGAGGAACGCCCCGAGGCTGAGATCGACGCGTATTTGAAGGAGAATTTGCATTGGTGCATCCAAAAGGTACGAGCTTCGCGACGCAATACGATGCGGCACGTATGCTAACGCGTCGTTTTCAGAGCGATGGCTCGGTTCTATCGGCCGAGGACTTCCAGAGTCTCGAAATTGCAGTCTTGTCGGTTCCTCTGGCGGTGAATGAAGCAGACCAGGTCTTGGAATTGCCAGCTGGTACCTTGCCCGTCCATCGTAACGTAACCGACGGGCGTGCGGGAGGGCGTAGCTCCGCCTGATCGTGTGCCCTTGCTGGAGCAATGTATCAGTATATCATGCATCTTCCTCAATAAGCCTTGCACTGCCGCTGTATCGCATCTTCCATATGACCGCAACCCCATGCCGTTGTATTCGCGAAACACCAGAGGTTTGAATATGTTACATGAGATAAGTACTAGGGGGAAGACGGCATTGGCACTGTTCGAAGATGCAGCAAATGTACACGAGGCACGGCAAAGCAGTATTTTGCATAGTTCTGCGGTCGCTCCGGGATTGCGTTCGAAGGCAGTCAGGCATCGTCGTCGTCAGCGAAAATATTCTCAACCTTTGCCTTTTTCCGTGGTAATTTCTTCTCGGGTACTGGCCTTTTCTTTATCGCCTCGGCTGAGGGTGCACGTCCTTTGTAAGCGGCTAGTTTGTCGTCAAGGTTGCGCCTACCTTTGTCATCCTCGTTGTCGCTCTCGAAAGGATCGTCATTTGCGGTTTTCTTCTTACCGGGAAGTTTTCGTTTGCCATTGGTGTCGGACTTGTTGGCTGCTGGCTTGCTGCCATTGTCAGCGGTGCTTTGCACATTGGCAGCAGTCGTTTTGCTATCCTTATCCTTGAGATTGGCGTAGAAGGTGTCCTTCAGCGCCTGAAGTTATACGTAAGCCCAGCGTGGTATATCCAGGGATCTATCGAAGTGCCCACTTTGATCTCAACCTCGGGTATCAAATCCTTGTTTTTCCAGATCTGCGAGGTGAAGTCAGCATATGCAAGCGAAACACCCAAGACGAAACAAGGAACAAATTCACTGTGGATTGAACTTCACTTGGATGTTTGCTGTCCAACCCTTCCGATACGCCGATTAGCGACCTGTGTGAGCAACAAGATCCGGAAAATGTATAATTACCTATGCATGTGTACAAATCGGATTTGACGCCGGATAGGTTCATGCCATGATCTTGCAACAGAACCTTCATGGCCTAAACTCTCGATCAGCCATTGGCACGCTATCAAGCAAGAAATGCCGCCCCAAAAGCGCATGTAACATATGAGAAGCGGAAGAATCGGTAACATACTTCGGTGACGGCAGTTTTGTTGTACACATCTGGCATGTACATGCATATGACATGCTGATAGTTCGGCGAGTCCACTTTCGGGGACGTAGACACTTTCGCGGTATATATGGCAGTGGAGGAGAGTGGGCCGGAGACAATTGACTCTAGTTCTGGGCATGAGCACGATTGGATTACAGTCCGGTATTGAAGGTACGTACTGGCGAGGTTGGACCAGATGAGGTCGACTTTATCAGCAGGGGCAAAGGCAAGCCTGTGGCACAAAACATGCACCATGGAAGTGAGTGCCAGTCCATATGAGTACTGTGTTCTGAGTGCACGTTTACCATTTCCCGCATACATAACCGTGGCGAGTGGATATTTCTCTTAGTTTCTCGGTAGCCTCAGCTTGAGCCTACGGCAACATCAATGAGCCCATATCGTATTTCCTCAGCCGGCGGCTTACGGCTTCGCGGAGCTCCTTCTTGCTCTTGGCACCAGTCTTCTTGCTTGATCGGAGCGGTATACTCGCGTCGTTCTGCAGCAAGAAATACATATCTGTCAACTATAAGACATTATCCAGTGCGTTGCGACGCTTGCCTGGATCTCCTCTACTCTTGTTGCTACTTCTTGCACTGTGCAGTGGCAGGATGGTGGTTAGCGAGGTGCAGCCAAAGCTCAAAAAGTACTAACATACGGTAGATGCCTCTTCGATGGCTTCTGAGCTATCATGCAATGACAGCCCTTCGTCTTTTAACGTCCTGACCCAAATCCACTGCGCATATAGGCCTTGTCAGAGGACCTTCAATGCCTCGCCACTAGCCCGTGCTCATGAACTCACAGGTTTGGTGCCATCGTCCTGTACCATAGACGGACGATACTACATCATAGAACGCATATAAGCAGCCAGGTCGGGTGGCACATAGTAATTCAACCGGCATACGCACCTTCTTCACGAAATCGTCTATTGACAACTCGGATTTTGGTGTCCACGCATATGGATAAGACGTTGGTGCCACACGTTCACTATTAGTCTCAGACATTACTCATAGAAGCGTCGAGTCTCTCTCACAGCGGGAAATCCTAGGAATCTGGGGAAAACATATAACAGAACTATTGTATAATAAATATGGTTGTTAGTGACATATTATTTTCAGCTAAGCTAGCTTGAAGTTATGACAGATTTATCTCAAGGATGCAGACATATGTCAGAAATATGACTACTTTCCCGGTTGCTTTGCAGTAAGTTTGACATCAGTTGGGTCAATTTAGCTCACAGCTTTTCTGAATCATCTTGCCAATTATTTCTGATATATTTTGCCCAGATTCAGCCTGTTTCCCGCAGTGTCTGCGTGTTCTCGCTTCCAACGTGGACGGTGCTGACAGTGAGAGATGCGTGTCGTTGTGCTCTGGGACGCGACAAGACGCGTCGGACGTCGCCGACTTTGCTCCGATCACCTGACTCATCGAAATATGCGCCAATGGCTCTTCAGGCCCACAAATCTTAGCGGCTATCTTCAAGTACAGAACTGTTCATACAGTACACTCTCCCAGCATTCTCTAATTTAGTCGAACGTCGAAAAGACCATTTGAATCTTATCAATACCGAAGGACGGTCGAAATGGTGCGGTGACCTCTACACCGTCTCTGTTACCGTACCTCATCCGTTTGTTTCCAGGGTAAAGCCAAAAAAACACGCAAGTTCGCCCAGGTCAAGCGTATGATCAACCCGAATGACATTCGCCTGTGAGTATCCGCTCTTGACCGTTTTTGCACGTCTTGACTGGTTTGTGGTGCGCACACAGCAAGGAGAATCGGGCGAAGCAACAGAAGAAAGAGCAGGAAGCGAAGGAAAAAGCCGTACGCCGAGTGTGCGTCCTAATCCAATCGTCCAACTCGTCCGCTTCATAAGGCTGACGCGATGCGCTAGTCCCCAGGTTGCCTCTTCCCTCTTCTTGCAACACAATACCTCGCTCGCCCCGCCGTACCGGGTACTGATCGATACCAACTTCATCAACTTCAGCTTGCAGAACAAGCTTGAGCTCGTTTCCGGCATGATGGACTGCCTCTATGCCAAATGTATGTATCATCGGTGTTCTTTTGTTTTTGTGCTCATTTCAGCATGTAGGCATACCTTGTGTAACAGATTGCGTGCTGGCTGAATTGGAGAAGCTTGGAAGCAAGTATCGTGTTGCCCTTCGGTGCGTCCCAGCAAACGTCTATCGCGGTTTCGCTGAAGAAAACCTATTCTGTCGTAGTGTCGCTCGAGATCCGCGATTCGAACGCCTCAATTGCTCCCACTCCGGCACATATGCCGACGATTGCCTTGTACAACGAGTAACGTCACATCGTTGCTATATCGTTGCGACGTGCGATCGTGACCTTCGTCGGAGACTACGAAAAATCCCTGGCGTACCGCTCATGTACATCGTCAAGCGACGGTACGCTATTGAGCGACTGCCAGATCAGGGAGCGCCGAGCTGATGACGGTGTATGGTGTGTTTCTGAGGTTTTGTGCCATTGATGGAGATTTATGTTGGCACAAGCGTGTACATGTGTTTATTTCAATGACGGTCAGCAGTTGACCATGTATCGATATTACTCTGGTTTATGTGCCTGTTAATCCGGCGAAATTGGGATATGTATTGTGCGTTGCCCGTCAACGTCTGCATGAATTCATCCACTCGAAGACGCGATCATTCCGGTGCGTGCGTGGCACCGGTTTCCGCGAATTCCACGTAATTCTTGAGATATTCGCCTGCCACCGCCACGACTACAACGTCTTGCTTCCCTGTGCGCTGTGCGCTGAGCCTTCGTCGTTCAACAAGGGCTTTCATCTGCTTATCCTTCTTGTACACTTGGGATGGTCTCGGCGAAGAGGAAATCATGCCGAAAAGCCACTCTACTCGCCTTTGGCATTATAGCACTCGCGGCGTTCAGCTGCACCGCGCAGGACACGAACACTATCACTGAGCTGACCGCGACGGATGTGAGCATTCCTCCTTTCCAGCTAAGTATGAAGATGGTGACAACCTGATGTTAGACTACGCCGCCGTCGGCCGCAACCTCTGCAGCTGCGCAAGAATCCGATCACGCAGCTGAAGGTACGTGGACGCGATGCTCGTTGTGCAATCGCAATCTGACATACTACTGCTGTCAGCCACGAGAGCTTACAAGCAAGCCCTTGCGACTCTGTCCACCCTCACCGCGAACCCGCCGAGCTATACCCGCGACCCAAGTTTCGGAGTTTCCAATGCATACCTCTCCTCATATCTTGAACACAGTCCCGGCCCGCTTGCCAGCGCGATTCGAATAGTACTCAGGCTCAAGAAGCAACCTGGCCAATGGTTACGTCAGGTGTTGCCTTCGCTGGGGGTTAAGGATGACGGTAGTAGCGGCAAGAGCAGAAAGGAAGATGAGGCACGAGGCAAGGCAGTGAAGGTGCTGGACTTGTTGCAGCATTCCGCCGAGCTGGGTCATACAGACGCGCTATATACGTTGGGACAGATCTCCCTGGTGAGCCTCCCAATGACATCGTCTCTTCACCTCACTGACTATACACCAGCTGCCGCCCAACTCGTACTTCCCTGTGGATCCCTCCCTAGCATTCAATGCGTTCTCACAACATGTCGAGCTCACTGGAAACGCGACGTCCCAAGGTCTGCTAGGGTTCTTCTACTCTACGGGCTATAGAGACGTAGTCCCCGTGGACCAAGCGAAAGCCCAGCTCTACTACACATTCGCAGCGCATGGCGGTGATAAAGCCGCTCAGATGGCCCTTGGTTACCGCTTCTGGGCCGGTATAGGAACATTGCAAGAAGCTAGACGCGCGATGGACTGGTATGAAGCCGCGGCGGAAGCTGGTAGGGATGATCTTGTGTTGACGAGGCGCACGAGACTGACTCAACTCACGTAGCGATGGCAAAGTTCCTGAGCGGTCCTCCTGGTGGCAGAACGCTACCGCTGACCTCCGCACGCCTCTCGGACTTGGAAGGTGGAGTATATGGTCCCGGTGCGAGCGTTGCGTCCACTGGTATCAACGCACAGCGACCCGCTATTCGAGCAGCGAATGCCCGTTCGGCTGGAGAGACCTGGGAAGACATTTTGGAGTACTACCTTGTGAGTGTAGTAGATTTGCTATCAGAATTGGGTGCTCATGATTTCGTCCGGAAGTACAATGCGGATCGCGGAGAAACCGGCTTTGCCTACCGCCTGGGGAAGATTTTCTATCAGGGCAGCCTCTATGGTACTCCGGGCGGTATTGCCTCAGGGAGCGAAGGAGTTGGCGCCATACCCCGCGATTTCCAGCGCGCGCGTTACTACTTCCTGCGTATTGCTAGGCAAATCTGGCCTCGCGACCCTCCTAACCCGCTGCAACCGCAATCTCACAAAGCGGACAATGAAAATGGGCCCCTGGGCTATGCCGCTTCTTCGGCGGGTTATATCGGGAGGATGTATTTGCGGGGAGAGGGTGTCAAGGCGGATATGGCCATGGCGAGGTTGTGGTTCGAGCGTGGTGCGGAATACGGTGACCGCGAATGCCACAACGGATTGGGTATCATCTGGAGGGACGGGTTAGTGGAGGGTCGAAAGGACCTGAAGAAGGCCTTTGCGCACTTCGGGGTAGCCGCAGGTCAGGATCTCGCGGAGGCACAGGTTAATCTAGGGAAATATCATCGAAGTAAGGAGCATTTCCTGGTCCTCCGGTGGATCGCTTACTGATGTTCATCGTCATAGGCCGGGGCGAGATGAAGATTGCAATGTCCTTCTTCGAGGCTGCTGTGCGCAATGGGTCTCCCTTTGAGGCATTTTATTACCTCGCGGAGATGTATGCGGCTCAAGCTCGGGCTCCTGCTACGTCTTCCAACATTCTCGCGGCTTCCTCTGCGACCGCTGTTTCCTTCTACAAGCTGGTGGCCGAACGTGGTTGCTGGGGTGACGATCTGCTCAGGGAAGCAGACCTGGCGTGGGCACGGGGCTCGGATAGGGATAAGGAAATGGCCATGCTTCGGTGGTGGATGGCTGCCGAGCGCGGTTCTGAGATCGCCCAGAACAACCTGGCGTACGTCCTGGATCAAGGTGAGTATTGTTATATGACGGATCCGGCAGCATTCGTGATCAGGACTCCGACAGACAAGAGCGTTCTGCGCCTTACGCGGTTCGCACCGATCACGCCCTCGAACGATACTGCGCGACTGGCGCTGACGCAATGGACGCGGTCAGCTGCCCAGCTCAACGTGGATGCGCTCGTCAAGGTTGGCGATTACTATTACCACGGTCTGGGCGTACCGGATGAACCAGAGCACATACGATACGAGAAGGCAGCGGGATACTATCGCTCCGCCGCCGATACTCAAGTGAGCGCTCTGGCCATGTGGAACTTAGGATGGATGTACGAGAATGGCTTAGGCGTTCCGATGGTACGCATGATCGTGGAGCAAATTCAACTCCGGGAGCTGATATTTCGAGTTTTCAGGACTTCCATCTCGCCAAACGGTATTACGATTTGGCGCTCATCACTAATAGCGAGGCGTACCTTCCCATCACACTTTCGCTCGTAAAACTCTACGCACGTAGCTTCTGGCATACACTCAGGGGCGGAAAGGGCGGTCTCAGCTTGTGGTCTGCTGACAACGAAGGTACGCCGATTTATTCGCGCTCGCTGAAGGGCTGTGCTGACGCTGGAAGCAGACGCGGATTACTTCGAATCTGTCAACACTCCCGGCTTGGAAGGTCATCGTGAGGAGACCAGCTCGGACGGTGCGGCGCAAGGCGAAGCCGTTTACCAAGAGGATGAAAGAGACGATGGGCCATGGTACTTGGGAAAGGCGCGCGACCAATTTAACCGGAGACGTGATCAGGACGCGCGCAGAGTAAGGAACGGCGAGGAAGATCCCATCCAGGTATGATATTAACACAAATGTCGCGGAACTTGTCCGCTGACAACCACCCTCTAGTGGGCTCGAGACCGTCGTGCAGCCGAAAATGAGCGCGATGGCGACTTCGGGCCCGAAGACTACTTCGAGGGCACGATGCGCGGGGGTTATCGCGGAGACGCCGGGGAAGAGATTGATGAGTTCGCGGAAACGATGATCCTCGTAGCGTTGTGCCTTGCCATCTCACTTCTCGTATACCTGCGCGGTCGATGGATGGATCGCATCCGGAGGGAAATGGAGGCTGCCGAGCACGATGACCGACAACCGCCAGCCGATGGCGGCCTCTTCCCACCCGCAGGTGATCCCGCACGGGATGACTGGGCAATCCTTCGATGAACCCTAACATTTTGCGGCCTTGATGTTACATGACTGTAAACTATCATAATGTTGCTCGATCTTGTCCTCTCAAACCTCGGGCCTCGGGTCCGGTCAAAGCCGGTCAATGTTGTCACTGTCAGTGACTGCACTCTGTCACGTGTTGTGTTGACGTATGATTTCGTGGCGAAGTCCCTTTCGCTAAGGGTGCGTTCACCCTTCGCGACAAATATCTCACTAGCCTCGTGCATTAATGCTACACTACTCCTCGTTATAACATCTCAGTAATCGTCTTACAAGATGTCTTTTGATGTGGAATCTCTGCGAACAAGGATACGCGAATTCCTCGTGGCCCCTAACACGGACTTGGCGTCAGTCAGCCGGAAGCAAATTAGGGACTCGCTGATTGACGAGAACGGCCCATTCACGCCGGAGCTGGCGAAAGAGCACAAGCTGGCATTGAAAGATCTCATCACCGCCGTTTTCAACGAAGTCACCTCGGAGAGGGGAGAAGAAGCGCGTTCGGAGTCTGCGGAATCGTCCAGTAAACGGAAACGCGAACACGAAGAAGAGGATGCCGAGGAAGACGTGGAAGAGGACGGCGCAACCGAGGGTGACGCGACGCATGACGGCGCAGGGGATGACGACGCGGACGAAGACGAACAGACGCCCCCTCCTGCTAAGAAGAAGAAGGTCACCTCGAAGAACGAGTTGACTGACGCTGAAATGGCCAAGCAGCTGTCGAGCGAACTCAACGGTCGACCGCGAGCTGCACGGGCTGCAGCACCGAAGCCGAAAGCCCGAGCCAAATCGACGACCAAGGGACGGGGAAAGAAGAAGAGCGCAGATGTTGTCGACTCGGAGGATGACTCAGATGCCATTGAGGGAGGAGGGAAGAGCAAAACGAAGAAAAAGTCCTCTGGAGGCGGGGGTGCTCGTGGCGGTTTTGCGAAGGAGTACTCGCTCAGGTTCGTTGTCCTCTGAGAAACAAGGTACGGGCAGTACTGATGCTTTCCGAAGCGAGCCTTTGGCTGCGGTGTTGAATGTAGACAAGCTATCGCGACCGCAAGTAGTGAAACGCATGTGGGAGTACATCCGTGAGAACAACCTCCAAAATCCCAATGATAAGCGCGAGATTATCTGTGATGAGAAGCTTCAGCGCATCTTTAATGCTCGTAAGTCTAGTCTTTGTTTCTGTGAAGTGTATTCCCTGACTCTCTATCACCCGAAGCGTCCACCAACATGTTCAAGATGAACAAAACCCTCTCTCAGTCAGTATCTGTTTTCTCTATGCGTTGACCCGATTTGACGTGCTGATGTTGCAGCCATTTACATGAGCCCTGACACTTGTACCATATCTACCCCGCGAATACGGATATTGGATGCCGTTCTCAATGAGCTGTTACGGCGGGAGGTGCTCCCTCTTTCCCACGTCCTGCTCCGGGTTTCTGTAATAGGGACATAACCGGAAAAAGGGTTTACGACCCCCTGCTGCTGCTACTTGTGACAATGGACCTTGCCCAGAGTTCGATTCGCTCAATAATCGATGCGCAGGGGCACGAATGTACGGCCAGAACGTATACGATAAGCACCCCAATGTTCGAGGTTGTTCAGGCGAACACGTTGCAAGGGTCAATCTGCAAAAGGGAAGGTGATGTAAAACGGTGTATCCCGTTACATTCCTTGCGTTGATCGCAGTCTGTGGATCGGGTCCGACATTGTCATTGATACTAATGGCAAATGCCCCATTTTGCGGTCAGGAATCCGCATATGATCAAAACCGATGAAGCGACCCTCGCTGCAAAGAAGAGATGAAATCTAGAACGATTTTACGTTCAGTCGAGATGGCAGCTGTGAGTCATTTCCAATTCAAGTATAGACGATGGCACTGCATGTGCTGTGTCCGCTGACAAGTTCTCAGATATCTTGAATCGATGACTTCGTCTGACTTGAGCTTCGCTAGTCTCGTGTCCGAGTCTCTACCTCTTTCGTGGTATGACAAAAGTTGGCGAATTCCGCGGTACTCAAGTGCGACTACACAATGGCTTCACCAATATATACTCGTCACCGGACCAGTGTCTGTGCCGCAAAGTTGGGACAACTACCAAAATGATCCATTCTCAACGCTATAGGTCGGCCGTAGCCTACGCGCTTCTGACATTACGAATACCCCCATGTCATTCAGTCCACCCACCTCGACGAACGACGTCATGGTTGTTCAACGTAAGTGAGTATTTGGTATCCCGTGTTGCTGTGGCATCGACAAGGCTTACCTCCGCTCTCGTGGCGCACTTCAAATATATTGCATCGCCGATCAGTGCTTTCGGAAGCTGTTTGACCGGTTCCCTATACACTCATTCCGACTTTGAAGGGGTCCGTCAGCATCGGGTTTGCCCCCGACGCGCTTATCACCGACGGCGAGGGCGTATCACGCGGGCATCGGCGACGTCAAGAGAGCGATCTTCAAGAATCCGTGAAAATTGGTGCAAGCAAAACCGCGTTTCGCGGCACGTCAAGACAAGAATAGTCTCGTTACGATGTATAAAACTCGGACAACCCACTGTCGAGTTACTCAACGGGACGCCCTCCTGCATTGGATCTAATCCGTACTAGCCATGCTTGCGAAACTAGGCGCGCTGTTCTTGGCCTCCGTAGCAACACTCGTCGCCGCCACCCCAGCCCCGGGCGGCTCGACGAATGATGTGCTCAGCCCGAGTGTGAAGCGTCAAGCCCGACATGCCATTGCACCCAAGGTGTTCATCATCAGCATGGTCAGTCTCACAGATGGACATCTCGCGCAACTCTGTATCGAAGTCACGTATGTAGTTCGCTCCTGAAGCCGAAGTCTGGTACGGGATACCAGAGTTCAACCTCCTCGAGCGCAACATCACCGTTCCGGGCTTCTCTCCGCTATTCCCGCAAGCTCAGTGCACGATGAACGGCGAGATCTGCCAACTCGTCACTGGGGAAGCTGGTACGGATAAACCAGTAACAAATTCTGAAGCTGTACTAATCGGATCTTTCGACGCAGAGATCAACGCGGCGGTCACTGTAGGCGCACTCGTGGCGTCACCCGAATTCGATCTCAAATCTACTTATTTTTTCATCGCTGGCATCGGCGGAGGCTCTCCGCTCCGGACGACCACCGGCAGCGCCACGTTCGCCCGATATGCAGTCCAGGTCGCCCTTCAATACGAAATCGACCCTCGGGATTTGGGGCTGAATGTCAGCACCGGTTACTTCCCGTTCCACACGAACGCGCCCAACATGTACCCGCAAGAGTGGTACGGCACGGAGGTGTTCGAGGTCAACGACGCGCTCCGTAAAAAGGCGAGTCTCGATGGATTGCAGCGCAATCGATCGCCCCTCATGTTGCTCCTATATGCTATATGATAAATAGGCTGTCAGCTTTGCCCGGAGGGCGACTCTGGTTGACAGTGCTGCGGCAGCGTCTTACCGTGCCAACTACGCCGCCAACGCGTCCTACGGTCCAGCGATCCTTGGTCCTTCGGTTCAAGAGTGCGATGTCGCCACGTCCGACGTATACTACAGTGGCGACATTCTTAGCAGCAACTTCGAGATATACACCTCGGTCATCACTAATGGCACGGGTGTGTACTGTTCCTCGGCCGAGGAGGACAACGCGACGTTGGAAGCGCTCATGCGTGGCGCTATGGCTGGCGTGCTCGACTTCGGGCGCATCATTGGTGAGCGTGCATAACATAGACTACCCAGTTTTGATCACTGACCGTGAACGCCAGTCATGCGCACGATTTCCGACTTTGACCGGCCATACCCTGGTTAGATGTTATATCGCCCGGGAACTCTCTCACTGCTTACCCCATACCAATCAGGTGAAAGCGCTTTGTATCACTTGCGGTTCGCGAGCCAAGGAGGACACGCCATAGCGGTCACCAATATCTACAAAGCTGGAGTACAAGTGGTACAAGGCATCCTCTCTGAATGAAACTCCCATTTCGCGAGAGGCATCAAAGCAACCAACTACATCGGCGACGTCTTCGAGTCACTCGGCGGCACAGCTGATTTCGGGTAAGCATCGTGACTGCATAAGAAGGCGGCTTTCTGACAGATGCGCATGGAACACTACAACAGCCCTGGCCAGTCGCTGAATGCGACTATCAATTCCTTGCGCAAGAGGAGGCAGTTATTCCGTAGGGATTGAGTCTATCGGGCCAGTAGTGCCGGTATGGTGCACCAAGTGCACAAAAATACAATTACTAGTAAATACCCATGATTTCCTAACAATTCAGGTAAACTTCGAGATTTTGATTCGTGGTATCGTAATCGCGAGTTGATGTTGGTTTCGGAATCCAGTCTTTATCGTATTTCCGAAGGAAGTCCAGTGTTTCCGATGTCAGTAGCAGAGTTCAGCGTTTAGAATCGAATTTGCGAGTTCACAAGAGGGGTTTCTGATGCCGTCCAGCCTGGACGGGTCGTGGGAAATTGACATGATACCACTACATTTGTAACTGATCTGTGCGAAGTGATTGAAGTGACCTTAACGATGCTCCATTCTGATCATGACAATGCAACTCATCAATGTGTACTTCATTAGGTTTGAGTCTGTTGTCACAATCCCCAAGAATGTGCAGAAGAATCCTTGGCGTAAGAATTAGATACAGTGTAGATGGTAATTTACTTGTATCGTACAATAGAACTCCATAAACTGGCTGTGATCGTCTTGATTACCACTTTGTCTCTGCGGAATTACTTCGCAATTCCGGATGGCATGGTCACAAATACATGTTATTTTCCCTACACCTCGTTTCTGAAATTGCGATGCGAAGCTACGACAGATCGAGAATCGCAATCCATTTCGAAATCGCCGATACGACATAAAACCTAGGTAATTACCTGAATTACTAGAAAATCACTGCCATTCCTAGTAATTGTATTTTTGTGCACTCGGTGCACCATAGTGCCGGCTGCGCTTCACCAGATGCCCATCTCGATGTATCTGAAGTCAACCACGGTTTTTCCGTATGAACCCGATCGTATTTCACGTGTCCTTGGATATGCAATCGTAAGGTAGCTGCGATAGCTGTCGTATGATGTTTCTAAAATGGCATGGTTCCATCTGACTCCGAGATCTTCGACAAGGAAACGGATGGGATATATCGTATTCTGTCGGAGCCGGGGGAACAGCACAACGACCATGAGTAGGTCAGAGGGGAAGAGAATATTTCTTGACTTTGGCGGAGCTTCGCGTCGACACGATAATATTGGTAGTGTTAGTGAGCTGATATCGCGGCACATGGGATCCCGCGGGCCTCATTCATGATTTTTAGCTACCCCATCTTTATGCCAGTACTAACTTGTAATGATGCCCACCTGATTGAATCCCTAATCACCACTTTTAGATTGAGGCAGGGCACGGGGTTCATGTAGCACCATACGGAGCTGCCGACTCCATCGTCCTTTCACAGCATCACTCGCAACCGCAGGGTAAGGAGCAGAACAAGGGGGATTCTCGGCAGGCGCGATGACTCTCGACTGATGGTTCCAGCTAAAATATGTTCAGCGCTGATGGGCGGGTGCTACGCATGAAGACGTAGTACCCGCGGTATACGCAATCGCATGCTACGAAGCTTCGTCTGCTCCGCCATACTCATGATGCTGTCCCTGTGTCTTAGTTCCGAATATAAATGCAATCTTCTGCCAACATCGAAGGCAGCATCATACCTAAGCGCGGAACAGTCGAAGGAGGATTGCTCCCGGTGGGTGGCAAGGGAAGCTGGACAACATCAATTATACTTGGCTTGTCGGTGTCTTCATAAAAATACATTTTGAAATGGATTGCTTACCATATGCACAAAGAAGACCGCGGCTTGACGAATTTTTACAGGACCATTGTGGTGCGCGATCCACCCGATATGGTAATTCCCGCCGCTTGCAATGATGCAAATGTGGTTTTCGTTTCGTTTGGCGTTTTATCACTGCAGCCTGAGTAGACCTGCCGTCAACTTCGCACGCGGAGAGCGCTCATGCAGTGCATCTCACGCACGGGTGACACGAGAAGCGGAGCGAATGGAGTTTATTTTGAGAAGAACTCAAATAACGATCCCGCGTCTCACGGCAAGACATTGCATTACGCGGAGCACCGTGCTGTATATAGGTCGAGGTGACCGACGTTGACGGCTCTTCATCCGGCGTCTTTAGACCTCCGACTTCACCAGCGTCGAGCCATGATAGCAAGACTGGGTGCGTTTCTCCTGGCCTGGACGGCACTCGCCGTTGCCATGTTAGTCCCGGACAGCGCGGAACACGACGCACGGGGCCAGAACGATAAGCGCCACTCCGGACATGTCATAAAACCGAAGGTGTTCATCTTCAGCATGGTGAGTCCGGGGTTGGGAGGAGTTGTGATATAGACGTTTCTAACCCGTCCGCCGTGACCGCAGTTCCAACCTGAAGCAGATGCTTGGTACGGCATTCCGGAGTTCAACCTGCTGGAGCATAACATCACCGTTCCTGGGTTCGCTCCGTTATACCCTCAGGCGCACTGCACGAAGAACGGTGAGATATGCCAGCTTGTCACTGGGGAAGCCGGTACGTACAACACAGCCAACAACTCAAGCGCGCGAATTGATCACGTTCCGTATGTTCTGAAGAGATCAACGCCGCCACGACGGTGGCTTTCCTAGTTGCATCTCCGATCTTTGATTTGAAGTCCACGTACTTCCTCATCGGAGGCATCTCGGGTGGAGCTCCGGACGTGACCACCACAGGCAGCGTCGGATTTGCGAGATACATCGTCCAACTCGGTGTTTCGTACGAGATCGACCCTCGGGAGCTTGGAGGCAATGTCAGCACTGGTTATTTCGCGTTCAACACAGACGCACCGAATATGTTCAATCCAGGAGCATGGTATGGGACGGAGGCCTTCGAAGTGAACGATGCTCTCCGTCAAAAGGTTGTTCTGGAAGAACTACAGATCGATTCGCGCGATCTGATACCAACATGCAGGCCATCAGCTTTGCTCAGAACGCAACCCTGGAGGATAGCGACATCGCGGAGTCGTACCGTGCCAATTACGCCGCCAACGCGTCCTTTGGGCCAGCGACCTTGAAACCCTCCGTGCAGGAGTGCGACGTCACGACGTCCGACGTCTACTTCAGCGGAAACATTCTGAGCAGCAATTTCGCTATATACGCCTCGGTGGTCACGAACGGCACTGCGAAGTACTGCTCCTCGGCTGAAGAGGACAATGCTTCGTTGGAAGCGCTCCTGCGCGGCGCTAAGGCAGGAATGGTCGATTTCAGCCGCATCATCGGTGAGACTTCGCGCGTGCGACCCTTACCTTGGGTGTGTGATCGTTGAACAACATCGACAGTCATGCGCACGATCTCCAATTTCGACCGGCCGTACCCTGGTGCGCTACTTAGCTAGATGCGTTGCGTTGTACTCCTTTGCTGAATTATGCGGCGTAGGCGAGGACCCTTTATTCCATTTGGTGTCGGCGAACTCGGGTGGCTTCGACATCGCGCTCGCGAACATATACAAAGCTGGTGTCCAGGTCGTGCAAGGCATCCTTTCTGGCTGGAAGTCCGAGTTCGAGAAAGGCATCAAGCCTACGAACTACATCGGCGATATCTTCGAGACGCTAGGTGGCACAGCCGACTTCGGGTAGGGACCACTCCATCATAGATAACAGAGGCGGCGTGCTGAACGAAGTCGTTGCAGCCCGGGTAAAACAGCTGCCTCAACTGGAGTGTCGCTCCGAAGGCGGGGACTGGGATACCGTAGGCGCTGAGGATCGACAGATCCTGGGACGCCATCGACGTCGGTAACGACGCCGATTAGGATTTATTCTACACAGACTATTTATTACACGATTCAGAAACAGCATATGCAAAGGAAAATGAGCGTCGGCAACTCACCTCAACGCATGTGAAAGTCTTCCCATATACAAGCTTTCCGAGAAGAAGACTGGGTCTTGGTCCTTTTCAGATTTGAGGTGGTTTGTGGGGGAGAGTAGGCCTGCAACGCGACCTCGTGCGTTCCGCGCAATTGAGTAGAACAGGACCACCTTTGTTACTTATGAACGTGATGATGCAGGTACGTGTGTGAACGCCATGGTCGTACACTCTCGACGTTGTCAGCTTTTCAATGAAGCACGCGACATTGACATTTCACCGGAGGCTGCCGAATCTCACTGCTCAGTCGTCACTGGTTTACAAGTCCTCCGGGCCCTGCAGCTGTGAATGTTCCTCTTGTGTCTGTGAAGCGCTCATAGAAAAACTTAACCGCACGTCTTCAACAGATGCCTTACTCAATGCCCGGTAGTGAGTGATGTCATGATACCTATACAACCTCTCGTCCGGACGCTTCGGATATTCAGGTAGGATTCGGTGGTGAGTACAATCACCAGCCACCTGGGAGGTGGTAGGCGCTCAGCCACTGATGATCTGTTAAGATTTACACATTTTCCCTCGCAAACAGTACCTTCGGAATTCAAGCCAAGAGTGCGTCGCAGAGGGTTACGGACCATCACGCTGGTTCCTGTCGAAGCTCTTCGACCCGGATAATCAATCGCCGCCCATGATAGTGCGATACTATGCCAATTCTATATCTATTGTGTGCTACGCGCTCTCGTGCATTCGTGACCACTGGAGGAATGGGGCGGCGCCCAAGTACTCGGGGATAGAATTGTGAAGCCTTAATATTTTACTATCAGCATGATGTGTATATTCTGCTTCCTGCATACACTCAGACGACCCTGGATTGATAATTCTTGCCGAAGGCCACGACGATCCGGGAGTTCAACCTGTTAGAACACAACATCCCCGAATTCTCTCCTCTTTCCAGGCGCGCATTGTACGCGCTGCGAATTGTGTCAACTCATCACAGGAGAAGCTGGTGAGTGTCCACCCTCACTGCACGTTCAAGCCACTAATCGCTGTTCACATCCTGTAATGTAGAGATCGGCGCCGCCAGCACTATATATACCCCCGCATCTTCGTCAAAGTTCGATCTCACGTCTGCGTACTTTCTCATTGCCGGGCGCAAATCCCGTTCGAATGAGAACCCGTGAGATAGCAGTCGCTCGCTACGCGGTGCAGGTCGCATTGCAACACGAGATCGACCCACGCGAAGCAGGAGCCGATTTCAAGGCGGGTATCTTGCGTTTGAGATCGAAAAGCCGGACACGAATCCGGGTGTCGGTGGTTGGTATACAGGACCGATGTCTTCGAGCTTAACAACGCGCTACGCAAAACGGTGAAGTCCGGCGCTTAGTTCTACCTTCAGACCGTTGACCTATGCATATAGGTTGTCTCCTTCGCTCAAAGGGATGTTGTGGCGGACACTCACATCGTGCACGAGTGCTGGGGCACCTCGGTAGCAGTGCCTCGTATAATGCAGCTTTAGTTCCACCATCCGGTGTCGAGTGTGACGCCGTCACATCGGACGTATATTACAGCGGCCTTCTTCTCGGGAAAATTTTCGATTGATACGTGATGGCCATCATGAATGGGACTGGACGGCATTGCGCGACAGCACAAGAGAGCAGTGGTTCGTTGGCAGCGCTCATGCGCGCACAGCGAAGGCAGGTAAGATAGATTTCGACCGTGTCATACGTGAGTGCGGACCTCCGCAAGTTCGGAGCCACACTTATGGAGTTCTTTCTCCACAGTGATGCGTTTGCTGTCTACTTCTGACCGACCCTGACCTGGTGCGTCCACCTTCCGCACTAGAAACTGGCAAATATATGATGCAGATTGATAGACCAGAGCGTCCTGGACAACCTCATATTCGCCGATTCTGGTGTTTCCGAAACATCCCTTCGAAACCTGTACAACGTTGTAATGTAGTTGGTTGAAGGGATCCTCACTCAATGGGACGGAGGGTTCGCTGAAGGCATCATGCCTACCAACTATATCCGGGACGCTTTCGCGACGCTCGGAGGCACTCCAGACTTCGGGTGAGCCGTCGATAATCTACACGGCCTTGTTGAGCTAATAGGCATGTTTTCCGTTTAGTCCTGGTGCACCACAAGTGTCCCTATCTGAGAGACGCAACCCCATCGTTTCTTGAGAGAACGTTTCGCGGGGCCGTGCACAGACTCTGCGAACCTCGATCAGTGCCTGAACTTCTGCATACAATCCTGACCCTATTCGGTCGATATTACCGCCATTCATGTCGTCTTCCGGCCGAGAGATCTATAGCGGCCAACTCTCCACTTTCCTGATCAGTGTTATGAGCAAGCCCCTGAGCGTCGACGGTCAGCGGGGCGCACCGCCACCACCGACGACCCGCAATACCTTCGACGGACGGCTGACCCATGATGAATCTTCTGAAGTTCTGGATATGAGAATCTCAGTCTTCCGCTTATCGCTCGGCTTCAAGTTCCACTCGTGGTCAATGAACATATACATTACAGCGCAAACTCGGTGATCAGGTTTCCCGTCAGCTATCTTCGATATGTCAGCTCAACGCGTGGTATCGTCGTATGCCATAATCCACGGATCTGCTGACCCCCTTGGGGAACCGATCGAATGTTACGGGGCACGTCCTGCGTGCCAGAACATGCAATCCGTTCATTGGCCTGGCCCCCAGGTTTCGAGGCCAGGGTCAGGGGGATCTAAGGTGAGCCGGGGCTCCGGCCCGAGCGTCCATGTCACTCTGGTCATCGATGTCTCGTCCCAAGGATATCAACACAACCTGTCTCCTACTCCCTTGACCTCTCCGATATTTTATCATGACACACAGGGTATTGATCTGTGGTGCGTCCCTCGTGCTAGAGGAGCGACTAACATAAACAATTATCTGACTTTTGGTCTTGCCGTCAAGGTGATCTTGTCTGGGCGGATGCCGAGGCTAAAGATATGTTTCAGGGCCTAGCTGACGTTGTCGTACGTCTCTGTTCTCGGAATTTACTAAAGGCTGATGCCCATATGTGATCGTGTCCAGCGCATGGATTCGCCCGACAGAGCAGATTTCTTGAAGGGCTTTCAGCCTGGCGGAAAGTACGAAGGCATTATCGGTGTTTACCGGCATAACGTCTCTGCGGACCGCATTGGAATTTTTGACAAGGAAATCATCGCTGCTCTCGCACCCAGCGTGAAATGGATCGCCCACAATGGAGCCGGGTACGACCAGATCGACGTTGCGGCATGCAAAGAGAAGGGTACGAGTACTTTGCGTATCTCAGGCAGCACCGCATTTGATAGATATCCAGGTATCAAGGTCTCTAATACTCCGGGAGCCGTGGACGACGCAACGGCGACAACTGCTCTCTACCTCGTCATCTCCACCTTGCGCCAGTTCGCGCGAGGCGAGCGTAGCTTGCGTGCGGGCAAGTGGAAATCCGAGGTTTCGTCTGCTGCGACGCACGACCTTACAGGACGTACACTCGGCGTCCTCGGCATGGGCGGAATTGGCGGACGCCTTGCGGAATTGTGCCATGCATTCCCGATGCGCGTCATATATCATAACCGCAAGCCCTCCGCGGAAGCCCCGGAGTGGGCCGAGTACGTGGGCGATATCCAAGAGTTCCTCAAGCAGACGGACGTGTTGAGCGTGCATGTGCCGTTGAACAAACAGACGGAGGGCCTTGTGGGCGAGAAGGAGATCAGGGCCTTGAAGAGGGGATCCGTCATCGTCAACACTGCGCGTGGCAAGGTCATCGACGAACAGGCGATGATTCGAGCATTGGAAGACGGCCATGTGAGTGTGTTCAGAGAGTATATCTGCGTGATTGTCTGAAGAGGTCGCTCATTTTGTTGTAGCTTGCATCCGTCGGGCTCGATGTCTTCCCGAATGAACCGGAGGTGAACCCACGCCTGCTCGAATTCCCAAACATCACACTGCTCCCGCATTTGGGAACGGAGACACAGGACTCGCAGAAGAAGATGGAGATTAGGGCGCTAACGAACCTTCGGGATTACCTCACTACCGGCCACGGCAAAGATCTGGTTGGCGAATTCAAATAGGCATGCGCAATTAGAGAAGCGATACATTAATGCCTAGCGAGGGGTCCGGATAGCATACGAGGAATCCATAGGCCTAAGTGGTAGTTAAGAAATACGAAAGTCGTTCCCCGTGCGGTTGCGGATTCGTCCTCACTTGGGCGGGACTTTGAGCGCGTCCCCGTCCAACTCTTCGAGAACCTTCGTCGCGGTGGATAGGGTGGGTGGCGAATTGAGGGCAGTCGCAGGGACAAATACATTCTCGCGATACCATTGTAGCTCTGGACGTTCCTCAAATAAGTACGCGTGCAAACATAACCATGATGTAATGGCAACCACCTCTTATAGAGCCCTTGATATCATCCAATGCCCTGAATTTTTGTGATATCAGGGGGGTGATTAGAATAGACGATCAACGTTCATACCGATGCCGACTATCTGCTGCCGCGTATCGATAGGTCAAGCCGGCCTTGGGATACCATCGGCGCACTACTTCCTGTGTAAGTGTCAGAGACGCGTACGACAGGTAATGGCACCCTTTTACCTTTATTGAAGACACGTCTGCCCCTCAAGAATCAGCCATTGTCGGAGAAGTTCGACGATGCAACGGACCTACGATGCTGCTAAACTTAGTGCTCAAGCCTTGCACGATCGTGAGAGAGAGCATACCGGTAGTGAAGCCAATCCACAACTTCAGGCATCTCTTCGACGAGAAAGGCCCGGTCGGCATGCACAGAGTTCCCAGCTAGGACGGCCGTGCGTCGTTCCGGTACCCATTTTTTGATGTACTCAAGGACCTGTTGAGCCACCCACTGGCGAGAGTGTGGAGAGGCTAGACATGCATGTGTTAAGCCTGACTATCTGGCATATGCCCTTCAGTCCTTCTTCGCATGGTGGCAGCACAGTCGAAAAACCTGACCTTCCCATGCTGATTTGTACACCACTCGTCCATTCTATAGGTTTTCTCGCTGAGGGAGTCGTATGGACCAATGCATGACAAGTACTAACCCGTCGAGCGATTCCTTTTCCACGTACACCACGTATTCGACGCCATCGTCAACCAATTGAAGGTCACCATTCGTGATTATAACCTAGCAAGCCCGTCAAGGATGCCCGACGTTGCTTTGACGCATGGCGGAAGTGCGACATACAGCAATCTCCATAATTTTGTCCTTCTTCGGATCGAGACCCGTCATCTCGCAGTCGATCCATACCATAGGCCCGGCTTTGAAGTCCATAGGTCTCGGCACCCAAGACGTCGCCATGTTCCGCGCAGCACTTCGTAGTATACCCGCGTATGAGTTGTGGAAGAGTCTCGAGCCAGACAGGAGCCGCCCAAAGTGAGGTAGAGCTCGTAGCATCGAAGACGGTGCACAGGAAAGCCACAACGGGCGATGGGGAGCTAAGTATGAGGACCGTAACATCGCTCTCAGCCCGTCAGTTATTGACCATGTCTTCTACCGCTTGTTCATACTGCTCCTTCCCGGGGAAAGACGCAATTGCTTTGAAGCCAACAGTGATGTGGAAAAACGCGACAGAGTAGAGCGGACGGGACAAACTGAAAACAGGGAAAATAATACATTGCTAGACGCATACACTCCACCGGTACCTACGTACACGTGTGGAATTTGCTACACTACAGGTAAGAAGGTAGTATATGCCGCTGAAGTTAGCGCTGCCAGGCGATGCTGGAGGCTGCGAGTGTTCCCAATGACTGCCTCCCGGCTGGGGCCCGTACAGCTCCCATGGGCGATTGCAAGTTGTTGTTATCCGTCGTCAAGATTTCTCCGGTTATGTATCCCCGTCTAACCTCAGAAGTCCCAGAGGGTGCCGAAGGCTGGGATGCCGGCCGCCTTGCAGCCCTCCATGATTTCCTTGTTGCCGTGGAAGTTGGAGGTGATGAAGACGACCTCGGCGTCCCAGTCCCGGTAGGCGTCTTTGACAAGCTTCAGGACATCGGGGCGGCCGCCGCGCGCCTTGGAGTCCCACAGGCAGACACGCTCAGGTCCCAGGTTGTTGCGAATGAGGCCGGTAATGGTCGGTCCGAAGGTTTTCTATGGTGAGGAGAGAACCGGGGCGCTGGTCAGTCGAGGGAGGTAATGGCACGGTCTGGACACCTCGTACCTCTTGGTCAGAGCCAATCCAGATTAGATACCAGTTGGGGCTCTGTAGGCATGTGGACAGGGCGGCACCGAGGCCCGTCCCAGTGCACACTCGGATGCCACGCTTGTATAGAGTGGAGGTATGAGAAACCCCAGCGAACTGAACAGCAGGGGTCAGTATGGCAAGATGTGCACGAATAGATATAAGTAGGCGTTACCTTGAGCTGTCGGGTCCAGATGTGGGTGGGAGGATTATTTACGAGGCCCCGGGTGAAATCGCCTTGCACGCCGCAGATCAGGTAGTGATACTTCGCGTGGACGCCCTCAGAGACGATGCCGAATGCGTGATACTCCATGATCGATGAGCGGGAAATTCGAGACAACAGTCCCTGCTGCATCCCACGTTCGAAGCGCAGTACCGCAACCTTGGGCGACGGCTGGGAAGGCAGAGGCAAAGCTTAACCGGCATTGGCAATGGTTTCAGGCCAGGACGTACCAATTCAACATCGACGGGGACTTCCCGAACGGTGCACCAGGGGATGAGAATGCTAAGGAGCGTTTGTTAGTCAATGAAGCGTTACGAAAAACTAATCGATAACTCACAAGACAGTCATACCAAACGCGTACCAGAAGTCTTGCTGGCGCAGGACCCGCACGCCATCGGGATTCCATGCGTGTTTCTCGAGGTCGTAACTGTCACCAAGCACGACAAACACCCATGCTGTAAACACGAGTAAAGATACGGTCAGCAACTGCGGGCATGAGAGAGAGCGACCGGAGCAAGGGCAGAATGTGAGAAGAATGGACGGGCACAGCACGCGCATGTGAAGCCGTATCGCCACGCGCAGCGGAATCTCATCGATTCAGCGACGAGAGCGATCGCCGACGAAGTAGCCGGAGCTTCGGATGAGAAGCTACTACTTACTTGAGGCAAGGCCGAGCCTATCAAAAGTACGGGTTAACAACGGTCCAGGAGAAGTGTCCGGATATGGGCTCGAACTCACCAGCCAATGAATCTGTGGTGGCGCTCGAACACGCTGTTCTCAAGGTTAGCAGAGAACAGTTACACGGTGCGGAGCCCTTACTTATGGTGCGTGTTGCGAACCCAGGGGAAAGCGCTAGCGATGCTGACAGCGACAGCAATGTTGGTAATGACCCCCATGACGAGGACGGCGTCGTGGTTATCCTACGGCATAGACGGTAAGAAGAGTTTCTAGCACATGGAGCGCGCCATAGTCCACTCGCCTTGTGGTCGATGAAGATAAGAACGACACGGAAGATGAGCCATGCGAAACCGGACGATGCGCATCCTGAGTGAATTCCGCCGAGGTGTTGCAACACAGAGGTACAGCCTAGCCGCCACCATAATGGTGTCCACTGCAGGAGGAGTCAGCAGTCGCCTCGCTATATATTATGACGACGAACCTTGGCGAAACACTTGTTTATGATCAGGTACAAAACACGTCCGAAGAGCTCGTTCCTCATAAGAATCGCAAACAACAGGTTGCCCAGTACGAGAGCGCCGGTGTATCTTCTTGGATACTCCCAGATGTTAAAGGCGGCAAGGAAGAGGCCGACTCCATTCAAAGTGACGATGAATGTAAAGAATTTCCTGTCATTGTTGTTAGCATCATAAGGATAATCCCCACACGAATGACCTACCGATAGGTGTTGAACCAGAGTTGGAACCTAACCCATCGGCTGATCTTGATTCGTGGCTTGGCTGGTCGAGGAGAGGAAGGGATGACAGCGGTAGAAAATTCCTTTTTCGACTTCGACACCTCGTCTGTCTTTTCCCCCATCTGCGGCATGCTATCCTTCAGGGAAAGTGTACGTTCCTCTGCGGGGGACTTCAATGGGGTGATGTTGAGCGTGGACGAATTAAGGGTGGGCGTCGACGCTCCCGAGGTCGAATGCGAACGCGAGCTCGGGGGCGATGCGAGCGGCGCCTCGCGGTCCATGAGCCCCGTCTCGGGGTCAGGTAGATGGGTAGGAGCGGACATGACCAGAGGAGAGGCCTCGAGATGGAGAAACGGGGAAGACGTGAACGGAGGAATGCGCGACCGGTTTGAGGGGCCGTTGGGTGCAATTAAGCACAACGGAACGTGGGCGAGACTTGACTGGAACGCTCAGAATCTATGGAGCTTGAAGGAGATGCGCATCCTCCAGAGAATTGCCGAAGTGTTTATACCTACGGGAACACAGGCTCCGAGGTGATTCCACGCCCGCTATCATGGAACCCGACCGTGACGCATCGAGGCACTTGCTCACGAAGAAGAGCCCGGACTATCGGGAGCGGTCGCTGGCCGGCATGGATCTCCGCGCTCCCTGGAAAGGATGGGAGGAAAGCACACAGGATGTCGCAGGCGAGTGCACCAAGTTCTCAGCGAAGGAACCGTGCGAATGCCCACGCTCCAACCGCCTTCAAGCTCGTTCAGGCCACTCTCCTCACCACACCCTCGAGCGGCCGCGTCTGCCTGCCCCTCCTCTTTCCACCCCGATCATCGCATGAGCGGGACGCGCAAATAGCTTGTCATACTCGTACCTTGGTTCTCCTTGCGAAATTGTGTTCATCACAGCGCTCCATCTCGGTTGGCGTCGCGTGGGTGTAAACGCCCCTTACCGAGCTGCGGAATGCGCCCCCGCGTCCAAAGAGGGTGGGCGCAACGACGAAATTGAAGGGGGCTCTCGACAGTCGCGCCCCACAGGGCCCATCGCCGCCCAAACCCGCGGCTGGACGATCGCGCCGTGAACAATATTCTCGTCATTTCCCGACGAGGTGTGCGCATCCGGTTAGCACGATGGAAACTGCCCGAACCCTGTCCAATTGTTCCTAGCCCGAATGTCTCTAACTTTGGGGATACCTGCCCTCGGCTAGTGGCTATCGAAGACATCTCCTGATACTCGTGGTGGGCACTCAAACCTCTTGACATGTGGTAGCGGATATGTGCGAAACTGGAAACCCTTCGCCCATGGCAATGCGATTGCTGTGTCGGACAATTCGACGCTCGATATGGTCGACACTGGCCTCCGCGATGCCGACCTGATCGCGTTCTTGGGGCGGCTTTGATGCGCCGCTAGTAGCTTCGAGTGTTTCGCACCGCCGGATTACAGCCTAGGTCTCGGATGCTCATACATACTCCCCGTATGGCTCGGCTGTTCAATTTCCCAAACGACAAGGCGATGTATGTCCACCTCGTCACGCCAGAACCATGTTCATGAAGCCCATCTTGTAATTAAACTCGGATGCATCCAACTTGAAGTGCCGCGCGCTTCTCCATAAAATTAACAAGTGAGGCATCCAAGACCGTGTTACGACGGCCTCGTATCCAAGCCATGTGTGACAACCTCCGCCCTGACATACACCGACAGCATGACCTCTACAACCTCCGCAATACTACTGTGACAGCAATTCATCCATATGATCGCCACTGCCCGCTTAACGAACGCCGTTCCGACCATCCGAGAGGAAACACTGCTCGGCGATCGCCTTGATGCAAGAAGACACGTTGACTGAATGGCCGACGCCACTGTCGTCGCCCCAGCCGCAAACGTCTATAATTCGGCATGACCGCGGATAAAGACTGGGCGTCCAGATACGACCGGCCATTGTTCAACTCCGTATATCACTATGACGCATTCGTCTCTATGATGTCAGGAATTCGTTCTACGCGCGACGGTGTTACCGGTCGAAGCCCTGCTACGCATATCCAGTCATTGGATCGTCTCCTCTGCGCCATCGATAATTTGAGAGACTGCCCTTGCGATTGATATTGTTCGGAACCAACGGTTCAGCTGACCTGTGTTTGTTCACGATCTCAACCCGCAGGTCTTGAGTGTGCTAGAATGGCCGCGACCAGCCCAACTTAATCACAAATCTGAAGCAACGCCTCCGGAACCTTCGACATATGACTCCAAGATTAGCGCAACACTGAGTCGGAATCGTGCGAGGTGTGGGGAATCATACACCGAATTGTCGCCTATACCTGCTTCTGGGTCGATTATTCGTGGATGATGTGGTCCTAGGATATGCGGGGGCGAGGAAGGCACGAGCGCATGTGAATGATTCGGAAAGGTCGAGTGACCTTCACCGCTGCAGAGCACTTCGTTCGTGTACTTCTCTTTCCTGCCATACACAGCCTGGTCTCATGGATGCAGTCGGTCAAATACTGCATATACATCATCCAAAGCAGCATTGCATTGCAACTGGAGTTTATAGCTTCACCAAACATAGGACATTGCAGCATAGAAAGAAGAACGTGCACCTTCAGCGCGGGAGGACCGCGGGAAATCCATGGAAAGACAACGTCCCGACGGATGTTGCCTTTGAGAGCAGATACCACGTCGTGATGTCAGCGGCGAAGTGCCCTTAATGGCCATCGATGCTTTGGCACGGCCAGATCAGGCAACGGGAGGACGCGGAACAGCGAACTCTAAACAACTTGTGCATAGGTCGGACGGAGTTGGTGCCCAGCTGACCTCTCGTGCATCCGACGGAAGCTAACGAGCTCTGAGGCGGTGGGTAGGAGCTTCAGGCTCCGTGGATGTCGACAATATCTAGACGCGAGCGAGGCGACGACGGACCGCTCGAGTGCGATCCAGTGGGGTCGACTTCTGCAGGATGACATTATAGACGTTGAGATGTGGGATGATTCAGAGACCAAGCTATCATATGCGTTTGCTCCTGGGATATGAACATGAGGTACGCTTTTGAGGCGCGGACAATGGGATTCAAACGCAGGGAAATACACATCTTGGCAGCTGAGTACCAAACTGATGGAGGTTTAACTGGATAGATCCAAGATCCATGATATGTATGCTGCGCACATCGTGGTCGGATGTAAATGAGTTGTAGGTTCGATCGTGTTTGCCGTAAGCAGCCTTCTCCGGCTGGCCACACGCTCTTGAGGATTCGACGTTCATGACGAGACCCTGCTGCTACTACCCTCCCAACAATCCTGGGCAATTACCGCATCGTTGATACCGGCAGAGATGTTAGTGGAGAATGTCACTTGGAGGATGCGGACATTGGAGGCTGATATCATGCGGCTGTCAGTAAAAGCGCGCCGCTTCAACCTACAGGCCCGGTCGCCCAGTCTTTCTCCATCTGTCATCGTCTTGGATGGCCACGGTGAGTGTGATACTTCCAGGTGGTTGGGCGTAACTCAAAGGGGCTACAGAAGTATGAATCGCCCGTGGACCTGATACACGACGCCTATCGACGACTTGATCATGAACAGCTTGTCTTTTTCCTCGAAGTCCGGCAACTGCCCACTTCAGGCAACGATGCAGAACTCGCAGCCCGTCTCGCTCAGTTTGACCTGACTGCCTACAAGATAGAACGCAAGCTGGAGAACATCACGATCGTCGAGGATCCATCTGCTTCGACGTCTCTGCCGCTCAGTCCGCCCGACTCCGCCGTAACCCGCCCTCGCACGTTGACCCATCTCGATTTCCCGGTCGAAATCCTCGCTGAGATCATGGATCACGTCAATGACTGGGAACTCGCAAAGGCCGTCGGTATACCCACATCTCTTCCCAGACCCCAGGAATGGACCCGCGCATCTTCTACTGATGAAGCTATGCTGTCAGGCTTCCTTCCCGTCCTCCGAGCTGCGAACCCTGCACAAACCCCTCCTACGAAAATCGGCGCTACTCTCGCCATTCGCTTCGGCTACGTCAACGTTCTGGAGTACTTCCTGATACATCATCGACCCATCTTCACCTCCCTCTTCCAAGGCGCCATTATACCCATCACCGCTTCATTCCACGGCCGCACACACGTTCTCTCCTGGTGGAGGCGTGCTTCTGAACAGGACCATAACCGGGACGTCCTCCCTACACTTACTCCATCATGCGTTGCGGAATGCGTCGACGGCGCGTCGCGGAACGGACAAGTTTTATCGCTCGACTGGTGGCTCGCCTCGGGAATACCGCTCGAGTATACCGACACTGCTCTGGAATACGCAAGCGCGCGCAACCACATTCCTGTGCTCGAGTGGTGGCGTCAGACGAAGCTGCCGTTGAAGATTGGGCGCGTTATGGATATGGCCAGCACGGCCGGGCACGTCGGCGTGCTCGAGTGGTGGTTCCGGTACGAGCATGACATCCATTACGATAAGCAGGCGCTGTACCATGCCAGCTGCCACGGCAAGGTCGAGGTGCTGCAGTGGTGGCTCAACAGCGGCCTGCAGCTCATGTTCGACCAGGACGTGCTCGTCGGGGCGACGAAGCACAATCGGCCGGAGGTGTTGGAGTGGTGGGACAGGAGTGGGCTGCCGGTGCAGTACCGCATGTGCGACATAGAGGAGGCGTTGGAGGACGCGATCGGCGGCGGGGAGGCGGCGAGGGATTGGTGGTTGCGAAAGGGTGTGGACTTCAACACGAACGATAAGGAATGGATGAAACTGCAGTACTTGAACCCTTGACTACATCTGTACCGTTTTTATGATCTAGCAGTGGTCGATTGCAACATGAAAAGTACTTTTGCGGACTTGCTTGTTACGCGCGATGACCAGTTGCAGCACAACACGTCTGAAAGACAAAGACGTCGACGAGACGGAGTTCCGGCCCGTGGACTACGCATTGCAACACGCGTCGTTGAATTCTCACGCCACCGCCTACTATATAAACTGCGACGCCGCGCGATCGTCTTTTATCCCACACCCCCAACACGCCCTCACCAAGAAACTACGATGGTCGCCCACACTGCTCCATTGGTACAGACATCCGCAACCTATCTCACATCATCTAGCCGTTCTAACAAACCCATGCCTAAATCTACTCGCAGGCGCAGATCCCGTCCGTCTCGGCACGGGTCTGCACCAAGCAAGCCGAAGAACAACCATAGTTCCTCCCAGGGTCATAACCGGACTAAGAAACTCGCGATCATCAAGAGCAGGCATCGCCAGCATATCATGGCCAATCTAGCTGCCAGCAAGGCTCGTCGTGCCCGATGGGCAGAGATCGCTCTCGGAACGCAGAGGATCGTAATGGGTGACGGCAAGTACGTTGAAGAACGGACATGCGTCCCGTCTTCCTTGCCGTCTCCGTTATTGACAGAGCCTTTCTCCGAAGGTTCGGTTGCACTGCCTGTGGTCCATGATATCGGCCTACAGATCCAGTTTAGCCGACAAGGCACCCAGTTTTACCCCCATTATTCCGAGCACCTGGCCAAGTGGTACATTGCGCCGCAGGTGAAGGACTCACAGACCAGTCCCACGACTACCATCGAGTTCACTTCGATGTCTCCCCTTTCCACCGCAAGGTCGATCACGCGGACATCCGCGGTCGGCGTACTGTCGTTCGCCTCTGCCAAGCGCCCTGGCGGCGGCTACCTCAATGGCGGCGACGAGCAGGAAGAACGCCTCGCACGCTCGACTGCTCTCGTGGCCAGCCTCACCGCCCCTGCCGGATTGAACTTCTACGAAGAGCTCAGACGATTCGCGTCTGAAGATGGATCCGGGTTACAGGCACACTCCGTTTTATACAGTCCTGGCGTCTCAGTAATACGAAGTGACGACGAAAGAGATGATGGTATGTCACTTCACCTAACCCAACTTGTTGCAGCTGCTAATGATTTATGGCTAGGCAAATTCATCGAGCCTTACGCTGTCGACATCGTATCTGCCGTGCCCGTCAATGCGGCTGCAGTTCGACGCCGGTATCACGTCACCGAGTCAGACTCTCAAATGTTTGAGGACGGCATACGTACTGCCACTAAGGAACGGCTCGCGCGAGTCCTGCGGGTGTTCGAAGATCACGGCGATCGCCAGTTGGTGTTAGGCGCCTTTGGCTGCGGCTCGAACGAGAACAACGTCGAGATGATCGCGGAGATCTGGGCCGAGTTGCTTGTCACTGGCCCGTCCTCCCCAGAAGAAGGCAAAGCCCGATTCGCCAACGTGTTCGAGTCAATCGTGTTTGCAATCCCCCCGCGATTGATCGAGAGGTTCAAGACCGCGTTTGACATGCGGGTGTTTGAGGCGGAGGTGGAGAAGGCGGCGTCCGATGAAGACGATTAGGTCGGGTTTCAGCGTGGTTTTGCGGCGATTGCAGCGTCCTCGGCTATCATTATTCGTTACCTTGTCCACCATTCGCATTGTTGTAACATTAGTTCATTACTCCTCGTGAAAGATATACCAGGCTCGTCTCTACTCGCCATGGCTTGGCACCGACGGACAGCATCGGCGGCCGCCTGCTCGAGATCACCATCCCGCACTACTATATGAGATCATCACTTCGGCCACATCGTCGAATCGGCCACCCTGCTATATCTCACGTTCCACGGCACAGTTCGACTTCATTCTTTGACTGTCCCAATATACTGTGTTTTCAATTGTTTTGAGAGCATAATATAGCGAGTTACACTGCTCAAAGTTGAGGTAGACAATGTCGGTCGAGTCACGCTGTGTGATGTGGTGCCGACAATGCCGGATGACAGCCGGCCGGAGTTCAAACACCGAACGCGTCGCAACGCGTCAGGCAACGCGACGACAGACAAGTATTCACTCATTTTCATGTCAGTATTGCTCTGCCAATGGGTGCAGATCGAACCCAGAAACGCAGCGGAGCACACACTATCCGAATTGGACGACAGCATCAAAGTACGACAGACTCGCTGTTCGAGAGCAAGCTCAACCGGTTTGCAGGCCTTTTCAAGTCTTCCCGACGCTCTGCGCAAAGAGCCTGCCCCGATTCCACATCGCATCTGACATCTCTCGACCCAACATCTGATGAAGCCTCGCATGATTGCCCGGGGAGTTCTGATTCAAACATGCTTGTTGACGACCTTGACTCTTAATCACCACGATACTCATTCAGATTATGTTCTTACTCACGGCTAGCTGTAAATTGTTGCTGTTACTGTAGCTTACATCCTTCATAATAGAACGTGAGCTTCAGACATCGTACGAAAAATCGTCTGTCGAGGACGAGTCGGCCACCCCGAGCGGAGTACCAAAGTTTCTGATGGGACATCAGCGCGGAGATGTGACGTGTCAGTGACTGGCCGATTCGACCATCTGGCCGAAGAGACGATCTCATATAGTACCGGACGTGGAAGCAGAGCCTGAAACGCGAGCACATCTTTTATATCTCGAAGACGTGGGTTGCCCCCTCGTGTTACTGAACGTCCGTGATTGACCGTGTCGTCGCAGTACTGGCATCCGTGTCGAAGACATCGAGGAGCTCGAGAACGCGTTGCTTAGCGATCCCGAGTTCGAGGAGGTGCAGGTGTGGGGGTTCAGGGTCAACCGGCGTTTCTTGCAGGCTGCAGTTGAATACGGCCACTAACATTCGCGTAAGAAGCATTATAGCGTTTTTCTCTCTGTTATCTGGTATACAACGCGCTCTTAAACGCGCATTCGATTTTTTTTTCTCTGTGATACAATACACCTCTGTTCGGCATCATGTATACTTAAAGTACGTTTATACACATGCACCGTTCGTTCGTAATCGTCGATGGGCAAAAGCGACGGCGCCTCAAGATTATGTTGTCCTTCGAGCGAACACGACCACCTCACGAAGTCGCCGCCTTCGCCAAACCTATCGCCCCCACCTTCGCCACGTCGTCGACAAACTCAACATACTTGAACACATGCCCCTTCTTCGCCAGCGCCTCCAATACCAGGCTCCGGTAAGTCTCCTGGCCGACCAAGCTCCCGCCGAAACACAGTATGCTATCCTTCGCCCTGATCTTGTTCGACGCCGGCGCGTTCGACGAGGAGGGTGGGGGTGGGTGGACGGCCGGCACGAGCGTGGGCGGTTTCTGCGTCGCGGACGGATCGGGCTGGAGCACGATCGGCGCGTCGCTCCCGTCGGGCTTGACGACGACGGTCTCGGGCTGCCCGCTTCCCGCCGGGCGCATGCTTACGGGCACAGTCGCATCCGGCTCGAGCAGCACCGCGACTTGATCCGCGAGCGCGTCCGCGCAGGATCGGAGCACGCGCAGCGCGAGCGGGTCGCCGTCGTCGAACGCGGCGGCGAACACGAGCGGCGCGAGGGAGGACAGCCGCTTCTCGCGCGCCATGAGCCGGTACGCGGGGACCTGACCGCCGAGGGGCTCGGTCTTCCCGTTCGGGTCGGGGTCGTTGTAGTGCACGGCGGTGAGGAGCCCGAACGGGTTGTCGACCGCGAAGAAGTCGAGGATCCGGCGCTGCATCGACGATCCCTCGAGTGGGGAAGGGGAGGCGGGGAAGACGGAGGCCTCGTCCGTCTCGCGCATGAGCGCGCGCACGGCTTCGCGCCCGACGTGGAACCCGCCGCCTTCGTCGCCGAGCATCCAGCCCCAGCCGCCGAAGCGGCCGAGCTCGGTGAGCGCGCCGTGCGAGCCGGCGCGGAAGGAGACAGCGATGGCGCCGGTGCCGCCGATGCAGGCGACGGCGGTGGAGATGTCCGGGTGGAGGGCGAGGGGCGCGACGAGGAGGTGGGTGTCGTTCGCGACGGTGAGGTTCACGTCGGGGCCGAGGAGGGGCGTGACGAGGGCGGTGACCGCGGCGACGTCGGCGGGAGAGTCGACGCCGGAGACACCGAGCCAGGCGGAGGCGAAGCGGAGGGAGGGAGAGGAGGGCGGGAGCGGGACGGGGGAGATGGAGGGAGGGGAGATGCAGGTTTTGAGCGCGTCGCTGACGGCGGTGGTGACGGCTTCTTTGAAGGCGGCGGGGCCAAGGTAGGCGAAGTTGGATGGACCGCCGAGCGCGCGGCCGAGGACTTCACCGGAGGCGCTGCAGATGACGGCGGAGGTCTTGGACCCGCCGCAGTCGACGCATAGGTAGAGGGACATATCTGTAGAGAGGTTGAGATCAGTACCTGGCTCGAAGAAACAGCTGCGACGGATGAACATACCGTATGAGATCACCAAGGATGGTGGAGGATGGTACCACTAAGGCCTTCGCGCTGGCAATGACTTCGACTCTTCGTGAGATCAAGCCGACGAAAACCAGTATTTATCCGAAGGAATTGAGTGGACCTCAAGCACTCGAAGCGCAGGCTGCTCAGATAGAACGTTGCTGTGGCAGCTTGACCTGGAGGGATCGTGAAGCCCGCGGCCGAAATGAAGGATGCTACCTTTACATGCGAGTAGTTACGGGTTGATAACGCCCAAGGATGCCGTAGATCGCCCGGATAGAGCTGGCGATAAGAACGGCTGAAGCACCCATGTTGGGTAGATATCAAGATGCAGAACGTTGTCCCATTTGATTCAGCAGCGCTTTCGAAGGATATCTTATGCTTTTTCACGTTCCGAGGGCAGCAGAGAAAGAGACGAATTCTTGTGGGCCGTATGGTCCACGGGTCTTCGGCGCTTTGGCCAGCGTGGTCGAGCGGAATATTCGTCGGCGGGTGGGCACGCGACCGGCGACCACGCGAAAACAATCTTAAGTCGAAGCCACATCGAGACCTGCCCTCGGGTGGTGAAGTCACTGCAGACACACATTGGCCTCAACTTGACGCGAAACTCAGGCTCAGTCAGGCTCGGTCACTCCGTGCAACCTCGTTTTCCTCTTTTTCTCCCTTGATTGGCGGCCATGCCGACCGCCACGTCGCACCTGACGAACGCGACGACACCTACGAGCCGTTACACCCCGGGTAACGGTTCGGCGTACGCTCAGACCCCTTATGTCAATGGACGCAACTACCCTGTGGCGCCGCACCCGACGCCGGCGACCGAGACGCGGGATAGGATGCTGCCTAAAGAGCTCAGGCCACCGGTGTTGAACCCGTACGATGCGTTCTCGGCGGACGAGTTTGATCAGTGGATTGGCGGGATCACGAGCGCGCTGAGGAGGGCTTTGGGCCGGGAGGACGAGATCGAGGTCGAGCCGGAACCACGCGAGGAGAGCGGCGTACTGCCGGAGGAAGAGGCTGCGACGGATGGGGAAAGCCAGGAGGAAGAGGAAGGAGTGTTGGAGGATTCGTTTGCGGAGTGGAAGGAGAGGAAGGCAGCGAGGACCGCGGGGCGTGGACCTGAGGAGGCTGATGCACTCGATGCTTCTGGAGCGAAGGAGCAGCCCATTGAGATCTTGTCGGACGACGAAGACGACGACGCGGAAGACGATGAGGAAGACGAGGAAGATGGGGACGAGGAAGGATATGAAGAAGACGAGGATTATGCCGAAGAGGAAGGAGCAGTGGATGGAGTGGCACACGCTCGTGTCGACGCCAGCGACGAGGATGTGGGCGTCTATGAAGACGATGAATATGACGATCAGGATGAGGAGGACGAGGAGGCGCCAAAAGTCAACGGTGCAGGAGCTGAGGACGTCGATGGGTTTGTCTCCGAAGAGGATGCGGTCTCTACACGGGCACACGAGGATGAATTCGATGAGGATGAATTAGAAGAGGACGACGAAGAGGAGGAGGAATATGACGACGAGGAGTATGAACGTCAGGAACATTACGACGAGGAACCTCTCGGCGACAGCGATGAGGAGAACGCAGTTACTGGTGAACGGGGTGACGACGTTATCTCTATCGTCGACGTGGATGAGGACGACGAGGGGCATCCAGAGGAGGATCAAGGTGAGATCAACCTTCTCATTGACAATGGAATTCAACATGACTGACTATCCTACCATAGATGCTCCTGCCGCCCCAACTTCCGCTTCAGTAGCGCAACCAATAGAACTTCCAGATCCATGGACAGGCCCACGGATGTACGCCGAAGACTTCTACTCCAGCGGCGACCTTCGAGACAACGATATAGCCGGCGCTACCCCTTCACACCTTACCCCGAGACGAGAGGACGACGGCTTGGAGTATCTAGACGTCGGGGAGGACGAAGCGATCCCTGAGATCTCCGTCGTCGAACCGGACCTTGCGGACGACCTCTTTGACGAGCCTCCCGTCGTGGACGTCGAAAAAGCCATTCTTACCCCAGGCGTCCTGTCCGACCTCGAGCCCGCGACTCCACAATCTGTCTCCGACGCCGAGCTCGCCCCTACGCTCTCCGATGCCGAGTTGGCCCTCAACCCCGACACCACCGCCACCCTCTTCCCCGAAATCTTGAGCGCATCCGCCGACTCCTCGCCGCCACCTCCACTTTCTCAGGGCATCGACGAACTCGAGCCCGCCGCCGCGCACTCGCACTACCAGGACCCGCCCTCGCCCGGGATGCAGCTCGCGGACCCGTGGGTGGACGTGGACACGTTCGCGGAGGACTTTTACGCCGCCGGCGACTTTCGTCCTCCGCCCGGTGGAGATGCGTCGATGCTCGAGGCGGCGAAGCACGGCGTGTTCGTGCCCGCGCCGTCGCCTCCCCCAGCTGTACGCGTGGTCGCGGAAGCGAATGACGTCGCGATGCAAGAAGCTGTCGAGATCCGCCGCGAGATGGAGCGCGGAGAGGCTGCAAGCGAGGACCGCGGCGTGCGGGCGACGACTCCTGCTCGCGAAGACCGCCACGAACGCGCGACGACTCCAATGCGCGAGGATATCGGCAATCGCGCGAGCACGCCCGCGCGCGAACCGCCGCCCCACCTTCTCCCCACCTCCACTTCTTTCGCCGCCGCGCCGAGGTCCCCGACGCCGACGCCGACGCGCATGTCGATCTCCCCCCGAGCCTCGTCCAGCGGCGCCCTCCTGCGCGCGCACGAGCGCTCGGCGTCGCCGCTGCAGGTCGCGCCGAATGGGCATGTGAATTGGACCAATCCGCCTGCCTTTCCGCGAGGCAGGAGCCCGAGGGTGGAGCCGAAGCGACTGCCGCTGTTGGCGGAGGAGACGAGGGAGAGTCCAGATACGACCGCGAATGAGGTGCAGCAGGTTATTCAGCGGAGCGAGGAGGCTGAAAAGGCCGCGGCTGAAGAGCAGAGCGAGCCTGCCTCTGAGCTCACATCGGCGCCTATATCGACGTCTGAGCAGGCCATCGAGGAGACTGTCCAAAACCTCGACTCTAAGGAAAAGGCGGAACATGCTCCGACTGGACAAGAACCCGAGCAACAAGCACAAACACCTCACGCCGCGGAGGAAGTCGTGGACGCTGATGACGACGCGATGGATGTCGATGAACCAGCCGCGGCCGACGAGTCTGCATCCCCAGCCATTCCCGAATCCATCGAGACCCCGGACGTCTCCGAACCTGCGGTGTTTTTCGAGGCTGAGGGGGCAGGCGAGGACGAGGCCGATATCCCAGGCCTCAGCTCTCCCGCGATGTCCAAGGACAGCGTACACTCCACCTTTGGCACTCTGCCGTCCACCCCGGCTGTCGAAGAAGGTCCCTCAATGTCTGATACGGCGCAGAAGGACGATGTCGCGAGGGAGCTCGAGGATAGTTCCGCGACGATGCAGGCGTTCTTTGACTCCGAAGCGGCGGGCAGCGTGATGGAGGACATGGTGGACACCGCGTTACGGGAGATGCAGGATCGCGAGGAAAAGGAGACGTTCGACGCTGTCGTCGAGTCTGCCGTGGAGGAGCTCGCCTATGAGGTAGAAGAACCGGGTGAACATCTCGATGGGTATGTTCGGAGAGGATCAAGTGTCCTCACGGTTCCAGGAGGCTCTGGGCCCGAGTTCGTGAAAATTGACTACCAGGTGGAGGAGACTGGCTTGGTATCCGGAGACGAGGTGAGTGCTTCCGCGTGGTACTGTTGCTCCCGGTGCTGACGCCGGCCTAGGACGAGGAGGTGGATGAACTCCCAGATGAACTGGAAACTGCGCAGGCCGCCGAAGACGACTACACGAGCCGTCTCCAGTCACGGGAGAGCAGCATCGCATCTTCATCTGCTGAAGCCGAGGCGAACAGTGCAACCCCCACCCCGGAAGAAGCCGAGGCGAACAGGGCAACACCTACCCCTCAGGTTCCAACCCCTATCACATTGGCGGAGGAACATGGCGAAATAAGTGCTGACATGCCTGCCGGTGAGAGTGTCTCCACAGCTCCAGCCGCACCAGAGGAGGAGATTCCAGGGCTATTCATGACCCAGGTTTGCGTCTCTCGCCCGTTTCACTTGTGCCCGTGCTCATTCGCGGTGTGCAGGCTTCGACGGCGCTCTCGGGACCGCAAGCACATGAGGATAAGCCTCCTCAAGGGATATCCAGCGCCCAGTCATCCATATCCTCCGATGCCCAGACTGAGGATAGCAGGTCTCCTGTCGTCACCACGACGAACCTGGAGGTGATGGCGGAGCCTGCGACCCCGGGCCCGGCCGGGGAGCTCTTCCAGGACTTGGAGGCAACAGTACGCGAGGTCGACACTGCCCGCCTTCCCGACATTGACATTGCCATGCCCGTCATGACGGACATCGGACAGGGCTATCTGACCCCGCAATTCGAGATGACATCCACCCCCTTCGCGTCCTATACCCCCTCTGCGTCGCATGAGGATTCGGAGTCGCCTCCCGGTCTAACGCCTGTTCGTCCCGCGTTGGTGAGGCAGCCCACGCCCGTTTCACTGCAGCTGTCTATGTCCGCCTTGCGGTCACTGGGAAGTACAGCGCCATCACCAGTGGTACCGGACGTTCAGGTTGAAGCCCCTGTCGACGACGCGGAGGACAATTTCGGAGGGCAGGACATGGATATGTCACCTGTTTCTATCAATGAGCAGGCAACAGAACTCAACGTACCGGAGCCTCCGGTCTTGTCGTTATCTGCATCGTCCGACGACACGCCGCCTGGTTTGGCTACATTGTCTGCGAATCCAGACATTGTCCAGGAGGATTCGAGCGTGCGCGTGTGCGATCGGTGTGGAGGGAATGGTCATGAGAGCGGAACTTGCACGCAAAGCAACAACGAACCGCCAAGTATCGTCGGGAGCCCGGCCAAAAAGTGGTTAGTAGGACTTCCACGTCCGCTGGAAGGCTGCTCACCAAGTCTCTAGCTTCTCTTGCGGTGGAACGGGCCATACCACCCGCGATTGCATCCAGTGCTTCGAATGCGGTCAAACGGTAAGCCCGGTCACCACTTCACGCATGCCTACGCTTAAGAATCTTCATCCTAAGGGTCATCTTACCATGAAGTGTCCCCAGCGGCAGAAGCGGCAGATTCCCCATTCCCCGCTGAAGCAGGAAGCGACTGCGAAGGCCGAGTCAAAGGTGGAGGCGCCCGAAGAGTCCACGCCTACAGTAGAGGAATCTCAGACCCAAGCAACGGTTTCTGCCGAGCTAGCGGATACTCAGCCCGAACTGCGTTCACCGACAGCGGAGGGTGAAGCTGTGAATGCCGACTCCCAGGAGGACAGATCGTTCGAGGAGGACCTTGTGGTGGCATCCTTGCTGGAAGGACAGGAAGCCGAGGCTGATGAACTCGAAGAAGCTACACTGCAGTACCCCGACTCTGAGCCAGGGGCTACTGAGAACATTGTGCCAGCGGATTCCGTGACGGCAGAGCTGGGCGATGAGGTGGATGCAGAAGGCGAGATTGACGAAGAATATTATTCCGGCCTTGGGACACCGTGGACTGAGATATCCCCGACCCAGTCGACAGCTCCAGAGGAGGAAGACCCATTCAAGCTCACGGGCTCCGACAGCACAGTTGCTCCCGGCTCTATGAAGGATGATAACACTCCGTCAACTGAAAAGGTTGAGGCGTCTTCCATAAAATCCTCAGCCGCCACCGAGGAGTCAGTGTGTTTGCATCCTAATCTTCGCTCAAGCTGACATATCATTTCAGTGATAAGTCTGGGGATACCATCACCAAACAGCATGATACCCGGTCGAGCTCGACACCGGCGGACCCCGGCAAGGCAGATGCGGCTGGAGAACAGCTGGCTCACAAATCGTCGAACGGGGCTGCTGCCAAGCCAATCGCGGAGATTCGGACCGCCGCTAACCCACCGGTTGACGACCAGGCTCCTCCTCGGTATCGCAAGGGATCCCGTTCGAGGTATGAATCTGAACGGAAGAAAGCCTCGAAGGAGAACACTACCACTAAAGCTCGCAACCCTCCGCCGCTGAAAACGTACTCGCGCAAAGACAAGGGCAAGGCGACGGAACCGGAATCAGTCGCAGAACCCGCGCCCTCTAAAAAGCGACCGCGTCTTGAGATGGAGGCAGTCGCACCAACACCGGTCGAAGAGAGTGCTAGACAAAACCGAGCAGCTTCTGAGACTGCACACTCCGAAGCATCCGGAAGTGCTTCCACGTCAGCTACCTCCGGGCCCTCCCCCTCCTTCACTCATGACGTTAGCTGGACCAACGCTTCTCCTGTTACCCCTCCTCCCAATTTCATAGGCGGCATTTTACGTCATCAACACCATGCCCCAGCTCGCACTACAACCCTACAAACTTATAGTCGCAAACCCCCTATTACTACATATACCTCGAAAGCGAAACAGGCGGAAACGCAGGCTCAGAGTGGACCGCAACCACCAACCCAAGCTCCTCCCCCCTCCTCTCAGGCAAACCCACAATCGGCTGGACCACTCAGTGCGACGCAATCCATTCCCAGCATGTCGCGAAGTTCCTCGATACAAGGGAGCCCGTCCAGGCCGAGAGGCGTGCGGAAGACGGCATCATTGGACGTCAGCTCCCCGCGTACAACCCGATCGAATTGCAGGTATCACAAGATCAGCATCCCAAAAACCGAGGATGGCCCTCGGATATGCTTCCTAGTCCCTGGTTGCTCGCTTGCTAACCATGAATTCATGGAGGAAGAGGAGATCGAAGATTTAGGCGAACCTGAACCCGCTGATCAAGAACGGATGGTAAACGACATTGAAAGCCTCGACATATCTGCTTATCTCGTGCACGTACTGCGGATCCTGCTTGGTGTCGATATGCTGCAGGAGCACGATATCTTTTACGTGCCAGAGCCTGGCGAAATGGTCCGGAGGCGAAGGGAACGTCCACGCGAAAACAAGTTCGTTCTGTTCAACCCGGAGCGCCCGCAGCATCTATATTCGAGCAAACGGAAAAGACAGAAGTCCGCATCAATTTCGTCGCTGTCGGAACTTGACGAGCTGAGCGACGGCACTTCTGGCACCCATGGGACCGAGAACTCGATGCCTGCTCAGACCGGCGGCCAACAGTCCAAGGGACCGCTCAGGCTACATGCTGCGACCTCGCGTTCGCACCCCGCACGATCCACAGAGACTGATTCGACCGCCGCGGACCAGGATGCCAGCGTTCAATCTCAACCTTCTCCAACCTCACCTACGGAGTCGGCTTCCGCTGCGCCTTCACGGAGTGGTGGATCATCGGTCAAGATGACGTCTACCGCATCCAAGGTAAGGCGTACGAAACGCCTCAGCATGGACGCTGCGGCATACGCTCCGCGCGAGTCCTCCCCACTATCGGAAATATCGGAATCTTCCGACGTTCGCCCTCAACCTCGTCGAACAAAAGGGCAGAAGGGCGGGGCTAAAAAAGTGAACGAGTCGACAACGGGGCAGGCCGAAGCCCGTGGAAGCGGCGCTAAACGCCCGCGTGGGGATGACGGTGAGGATACGCGAACTGCTCCAAAGAAACGGAAGACCGCGGGAGGGTCAAAGGGTTGAGTTTGTACCGCCAAACCTTCGAGTCCCGATCACCAGCAGTTAATCTGTACCTATTCATATTGTACGAATCATGGCATCTGTGTAAAGTTTGTTTGTTGGTAGAATACCATTAGCGGCTCGGCGTGACTGAACTGCTTGCAGTTTGCGCGATCGGAGCAGACAATTTGCATTCCTTCCCCGATTCAGATAAGGTATATTCCAGACAGATAGGGTATGGATACAGCATTGCATTGGAATTATGGCAGAAAAGGTAGTATAAGATCGGACTTCTGCGTGAACGAAGTTGAATGCGCAGGTGAAATAACAGGCATGATCATGAGGCAGGGAAATACACGAAGGCCTACTCCTCAGCAGTCGCCATCGCCGTGCGCGCATGCGCCGCAGACCTTGGCCGTATCTCGCACTTGAACGGTTTCGGATGCCTGTTTAATGGTGATGAGCATCCGGCGATCTCCGAGGTCAGTTAATCTTACCGAGTGACGCCAGTGGTCTCGAAATCGTCGTCGAGAGTGAATACCTGACCCGGTTGCGCCAAGATGTCGAAGGTGGTAAGCACGGTCGCGACCGTGAGGAAGATCGTGTCGAGCGCGAGAAACCGCCCGGGACATGCCCGACGACCGAATCCCCACGCGCCCGCGGGTTCCGTCATGCCCGGACGCAGTTGTCCCTTCTCGTCAAGGAAGCGCTCTGGTTTGAATGCGTACGGGTCTGGGTACACGCGTTCATCGTGCGTTAGAGCCCTGAGCGCGATTCGGATGAATTGGTGATGAAGGCACGGTTGTGGAGTCTTGCTTACCATACGTTGCCTGTGCAGTTACGAGAAGTCAGGATAAGCCCGGCCTCATGGGGTGCCAAAAAAACTTCCGCGTACCTATTACGACAGAGCCCTTCGGCATGTAATACCCCATATACACGTCGTCGTCGCGAATTTCGCGAGGCAGACCTGGTGGCGCGTCAGGAGGCCTTCTTCTTCATTCGTTGCACGCGGCCTACCTATCGGGGCGACGGGTTGGCATCGCAAAAGTTCCGCCACGAGGGCGCGTGTATAAGGGAGCGTCGCACAATCTGTGAAGTCCGGCAAGCGACCGTGGAGGACGCTGTCGAGCTCTTGCTGTGCTTGTTTTTGTACATGAGGATTTCGTAGCATTTCGTAGAAGAAGCATTCTATCGTCGCGGCCGTCTGATAATATGTCAGTGTGCCAGTAGGCATTCCGGACATGGGCATAGCACACCGTATCGACCGCGGCTACCAGACGCGATTAGCCGTCATGTTTACCAAGTTTCAATAATGTTCGTGCTCACCTGCGTACATCAAAGCAGATATGCCTGTGAATATGCATGGATGTGAATTCGGAGACAGGAATTTGCGTATCGGAGAACCGCACCTTTTATAAAGTCATGGTTTTCAGGCAAATCGGCCTTTTCGCCGAGTGAATCGAGGTACAAGGATACTGCGCTAACGCTAATCGAATAGAGCTAGAGAAACGTTGAATCACCATGGCACGATGGATGAAGTAAGTGACTCACGCCTGCTCTTTTCGCAGCCATGAACGGGATCTCGCGCCAATCGTGCGAGCACTTTCGCCATGCCTTGGCCAGCCGTTTGAATTCCGCGCCGGGGACCCAATCGGGGACATGTCTCACTACGAGCCTGGTAGGTTGGACAGATGACAGGAAAGTAAACAAACGCTCACGAAGTGGGAAAGCGTCCACGAGCCAATGCCCGGGCTGTATAGCTGATAGAAAAGCGTTGTTTCCGCGCTCGACTACAGAGATGTAGGGATCGTCCTGCTTGGAGGGTCAATATCTCGAGTAACCTGGTCTGACGATATGTTACTATTTACCTCGCGTTTAGCATCGATACCATATGCAATCGAGAGTACTTGACTAGCTGTAGTACTAGATTCGTGTCAACATCCGCTCGGAACCCAATGAACGAAGGTATTCGCTCACAATCTTATGTGAGAATATAAATCATCTGGACTCGTTACTAGTCGTCGTAGAAGGTCGTGAACGCCTTTGCGTTGCTTCGGTTGTCGCATCGCAGCCGCTCCCGGCCCAACGTATCGATGCATCACCTTGCGGTAATTCTGGAAGGCGTCCCCATAGGGCAAGAACCCGGGATTCCAGCTGAAGTCGCACCTGAAAGTGAATGGAGACCATTCAGTCATCAACCACGCCGAAAGAGGGGGCTGAAGCGTACAATTCCATCGCCATAGTCGGCAAAGGTCTATACAAATTACATTAGTCGTGAAAATCAGAGGGTCGCAAGGATACCGCTCAGGACCTGTCAGAGTAAATTGACGCCCTCTCATCAACTGTGAAGAAAGAGACGTTAGGTAACGGAGCTTCTGGCGGCGTCTAACGTCGAACTCACAAAGATCTCGCGCGACCTTCGCCGAGTTGACGACAAATATGTGTTTACGCAATACCCGGAGATGAACGAGGCCCGTGTCTATGGAAACACGCGGATGAAACGCCAAGTCCCGATGCATCGGAGGCGGGACGACCCACCATAGTCACGACCCCACTTCTGGTACGCTATCCACTCGAAGTGCTGAGGAATGTCTAGCAGGTTGCCAAGCAGTGGTAAGCCTGGCGGTCCAGGTGGGTAGAGAGATGGTCGACTCCAATGACGATAAGCCAGATACAAGACGATAAGAACGAGACCGAAAAGGGGTATACACATGCCGTACCAAGAGGAGGGTATCATGACGGGTTGCGGCATTGGTCAGGAAGCCAGGTCTTGAACCAAGGTCTCTCCTTTTGTATCTTGGCTGTCCCATCCCCCGGCGTGTGCTGTTTCAGCACTTCGGACTTCGGTCACTCCCCAACGTGGTGAGAAATGCGTCCATGTCACCGCGCGGCACCGATATATGCGCCTGGCGAAGGCCGCTCCGAACACACGAGTTTGAAAAAAGAATGAGCGAGTTTGGGAGCCTCGACCGAGTAGGCTCGGGAGCAATGACGAAGGGCACGCAAAGACCCGCGCAGACTTCCCAGGACCCAGGGACACATTGATCAAGCCGGTACGCGGTTTCAGACAAAGACTCAGCCGAGTAAGCAAACGAACGTTGATATGGTGAACCGAAAGTCATGTGCAACCACGGCGTCGTTCTCGAAATTGGTGGCTTCGTTGTGTGATGTCGCCGCTGACAGTGAGTGCCTTTTTTGCAAATAGGAACACGATCCACGCTGCATAGGTTTCAGTCGGAGGAAGTCCTTCGGAATGGATACGAAGCCAAGCGCAGTTCCGGAATCCAGGCGTCGTCGTGGACGACGTCGGGTTGCTTCCGCCCGTTCCCCTGCAGTCAAATATTCTTATGCAGTCACGTGCTTGCTTTGCCCTCCAATCCAGTTTCTTTCTGTTCTGTCGCACAGAGGGCGGGGAACTCAAGGGGTACGGCCAATATCGCAGGACACCGCTCGCAATGTGGTTAGAGGATCGGCGAACTCAGGACGCCACATATTCCAGCTACACAGTGCTTAATGTCATCGACTGTCTCTGATACACATAACTATATCCGGCATTCGAAAGCCCCAAAGTATGATAACGATCGTCGCTTGGTAGAGTACCACATGTACCGTCCTGCAGTTGATGACGTTCGCGGACGATACGTAGATAGTCTGGACCCGGTCTGCAATTAAGAACGCAACGATGTGCCTCGGGTATGACGCTGGATGCTTCAAATTCGGTTAGGCACATACAACGAACCAGATGAGCTAGATTGCAAAGCAGGAGAATTAGGTGTAATTCCCACTTCCTTCTCAAATTCATGAGACCTCATTAGTTGAAGAATGGACAAGGACACCGCATTAGGACGATGCAAGCTTCTTCGTAGAGCTCGAACCCGCGTCCGGATGCATCCTGGGGTGCTTTCGCTCGACTGCAACGCGAGCAAAATCCTCTTGCGGCCAATGGGGAGGTAGAGAGGTGATGAGTTGATGCGAAGAGTACGACGTCGCAGGATCGTGCTCGACTGCTCTGCTAGTGAGCGAGGTGGAAGAGTTTCGGTGGAGAGGTCGGTGCCGCGATGTTCGATGCCCGATAGCATGCGGCCTTGTCGTAGGAAGCCCTTGGTGATCCGGGTTCCATTCGACATCGTGACGCGGGTACGTCAAGTCATGCGACCGGCGGGATTGTCCTGAATCAGGATATCAGCGGTAGTATTGGAGATCCACGAAAGTACCTTACGCAGCAGCAGCGGAGTTTTGGGATCGCTAACCACGATATCAATGATCCCGAAACGATTCATCGTCGGTACAACTGAGCAATTTACTTCAGAGCTCTGTCATATCAGTGCGCCATTCACGTACCTGAGTTCCAAAATTGAGGGGTGATGATCGCTCTGTCGAACTGTCTTGGTACTGTGATCATGAACGAGAGCTGCTCTCGAACAATGGGACGCAGTTCAGGGAAGGCACAGTATACGTAATCGATTGCTTGCTACAGAGACGCGTCAGTCACTACCACCCTTAGATGAACATGTGATTGCTCACCTCGTACGATACCGCGCGTGGAACATAGGACCACCGTCCGCCGAGTCGATAGATGACGATATCGGGCGACGGCAGTTCTGGAGCAAAGGCTTCGCCCGGAAGTCGGGCATACCCCGCTTGAGACGCTGCGGACGGTCGTGGCACGATCTTCCGCGCCAGCATTCCTATGAAATTGTCGAGGACGCGTCCGGCCCCCGTCATGTCGGATTGAGTACTGTCGGTTCCCGTGACGAACGAAAGCGCGTCAGTGTCAACGTGCGCTTTTAGGTAGGCGGGGACGCGATGAGGAGCAGCGGCCATATTCAACTATTGACTATTTGAGTTGCAGGTGAAGGCGCAGTTTAGCGCTCGTTGGGTGGCAAAATTCTGGGGATATCCAGGAGGCGAAACTACCTCGGCGCGTTCCTTGAAGTACGGATGGACAACAGCTTTATCTTCCACGCTCATCGCGGCACGGCTTCACGAGTAGCACACCGACGCATCCCGACTCCATAGACTCGAGACGATGTTACTGTATTCGTGTTGCGGCGAACAGGGACAGCATCGGCTATGCTCACTTCGAGAGCCACGAGTCAGCAATGTATGATCCGGGAACGACGAGGGCAGACGACAGGCGGATCAGATTCGACCTTGCAGGCTTCCTCCAGTGCCATGTCGCGTACCAGGGTGACCATGAGCCAATAATTTTTGATCCGCGAAGGACAAGCCGACGACAGACTGACGACTATCAAGTTCAATCTGCGATCCCTCATCCATTGCTGCATATTTATTCGGTCCTCGCGCTGCAGGACATGTACAGCATCGGCCATGTGCATCTCGGCGACCGATTGATCAACGCATGACGAGGGCGGCGAGAGACGACTCCAGCTCGAACTTGACTGCCACGTAAGTACTTGAAATTGAGAACCGGATGACAGGCCATCCTCTCGTTCCAGCCAAGCTGAAGGAACCGGCACGAGTTCGAGCACAAGTTGCGCTGACGTCGACGAGGCAAGGCGGAGGTCAAGCTTGCCGGTGTCATCTGACTCTGACGGACCCACATGCGATGATAAGCCACACTTCAGCCTACTTCAGCTCACGATCAGTGCCTGATCCGACTGCATCGCGCTCTGTGTCGGCGAAGCCCGTTTGTATGGATTTATGTTTGGAAGTCGATCAGCGGGATTCAGCGCTGCGTTATGTTTGTACACGGCTGAAACCGAGACCGCATTGCTAAATTCAATCTATCGGCTCTGCAACGGCGCCGGCGGTAGCGAGATTAAACCCATAACGTGTAGTTGTAAGTACATATATATGCTGATATCGATTAGCTGCCGATAGACCCGACGAATGGCTTCGAGCTGGGAATCACGACGTCTGCTATGTATGATTATCGCGAATTCATAAAGCCTTTTACAATACCCCGCGACATGTCGTCGTCGCTACAGAGGACGTGACCGGAGACCGTAGAGTGACCGTGCATAGATCGTAGGTACAGATAAGGTCTCCTGTTAATGAAGATGGTCTGATATCGCCTGGAACGATGGTACGACGCCTCCGATCCCAAGCAGTACCGCAGGGGCATCGACGACATGTCCAACCTTGTTGAGAGGTGTATATACGACAGCTATACACATTTTGTCAGACGGCTTCATTGAGGTGTGCCTCGAGTTGCGGAGATACTCGAACACTGACCTCGAAGCGATGTGAAGTAAACAATACGGCATGCGCGTGGTCGATGATCAGAACATGAACGTATTACGCAGAGGTCGGCTTCGGAGTGATACGGAGGGACAGCCGCCACTGGCAGGAACAACATAATCGATAGGGCCGTCTAGTCACCTCACTGGTGAACGGGGGCACGACACTCGGCCTCGCGCAGAGGAGGGCCGATCCAGTCCATTCGTTCGCCATTCATCGGAGTCTGGTGGACAAAGCTCCCGACGAGATTCTGGGAGTACGCTGATGACAGTGACATCTCTCTGAGAACATAAGCAAGTCAAAGTTGCGGAGGGTTACTGTGTGCTACGTTCCATGGCAGTTTGCAAGCTCGCGATACTGGGCGCGGTGCAGGATATTTCTTCCTTGAGTGGTTCGCGTCCACTTCAACAAGTCTGCGCCCCTATATGGGGATCTGTACCTGATCTATGCAGTAACAAGTATCACGTTGGCACCCGTGCCTCAAGCGTTCTCCCCGGACAAGCACCATCGTCCACGCCAGATCCGCAGGCACGCGCCGCTGAACCCGAGGTGTATGTATTCAGTCCGTGTATTTTCCGAGGACTTGCGCTATACGCAATCCGGTAACAGATCCGGTCGTGGTCGCGAAGGTAAAGCGACAAGAGGTGTGTGGAAAGTGAAGACGAATGTGGGAAATCAAGATACGAATTAGGATGACAGTTGCTGTCCGGGGTAAGAAAGCCGGATGCCGGGGCCCCTATTTGACCCCGCATGCCCCGGCATCCGTCATCCGCTCGCTTGCGTCTTAATAAACTTGCTCGGCCACGGTCCGGCACCAGCAGCACCTATCTTTTCGACCATGACCAGCAGCACATCCCCCTCGCCGAAGGCCAAGGCCCCGCGCATCTACAAGTCGCACGTCCCGGATTTGCCGCTGCCGTCCCGCTCGATCTACAGTCTGCTTTACCCGCCGCTGCCTCCGACGCCGGTAGACGTGTCAGCTAAGCTCAACCCTGCGGTTGCGACGCAATCCGAGTTCGACATATTCCCTCTCTCGCACCCGGCCTTCGTCGATGGCCCCACGGGCATCGTCCTTACGCGCGGCGATATGCGCAAGCGGACGCTCGAGATCGGCTGGGGGATGCTACATCTCGAGGAGATCGCGAAGGACACGAACTCAGGGCCCGGTATCAAGCTGCAGAAAGGCGACACTGTGATGATCTTCAGTCCCAACTCGCTCGCGTACCCGGTCATGCTCCACGGTGCCTTCGCCGCAGGCCTGCGCGTGACGCTCGCGAACACCGCTTATACCCCAGGTGAGCAGACATGCGATTTCAGGCTGCAGTCCTGTGGCGTCCAGTATCCCACTCTTTCAATTTCCTGCCATGGGATGCTGTCGCTGGAATCTTATCCGAGATCGGTTTCTAACGCACACCGCCCAGGCGAACTCAAGCACCAATACACCGACTCGGGGGCCTCGGCAATCTTCGTCCACGCAGACATGCTTCCAATTGTATTGCAAATGCTACAATTGTGCGGCGTTGAAGGCGCCGACGCCAGGAGGCGTATCATTATTGCCGAATGGCCCGGAACTGGGACCGCCGCTAGTGCGTTTTTTTTATTTATGGACCGTTGCTAGGCGTATCCCCGACCAAACACGAGATTAATGTTCAATGGCAGATAGACTTCCCGGTTATCTTGCACTCAGATCCCTGCTCTCGGGGAAGGCCCTGCCGCACGAAGTTCGCTTCGATGGCCCGGCTGCAAATGAAACCGCTTTGTTGTGTTACTCCAGCGGCACCACCGGGCGCGCAAAGGGAGTCATGGTAGGAGTTGTGTTGCCCTTGACCCGACGCAGCACCCTCTCACGTTATCGTTTTACCGTCTTGTTTTGTTAGACGACCCACCGCAACTTGACCTCGCTGTGCTGCATCATATCGCCTCTATTCACTCCGACAGACGCTAGTCCCAATCCGGAGACCGGCCTCACGAAGGATGTCATGCTCGGCGTGTTACCGTTCTATCACATCTATGGTAATTTGCCGGTTCACCTGTCTCGTTTCTCGTACAAGATTCCGGCATCTGATAACCTCCGGGGATTTCTCAGGCGCCGTCAAGCTGCTGCATTGGCCGTACACTACCGGCCTGCCGGTGGTGATCATGCCGCGATTCGATATTGTGAAGTTCGTGTCGCTCATCGAGCGCTGGCGGTGCACGATCTCCCTCATCGTCCCACCGATCCTCTTGGCGCTGGTGCACCACCCTGTTGTCGACAAATATGACATCTCGTCTTTGCGCATCATGTTTTCGGGTGCAGCGCCACTTGGGGCACCTCTGGCCAACGCGGTCAGGCAGCGGCTGATGAAGGCTAATGGAGGAAAGGAGGTCGTTATCACACAAGGTTCGTGTATCCAGCAAAAATTCGGACTTGTCCTTATTGATTTGACGATACTTGGATAGGATACGGTCTGACGGAAACATCTCCCACGTCGCACCTGCTTCAGGACAAGGAAGCTCTGAGGAAAGTTGGGAGCATCGGTACGTACGCCGGAGATAGACGCTCCAGCCGGATTCTCACTAGCACGGCGTTACGTTTAGGCCAACTTCTGCCCAATCTGGAGGCACGGCTGGTAAACGATGACGGCGAGGATGCTGAAGAAGGCGAGAGGGGCGAGCTCTGGACCCGTGGCCCCACCGTTATGAAAGTAGGCATTCATACATGGCATCGCTTTTCTCGTTCCACCAACTGATTAACGTCTGTCTTAGGGATACATCAACAACCCAGAGGCAACCGCAGACGCTATCACCCCCGATGGTTGGTTCAAGACCGGCGACGTCTGCATCCGGGACAGCGAAGGCTTCTACACCATCGTCGACCGGAAGAAGGAGCTCATCAAGTACAAGGGCTTCCAGGTCCCGCCGGCAGAACTCGAGAGCACCCTCTTGCAGCATCCGGAGATTGTCGATGCCGCGGTCATAGGCGTCAATTCCGTTAAGGAAGCGACTGAACTTCCGCGGTCCGTTTATCTCTCTTGATCGCCGTGCGATCCGGCCCATCCATGCGCTAACGGTTTTATGTACACACCACAGGGCTTACGTCGTGCCGGCGAATAAGGCGCTGCTTGAGCCTTCGGCATCCCAAGAACGGGAGGCGTTTGGGCGCGCAGTGCAGAAATGGATCGAAGGACGGGTTGCAAAGCACAAATACCTCCGCGGCGGCGTGGTTGTCATCGATGTGGTGCCCAAAAGGTGTGTCATGTATCCCGCCCTGTGACCGCACCGTTGTTGACTTAACTTTGTGAAAAGCGCTGCCGGCAAGATCCTCCGCCGAGAACTCAGGGAGCGGGCCAAGAAGGAACTGTCGGAGGTGAAGGCTAAGTTATAGTCATTATCTTGGTCGGACTGCGCGGAGCGGGGTGAATGTATACTGCATTTTTTGCATATCATGCTACGTATGCTGTAGAGGCACGGCTCTCAGTCACTGGGAAGCCTGTAGCCTTCCGTCTTTGCTTTGTTGCCCTGTCCGTTACCAAACATCTACTCAAAGGCCGTTCAGTGATATTTGTGGGATTGACCCAAAAGATATTCCACCTCAGATACAAAGCGGACCACAGATTTGATCTTGGTGCATTCCGACTGGGCGTTGTACCCATCGGGTCCGCCGAGTGTACCTTCCTCATAGAATCGCCTGATGTATCTGTGCAACGTTAGACGTCCACATTCGCTGACGAGCAACAAAGGGAATATCCACCTTATGCACGTCTCCTCTTTGAAATCGGCGTAAACCTTGCGATTGTATTTGCGCTGAAGTTCCTCTCAGAGGCGAATCAGATCAAGGAGTTGCTTTGAACATACCTCAACGCGTCTGGCCTCTTCTTCGTACGCGTGACTCTGGTGAATAATGAAGTGGTCCGCGAGCACATAGAAGGACATTCCCGAGATGTACATCTCGAAGAGGCAAGCAGCTTTATTGCCGCCGTATCCCACAAACCGTTCGTCGCACCTGGTAACCATCGACACATTTGACTATATGCGCATGGTGCGGGGCATGAACCTACCAAGGGGGGCCATCTTTCTTGAATATGACGTACGGCTCGTACGCAGCTTGGTATTGGGTAACTCTATACACCTGTCCGGGCGGCGCTGCGTAGTACCTATTATAGTCCGTGCTATTGTGCCCCGGCGCCCATGAGCGGTGAAACATCCCCAGGCGTTCTTGTCGGACAAGCGATAGTAATGTCTATATTGGTCAGTGCACGCCAATGCGCGCAGACGCGATTACGTACCTCTTTGTCCCTGGGGAAGAGGCTCGGGTCCCGCCCTTCTTCCTGTTTCGTGTACTCAAAGGCGGGAATCACCAACGCGGCATTTCCTCCATCTAATTTAGCCACCACTTCTCTGCTTGCTCGCTTCTTGAGAGCGGACCCGAAGTCGGTGCAGAGCCAAAAGTCGACATCGAGCAGCATCACGTAGTCAGTCCGAGCGAACAGCCGGGCGATGTTACGCCAGGTGTTGAATTGCCGATCGAAGGGGTCCAGGACGAGGTGCACGTCCAAGTAACGCCGAAGGCTTCCCGATCTGTATATCCCGTGTAATGCGGTGAGCATCTCGGCGCACGCGGTTGCGTTTGAGGTGGATATATGCACGGCGGCGGATACGGGTCCCTGGTAATGATCAACCAGATCCGCGAGCCGCTGCAAGCGGTTGGGTGTCACAATGGTGGTGATGGTGATGTCGTCCTTCTGTGGGGATTTTGACGCGCGATAGAAGAAGGGAGTGATATCCGACGGGTGCATCGATTGCGAAAACACCTTGGCTAATAGCAGCTTCTCCAGATCACCACGGTCACCGAAGTTGGGGTCAGAAAGGATACTCGCAAGCACGTCCAAAGAGCGGCCTCCAGAAGTCGTGGACATCTTTGTAGATTCCCCATTGAATCGGTGTGTTGGACTATGAAAGACGTTGAAAATCGGTAAGGGAGAGATCCCTGTTGCATAAAGAACGAGAACGAGGATCGCAGCATAGGCGATAGGCTGAATCAGTCTTCGTGTCCCATTGAAGGTCATTCTGACACGGAGCTCAGAAAGTACAGGTTCAAGGATTCCGGTGAGCGACAATGCGTAAAAACGCGAGGCATACCACTGCACACGCAATATGTCGCCGGTACGTTCACCGATGACAGACCGTTGACGGCCAAGAGCGCCACTTCGTATTCTTCATTTGGAAGCACACTCAGATACTGCGGCATAAAATGGTAACACACTCGCCGGAGCTCCGCGCGAGAGCTTCGAAGAGACGATCGCGAGTTGCATTCGAGCCTAGAGGTTGTTGATGAAAATTCGGCCCTTGCGGCGGAGTTGTCCTGGATGGGGCCGTATGTAGAGGAGCTTGAACTTGGATCCCCGACTCCGCTCATGGACATATCCCAAAATTTCTTGGCTCTCCTTCACATCATACTTCGCCGACCGAAGAATCGCCATCGCAGCTCCCGAACGCAGAGCTCCCTGACGCTCTCATCTTCCGCTGTGGGCAAAGTCCCCGGAGACGCAGATTTACTGTCCCGTCCGTACTGGAAAGCGTCTGGCGTTAAGCAAGTCAGAATCCTCGGACCATGCATGGACGCGGTCAAGGGCCCGGAGGCACGCGCTCATCCTTCGTGGTAGCAGTCGCCCTCTCCTTCGACCGAATCTGCAGCTCGTTCTTGGACAATCGAGGTGCTCTGCCCCGCAAGGGGCAAGGACGCGGGGTCGCGAAGATATGAGCGATCCCGTTGTCTGAGTGCCTTGGTTGGCTCGAGGCGAGCATCGTTGCTCATAGACAAAGTTATGCGATTGCCTGCAATTCATATTGCATTGGTCAACTCAATGGGGCTTGCTCTTGTGTCGGCGAAGACTATTTTTTCCATCCCTGACGGTTCGCCGTCACGTCGCTCGGTTGAACGGAGGTGGGGCAAATTGCTTCGGGTATGTCTCCTTACTTTTGTTCGCATTCCATGATGCTTCTTTTCTTGAATTTCTTCAGGGAGTATACCTGGTGTCCTCGCGGCGCTGGGGCGTGCTCCAGAATTTGACCCTCTGATAATATTGCTACGCTCTTTCTTCCACTGAAGCTGATCGGTGTCCATAGGTTCACCACATTTCTGTCGCTGTATGTCACGTACTGTACAGTAGTCAGCGCAATCTCAACCGAGTTCCTTCACTCTGCTCTCAACCCTGGAAATAGCCAGTTGATCTCCATGGGGTTGTTGGCAATACACATGCACACAGTCCCCAATTGCATCTTCGTGTGTCTCATGGCTCAGATAGAAGAAAGTACATATAGGTACGCAAAAAGACGAGAACTACTCTGTCAATTTCACCAGCCCGAGTGTCCCTCTCTGCAACCGAGCAGCCCATCCGCTCAGCGGCTCATCCTCGAAATTACTGATCCCGCCGTGGTCCTTATGCACAAACCGCCGGGCGTTCACCTTCTCGAGCACCAACACCGTATCCTCGTCCTCTTCGCCCATCTTGAGCCCGCCGATATCGCGCACAGGGGCGTTGACGTCCATCATCTCCAGCGGCACGCGCCGGCTTGCGGCCTGGTGCATCTCGGGCGTCGTGGGCGCAAATAGTTTCCCGCAGAAGTCGAGCGCGTTGTCGAGCTCTTCTGGGCATAGGCGGGCGCCGATGTCGGAGGCGCCCTGGATGATGGGTCGGATCGTGTTGAAGGCGCGGTCGAAGTTGTCCTCGTCGATGTCGGAGAGGACGGCGGACGATTGGGAGCGGATCTGTTTGTATGCGCCTAGCACGACAACGAGGAATCTGCAGCGAAAGGTGAGCCTCAGGCCGGCGTACACGGAAACCTTTCTACTTGCCGAGTATAGCTGATAGCAATGCGCTCAGTATGCCACTTTGCGGCGCTGTGTTCATCGCAGTCACCTCGAATGGAGGCGGAGATGCTTGCAGCAGCTGCGAGGCCGCCTGTGAATGCAAGGTGGATCCCCGAGGAGAAAAACGGGTCGATGAAGGCTGGAAGGATGATCGGTGATTAGTACTCTATACGTGCAGTCTGGGTTCGCGAAGCCATCGCACCTCCCGCGTCGCCGATTATTCTCCAGCCGTTGCCCGCGTACCGCGAGGCGCTGTAGCTGAAGTCGCTCGCCATCTTGACCGGGGGCACATCACCAACGATGCCCCTCTCGTCTACACCGACCGAGCCCGTGACAAACTCGCCGTTGTGGATGAGCTTCTTCACCCCTGGTGCAAGATCCAGGAGTGAAGTATAACGATCGACCAGTGACGGGCGGGCGGTGCCTGTGGGATCCGCTTTCACGTATCCGTTGTAGATCTGCTGGTGCATGACGATACCGACCGAGGTCGTGCCGTTGTGAAGTGGGATGAACCAGGCCCATCCCGATTCGTCTGAATGAAAAACTGCGCTCGATGGATAGCGCTGAGGAGAGACGAGCCACGTACCTGTGAGCGCCTCGAAATATGTCGCACCTCGGCGATTCGACTCGCTGTTCGCCATATAGAGGTTCGTACCGCGCCAGTATCCCCATATCGCAAGATTTCTGCATGATGAACCGTAAGCAAATGCAGACGAGTGTCACATGTGATGGTGGTGATGCTTTACTTCAAGCTTTCAGTGAATCTTCGATTCTTCAGGTACTTCGACGAGATGATCCCGGCCCTCCCGCTGGCGTCGACGACATAGTCGAACGCGATCCTGCCCTCTCGTTTGCTGCCATCCGACATCTCTGCAACATAGGAGGCTGCCACAGCTCTTCCAACATCCCCACTTGGCAAGGCGGTCACCGCCGATAGTTCTTTATGACGTTCGAAGTGCACCTCGGCGACCCTCGTCTGCTGAAATACCCGAGCTCCGCATTCTGACGCGTGGTCAAGGAGCAGTTGGTCGAACTCGGCCCGCGGGACGTTCCACGCGTTAGTGTCATGGCCTAATGCGAGGAAGTCTGTATATCCCTCTCTCTTGTATTGGTTGAGCTTGAAGCCAGCTCCGGGCTGATAAACGAAGGCGGGATTCACAATCGAGATGGTAGGGTGGTAGCATGTGTGACCAACCTTCAGCGCGAAGCCATATCGTTCAACCTTCTTCTCTGCGTCGATGAAGCGAAGGTAATGTCGTACAGATGGAATAAGGCTCTCCCCTGCAGCGCAGATGAGAGCGTCAGCGACGTCGTCTTTGCAAAAGGAGATGGTCATACCAATATGATACCGCGGAAACTTGGTTGCCTCGAACACGACCACGTCAAATCCCTCTCGCGCGAGAGCAGATGCGGCATAGGAGCCTGCAGGGCCGCCACCGATCACAAGCACTTGCGCGCGTTCCGGAGGGCAACGATTTCTTGCGGCGTGTCCCATCGAAATATCGCGGCACACGGACGACGAAAGAGCATCGCTCCCGCGTCCTTTAGCTGAATATATAGGAGAACTGGGCTTTCCGCTGATGCGGTTATTGAGGAAGACTCGCGCTTGCTCGCACAAGTAGCTGGTGTGCCAATTCCGCATGCAATTTAGACCGGGGGCGGCCTGCAACGTTGGCGTAGCCAGTCAAATATCCTCTCGCCGCCACGCGTCTGCAGATCAAACGTTTCAACCGCAGTAGAGGACCAGAGATAAACGCCGCCAGCTGCCAATCGGGTGCATTTTAGGAGGTCAGAGGCCCATTACTGGTGGACTCCATGATCGGGTGCCGGCCCCGAATTGAAACGTGGATTATGAATCGGATCTGCGCGTGCGTTCCATTCGACGAGAAGCTTGTGAAGTCAGTCATTGCAGGTCGTTGCTCGCGCGCGGGAGCAAACGAAGCGGAGGTAGTGGCATCGAGAGTTAAAACGCCACCGGAAGCACTCCGACCGACTCTCAAGGGAAGTCAAAGCCCGTTCATGTACAGGAACGTGATATCATTTTCGGCAGTCATTATGGAGCATTCCAAGGAATTATGTACGTGTCGTCCATAGCAGGTTCGTGTGGTAACAGATAGAGACCAGTATTTCCCTCGCCCATTCTCTGCCGGCCGCGATCTCATCCGTCGCCTCCTTGTCATCGGCCGAGGCCCTCCACAAACGACCGGTATCAACGACTAAACGTGCATTTAGGGTTCGCTGTCTGCGATGAGGGCGACGATCATGCTGGGAAGGGGAAAGTCAGAGACTCGTGCACGCGGGGGATGAAGCCGGGGACGCGCACCGGTAGAGGTAGTAGAAGAAGCTGAGGAGGTAGAAGCCGAGCTTGATGAACGACTCTTTCTTGTGGGTTGACAAGGAGCGGAAAATCTCCGTCGCATCGTACATGTGTGATTTCTGCATTATCCTAGAGCGCCGATGTCAGCCCCTGTATCTTCACTGAGAGTAAGAGTATAGGGAGAAAGAAAGCATAGGAAGAAAGCAAGAGGTCCTTGTATCGACAGTAAACTGACTTATTTGCGTTGAAGGCTACCAATGGCAAGTTCAAGAGTAGCGCAGTCCATTGCCCAGATAGAAGGAAGAGCAGCGTGAGGAAAGCATGTGCCATGTTTTCGGGTAGGACGAACTACAGGGAGTGACGTGAGCATCACAGTCAGCGCCATACAACGGGTCAGAGCAGGCATACAGCGTTGAGTTTGTTGCAAAGGTCTATGGGGTTGATATAGTCGCATTCCAGGTCAGAGAACATGATGATCTGCGCGTTGAGGGTTGAATGTTATGATCAAGCATAAGCACTTGCAGAGATGCAACGCACGAAGAAAACCATTGTGAAGAGGAGCGCGGCAGCCATAAGGACCGCGAAGAGGAAGAGCCATCCTACGTGTCGGAAGGCGTTCGAGAAGGATCAACGCGCAACATTGACGGATACCCGGGTCATTTGTGAGTGTGGAGAGTATATAAAGGTTGAGTGTGATGGTAGCAACGCGCCCGTCGGAGGATGACGATGCCGAGTTGACGAGTCGTATGAACACCAAAGCAGGGAAAACGGGCAGAATGAGGACAAGAGCTCTGGTCAGAGAGTTTTTGGGCAAGAAAAATGCGATATACCTGCACCACCCATTTTCGCTCAGCTTATCGACGGAGGAAGGTCTATGCAAGATAGAGCACCGAGGGACGGGGATATCAAGGAGGGCGTGCGGTCGACGTCAGCTTGAGCGGAGTGCGCGCCAGCAGTCACGACGTGACAAGAGAGGCGGCGGTCACGCGCTGGGAATAGTGTGACGCGCTTCGAGCGCCCAAGGATTCGGCCCAGGCAGCTTGCTGCTGACGACGACAGCCACCTTCCTCTGCTACCCCTCTCCCGACCGCGACTGTATATCTGATCTCTGTGCCGGAGTATTTACTGTATCTCTCTTTTCTTTCTCGTGATATATCTGGAAGCGCTTCGCGATGCCTTCTCTGCTCGAGCGCTTGGACGTCAACATGGACAGCGCCGCCGGTCCTGCTCGCGGTACGCGCAAGACGGGCGGTCGAGGGAGTGGCCGATCGTCACCCTACGTGAGTCGCGGCTCGTGCATTCCTGTCCAGTATCGTATGACTAAGGGATGCGCAGACCCGGGGCCCGCCTGGTAACCCGGATGGGCAATGGAGCCACGATATGTTTGACAAGCACAACAGCCTCACGGCGCGACTCGGAAGTAAGTTCGAAGTCGCCAACGTTTCCTGTGACGTGCTCAACGCTCTGCAGTAACGGACACGGACAACGGCACACCCGGTCGTCCCCGCCGTGTCGATGCGACTTCCGCCTTACAGTATCTGGTCAAGCAGGTTGGTCCATGCCCTCTTCCTACAGTCGTTCCACGTTGATCGCTCTCCTTCACTAAAGGTGGGATCAACTTGACCCAGGTTTCCGCTCGCGTCTCCTGCTCATTCAGCTATCATCCCATATTTAACAGGCGCGTCCCGCATATACGCATATCATCATCTGGACTAACCTCGTCTGTTTTTCTTTGTGCAGGGTGATAGCATGTCCATCAAAGGCGCTGCCAAGTCTGGCAACGTAGTCGAGGTCCGAGGCCTTGCCGTGGGAACCACAGCCGAGGACGTAGAGGTATGATTCGATTCAGTCAGCAGCATTGCTTTACTCACGATCCGCACTTAGGCGATTTTCAAGCGCTGTGGACCTATCGTCAAGGCTGAGATACATCAGAAGCATCCGGAGCTGGTCATCCGTGTCACCTACAAGGAGCAGAAGGACGCCAAGACAGCCGTAGAGAAGTTCGACGGGCAGGTTCGTGCCCGCATGCGCCCTTAGATGATCGGAGGATGTTGTGCTTACATAGAACGGGTACTCTCAACTCGACCTCGTTGAACTATCCGTCAGAACGCGGATGGAAAGAAACTCCATGTCACCATTTCCGGGACAAAAGGGACTACTATCGGGTCCCGCTTCGGGCTTGATCCTGTTCAAGACGGTCAGGTCGTCCTCCCACCTAGCGACAGCGATTCGTACGTAAAGCACCCCTGCGCCTCACGTCGTAACGCATCCTTATGGTCGAACCAGGAAAATGCGGAGCGACGCGATTCTGCGGGAGGATCCCCGTGCCGCGCTCGTGGTCGTGCCTCAAGGTGGCGACCCGAAGGATTATATCCAGCAGCAGTCGACGCGTACGTACCTTTTGCTGCGGCGTGTCGCGAACGTGTTTCTGATCTCCGCCGCGTCGTGACAGGCGGTGGAGGCCGTGGGCGTGGTGGACGAGGCCGTGGACGAAGAGGTGGACGACGGGGCGGAAATGGTGGAGGGATGGATATCGATTAATGCTTTCCCCCTGCTTGATCACCATCCTGAACATCTCCGTGTCTCTCTGTTCTCGTCGTGCTATATCTTGGTCTAATATCGTACATCTCATGTTGAGACGTTGACGGTTGCTGTGGTCGTAACCTTTGCACTTCTTCACTGAGAACGTTATGTAGTAGTCTCGTGATTCCCGTTCATGCTTCTTATCTTGACTTGGACTTGGACTAGTTCACGGTATATGATCGACTGCGACTTTCCTCAGCCAATTGGTGCGGCTTGCGGACACTTGTCCATGCGACCCACTACAATTGCTTACGCCGCGATGGGCATCGCGATGCAACCTCTCGTAGTACGACTTCCGCGCCGAGCACGCCCTTGGCTTCTATGCGCTGACACTTGAGCCTAGATCTATAGAGCAGCCCCGCAGTATGCCACACACGCGTTTGCATCTATGGTTACAGAACCCTGCCGGCCAACTCATATGCATGGCGTGGAGCAGCCGAGAACCCACATGAGCTGGGAGACCGTCCTGCAAGCGAAACGGAGGCCGCAGTGGGAGGGAACATACATCCCAATGGACCTGTTTTCTTGCGCACGAGGGCTTGCGAGGCTATGTTCAAGATGCTAACAGCACGGAGCTCCCTCCGAAGATTCCTATCCAGGATTCCGTACATCGCGGGCGCTGCCGTTCTGCACTGCAAGTGCCCATCCGAAACGGCGACCCACGGGAAGGAGGCAGAGGTGCGTTTGTTTGATCCGCCTCGCTGCTGGAAACCGAGTCCAATCTGAATGACACAGACACACAGAAAACCGTTCTCACCCCCGCAGTATGGTGTATATAACGTTAGACCGGCGCCCTCTTGTGGGCCAAAGCATCTCCGCAACATTTTCTATCTCTCGCATTCCATAGTATGGGCGTGAACATCCCCTCCTTACATCATTCAGCGCATTCGCCAGCGCCTACGGACAGTTTCCTCCCGGCAATTCCACACTCGCGCGGGGCACCCCACGTATCACCTGCAACGATCTCCGTCCATCTGCGCTCCGTCCTCAAGGGACACTGGATCTCGCGTCCAGCGTTCCTCAGCCGGCTCAAGACGCATGGCAAGTGAAAAGGGAGTACAGATCCGTGCAAATAGTTATTTACCTCGGATCTATCGATAATAACTGGTAGTATCGGAAAGTGAGTGCAGTACCATGCTGGATCCTCGAACGCGCTTGTCTGACGTTCCTCGCAGCGATGCCATCGATATTTATATATCCGCATTCCACGCCCAGGCGGGTTGATTATAGCGCATTCAACGACGGGTTAGGATAATGAGTTATCCCGCCTGGATCGCGAAGCACACACTCTGCGTGCCATGGGACGGTCCGCTGGTTGTCAGTGTGTATGCTTGGGAGGCGTTCGATGGCCATAACTTGCCAGTGTTCATCGAGGGTGTGTGGACGTTTCGGACACCGAAATACGGAATTTCCTACGTAGATCATCCCCGGTGTTCTGCGTTAACTGTGGACTGTATTCGTGTAACAGTTCGTCGGTATTACATACAGAGCTAGTAGTATCGCTTCAATCCACAACCGTCCATATCATCCGCGTACAAGGCATCACTCAGACTGAGTGACGCTGATTGATTTCACGTGGACTGTCATCATCGTTACGTAGAGGCTAGCTCGGACCGGCAGAGTGCATACCGGCTCGCGCTTGAGTGGTGACATAGACGTACGGGCTCTTTGACATTGGCTACACGGACGGAGACCAACCACTATGTCTCCAAGGCGCCGTAGAGCGCACAAAATCGCTGTCGATACGCAGGACGAACATGCCATAAATGATGCACAAGGCAAGGATGCCACCTCGGGTGTGGACAGTGTGAACGGTCTACGCGACGAGCTCGCGCAGAACGTACAGGACGCGAAGGAAACGCACAAGAAACCGAAAGTGAGCTATTCTGGTTATGCCTCTGGATAGCCAACTCAAGGCCCATCATGTAGCAAGAAAACCCATGGTACCTCACTCGAAAATTCATATTTCCCCTTGGCATTCTATGTCGGTGTCCCATCGTCTTTCGGCTGAAAGATTGCTGACCGAATTTACCTCACAGTTGGTGTTCTCCTCGGATTCGCCCTCGTCCAACCTGGAGACCTACCCGAACTTCCGGCACATCTCTCCATCCTGCTATCCGAATACCAAGACCTGTTCAACATGCCCAACATCTCTCTGGAACATCTGCCCTTCAAATACAGCATGGACTTCTCGCGAGTGGAGACGGAGTGGCAACGATTCCGGAGCAGCATACCCGAAGTATGGAAGCTCAACACGGATGGACGTGAATTCCAGGTCGGCGAACAGATCAAGGCGCAGGGACTTACGGCACAATACCCGGTGGTTCTGGTGCCAGGCGTTATCTCTACGGTACGTCCTAGCGCCGTCATACTCTTCTATCCCTCGCTCACTTACCACGAATAGGGTCTGGAATCGTGGTCTACCGAGTCTGAGTATCGTGACTTGTTCCGCGTCAAGGTAACTTTGTCTTCTACTCCGCGTTCGCCACTGCTCACAGTGTCGTAGGTTTGGGGCGGGTTCCCCATGATACAGCAAGTGATGTTCGACAAAGACAGGGTTCGTTGGTCACATCAACCGAACGCAGCACGACTTATCGGTGGTTTCTTGCAGTGGATGTCTACGCTCTTGCTTGACCCGTATACCGGGCTCGACCCTCCCAAAGTCAAAGTTCGCTCTGCGGAAGGAATTAGCGCCGCCAGCAGTTTCATCCAGGGATACTGGATATGGTCAGTCATCCTGCCCCTTCCTCACTACGTGCCTGTCCATGCGGGTTGTTACTTACATCACTTTCCATCGTTGTCAGGTCTAAAATCATCGAAAACCTTGCGGTAGTGAACTACGACACCAATAATCTTTATCTGGCACCCTATGACTGGAGGCTATCGTACGGTAACTTGGAAGTGAGAGATGGATATTTCAGCAAGCTGAAGGCGAACATCGAAGGATTTGTGTGAGTACAGTATCCTCATATGCGTCCGGCTGGTGCGAACATACTAACTCCTCATGCCAATGCAGAAAGAAGGAAAGGAAAAAGGTTGTCATTGCCGCACACTCAATGGGCAGCACGGTAAGTCTTAGAACACAGCCCTTGTCCTGTGACCTAAATTGACATTCTGCCCCATAGGTTGTACTGGTACGAACGCCTTTTACCCTGCATGCATCCGCATTGACGGAGCTGATCGGGCAGCTGAATGCACATGCAGTATTTGTGAGCACGACTTGCCCCTCCTCGACGCCAGCTGATGAGTTATGGCGACCAGCATGAAATGGGTCGAAAGTCCGGACCACGGCAATGGAGGACCTCAATGGGTTGAGGTCGGTCGGATTTGAGTCCCTGCACCCAAAACGTCATTCTGACGAAGCTCACTCGGACATCAGAATAACATCGAGGCCCTGATCACGATAGGTGGCACGCACTTGGTGTGTCTTTCCTATTATCCACTGTTTGCATCATGCTCAAGCCTGTCACATCTAGGGTGTCGTGAGTGGCCCCTGCTATTCTCATCCTGTATTGTACTCAAGGTCACACTCTCCTAAATATCGGCATAGCCGAAAGCTATGGCAGCGTTCCTCTCAGGAGAAATGAAGGATACGGTACAGATCAATCCCTATGGCGCATACGGTGAGTCACATAGAACAAATCACTAACGGATGTGCTCTGAGAAAGATGGGTAGTCCTCGAACGCTTTTTCTCCAGAAAGGAACGTCAACGGTTATTCCGCAGCTGGGCCGGCAGTGCCAGCATGTGGATCAAGGCAACGCTGTCTCCCTCAAATCCAGAATCGTCGCGCTGATATCTCATTACTGTAGGGAGGCGACCTCATCTGGGGCAACGGAACCTGGGCTCCCGACGACCCACCGGATGCAGGCCACAGCCATGGTGAACTTATCTCGTTCCGCGCAGAGCGCACGCTTGCCACGGCCTTCGACGCATTGAGGCTCAAAGGCGTAACAAACGAAACTATCGAGGACTTGACGAAGCACGAGGCGCAGCTCACGAACATGACGTCGCGGGAAGGAGGGACGTGGATATTGACGCATACGCCCAATTCCTTCCAGGTAATATTTGGAACTACACGCTCGGTTCATACGATATTGATGATGGCTTATACTAACAGCGGATGATGGAGACGAACTACTCAAACGGGTTTGAGAAGGATGAGCGTCAACTGATACGCAACAATGCTGATCCGTCCAAGTGGAGCAATCCGCTCGAGGTTCAGTAAGTCCAGAACGTGTTTTCTAATCAACTCGGCTGAATGGATTCATGTATCCAGGTTGCCTCATGCACCCTCCATGAAAATGTACTGCGTCTACGGCCACGGGAAGGAGACCGAGCGTTCGTACTGGTGAGACAGTTTCTGGTTTTGCGGTTTGACCGGGTAGCTCATTTTGTACCTGCGCGAGGCGAATAGGTACGCACGAGGCGAATACGAGTATGATGAGACCATTGCGGATGCCGCTGGAGCGGTATGTGCGAACGAGACGATGGAACATTGCGAGAGCCTCCGTCCGCCACTGGACATGCCGCTCTATCGATCGACCTGGATAGACTCCGAATACACGGATGAGACCGCGAATCCGAAGGTACCGCACGCCGTGACTTGCCCGTGATGAAGCCCTTCTTTACGGTTCCTTCATCCGCCCAGGTCATCAACGGGGTCAAGATGGGAGAAGGCGACGGCACCGTCAGCTTGCTGAGTTTGGGCGCGATGTGCGTCGAAGGTTGGAAACGAAAGCGGTGGAACCCAGCTGGGATCGATGTCGTCACCGTCGAGGTTCGTCGGGGCCGGACCCTCATTGTGAATGTGTCTGATCCCGGACTGCAGCTCCCGCATCATCCGACGCCAACGATACCGCGCGGCGGCGCCAACACGAGTGACCACGTCGGTAAGCACTCGTTCTTCGAGGGCCCGCTCCGAGTACGAAACATAACGTACATCTTTCATAGATATCCTCGGATCGACCAGGCTCAATGAGATCATCCTCAAAGTGGCTACCGGAGCTGGCAGCGAGATCAAGGATAACTTTGTCAGCCGGATCCGAGAATACGCGGCCAAGATAAATTGGGATTAGTCGGACGATCTATAGAGTCCACCTACAAACGCTGTTGCGCGGCGATGCATGGCATGGATATAGACTCCTGGAAGAGTCGATAGCTCCACTGTACCGGTGTTTCAGCATCTGAAGCTTGACGGCTCCGCAAGGAATGACAGCTTAATACGATGATCACGATGATCAACCTCTGACTCGTTCGAGGCTGTTCCGAACCTCAACTCGGCAGCTCATAGGCTACGTGACGTCCAGGCTGGTCAGCGATGGCTATCATATAGATTGGCGGCCCGTGCTTCGGATTTCCAATGATGGACCTTATGTATGTTTCCGTCAAGCGCTCTGTTAGCTGCGTCCGCGAACTTCCATCAATCGCGGAAACCGTTCACGAAGGCGATGAGTTCGCGGTACGGAAACGCGCCATTCGCCGCGCCGACCGCGAGACCAACCTAGTCACTTGGCTTCTCTCTTCGAGGAAAGTCAGTCACGCAGAACGTTCGTCGTTGACGCGCAGAAGTCGGAGGCAAGAGTGATTTGCGTGCGCATACGACGCAATGAATATGTGAGTCGATGCGAGTCATTACACCCCTCGAGGATCGGAGCCGTGCATGTTGAGCAAGCCTCAAATACCAATGTACTTACACCGGATGAGCAAAGCTATCGAACTCCTTACCATCCCGTATCTCCGTATACACCCACACAACTCCCGACCAATCAATCAGCGCCAAAAAGACATGGCAGTCTGGCCAGAGGACGCCCAATCCACAGCAGCCACGCTCGTCCCCGACGACGCGCCCCTTATCGCAGGCAAGCGTCAACGCCAACGCCAACGACAGCGCCAAGGTCTTTACTCCAACCTCGAGCGTTGCCCGTGCGCGCTCCACACCCTCTGGCGCAAGTACACCTCCTCGCGCCGGGCGCCCCACACTTCGGAGGGATCGGCGGGAACGTCCGCGCCTCCTTCTCCTGCTCATTGCTCGGCGTCTTCATATCCCCCGGACAAGAAGCCGTCGTCGTCGTCCAGCGCTACGCGTGACCGTTCGTGCGCGTTGCGTACGCTATGGAGGAGAGTTAAGCAGATACCGACGCCGCTGCCGGCGGGGCGGCTTGGAGGCGGGCGGAGCTTGGGCTTGGAGGCGCCGCCGAAGCGGGGATAGTGCGCAGCGCGCGGGATCGATCCCGAAGTTCGAACAGCTTCAGTCGGGGATAGGGTCACGCGCTGTGATAATACGGAGCAGAGCGGTAGAGGTTCCGGGGCGGTTAGATGGACGGTCCCCCGTGCTGCTGTAGGGAGTACGCCAAAAGGAAGCAAGGGAGAGTTCGCTACGTGAACCACTCGCGATAGCTCTGCCTGCATACGTGCGATCGATCAGCTATCGGGCGTAGATTCAAAAAAGGAAAAAAGCTTCCTTGACTCACGAGAACGCGCGCGAGCGCGCCAAGTGAACTCGAACAGGCCATTCTCGACGGTCCGTGGTTGGTCGCCTCTGTGTCGTTCAGTCTTCTGCGGCGTTCCACTCCGCGCCGAGCACCTCGCCCAGTTTCGCGCCCAGCCCGCGCGGGGTAACACCACCCGCGCCGTCCGGGCCGTCCATCCATCGCATCAACACCGCCAAGTCGCCGCGGTTGGCCCTGTGCCCGCGCATGCCGTGCGCGGACTCGGCGCGCAGCATGCCCGTAACCTCGACCATGCCCTTGGTGCCGATGATCCCGGGAGCGTCCGAGGGCGAGGCGTTGCCGAAGGCGCGGAGCGCGCGAGGCTCGCGGAGACGCTCGGAGACTTTCTTGTGTCCTGGTGGGATGTCGGACCACGATTCGGTCTTGATGCGCTTCCAGTAGGCGTCGATTTGGGCGGAGGCGGCTGCGAGTGCGTCTGGTGCTGGCTGGGAGGAGGAGGAGGAGGAGGAGGAGGAGGAGGAGGGGGGGGGGAGGG